TTTTTGTCCTCTGGGATTTCAGGATAAGTCATCGGACCTCACAACCGTTTCCTGCCTTCCCTTGCCCACCCAGTGCCTCTCTCCCCATCTTTCCTCCCCCCCCCCTCGTGTCCATCCTCGATCTCCCTGCCTTCTTCACCCTGTCGAAATGTCGGCAAAAACTCTCCGCTACAATCAAATTTGCTTTAAATCATCACTGAACACCATTGTTGTCTCCGTCCTTCCTTTCCTGACTTCTGTCTCCATCAGAAATACAACCGTCCTTGTACTCATCGTTGCCCTAGTCCTCGTCCTTGTCTCCCCCCTCCTCCTCCTCTCTCAACAACATCGTCGTCATCCACCTCCTCCTCTCTACCAGCAAGTGCAATCGAATGTCCGTCTCCTCCCTTGATGGCAGATATTTTCACTCCCGCATTCGAAAGCAGCGATACCCTGGAAGGAGTGTGAAAAAAGGAGTCAAACAAGGCTATCAGCTCCTCACAATCTTGGCTGGAACTCGCAGAAATTGCTCTGTTTGCAAATTTTATCGTTTCCAGTTGTCGAGAACCCTTGATCAACATGGTTATCATCTTCGTTACCACCTGCACCACTCCTACCAACCCCATTGTGATCATGATCATTATCTATCATCCACATCATCTAAATCTATTATCATGATCTACTTTCGTGATCTACTATCATCATGTACCATCATCATCTACTATCATCATCTACTATCATCATCTACTATCATCATCCACTATCATCATCGTCGTCATTGTCATCATTATCTCATCTATCGTCTATCATTATTTTGTGTTGTTGCTGTTATCATCTCTTCCGTGACTACTACATTCGCACCAAGTTGTCCTTGGGTGTTCAATCCAAACGCGTACAGCTCTCCATACTCCCCGATAACTGCCAGTCACACCGTCAGAAGAACATCCGTTTCCTCCTTTCCCTCCTGTCCTCCCCCTCTCCTTTCTTCCCCTCGTTTCCTCCTCCGCTTCTCATTCGAACTCTTTCCCTCCTCCTCGTCCTCCTCTCTCTCGCTCCTCCCCTCTACCATCCTCCTCTTTGGTTTTCTGCCTCTTACCAAAACTGAATTGAGCCCCGCATCCGATACCCCTGCTCAATGTCATGCAAGAACCAAGAAGGTTAAAACCTTCACCGAGCCTTGTTGGTCAATGCCACAGCGAGAGGAGGCGACATGAAAGTTCTTCCTGCAGGTGAAGAAATTTGTCAGATAGTGAACACACCTCATGACCTTGTACTCTCTTTTCCTTGCCGGCAACCTTTGTCATATTCTTCTGCCCTCGTCATATCATCGTCCTGCTAACTCTCTAGCCTAACTACATCCTCTCCCTTTCTTTGTCTTCCTCCCTCCTCCTCCTCCTCCTCCCTCCTCCTCCTCCCTCTCTCTCGTCGCTCCTCCTTACTCTCCCTCCTCCCTCTGTCCTCTTTTCCGCTTTACCTGTCTGTCCCATGTCTGCATTTCCCCACGACAGCACCGCTCCCCCGGGCATCAGCGCAAGTCCGTGGGTCGTTCCCAGGCACAGGTCCACAGCTCCTCTCAGCGCCGCTACTTCCGCAGGCTCTGCTACGTACTGACTTATGTTGGCGTACCCCAGCCCCAGCTGCTGCAACTGGTTCCTCCCGAAGCCGAACACGCTTCCTCCTCGTGTCATGACCATGCTGAAGTCGAGCCCTGCAAAAACTCTCTTCACAGGGGACCCCAGCACCGACGCGGTGAGCCTGGAGGAGACGATGGGGGAGAAGAAATAGCATGGCTGCATCTGTGCGCATCCAGAGCAGGAAGAGCAGTGGCTTTGTTCGCAGCATCCGTTCCCCAGACATCCCTGGTTTGCCGATCCCCATGCAAACACAGTCCCGTCCTCTGCCAGGGCGAGGACGTGCTCGCTGCCGGCCGAGACGTCAACGATGATGGATTGCTCGCCGTTGGATCCCGAGATGTTGGGGAAGACAACCTGCAAAGGGCTCTTCTGACAGAAGATAGCTCCTCCCCCTGCCTGACAGTTGCCCTGAAGGCAAAGACTGGCTACCACCCCGAGGTTTCCTGTCGTGCAGTCTCCGAAGCTGTACAGTCTTCCTTCGGACGTGAGGATCAGAGAATACTCTCCCATCCCTCCTCCTCCTCCCACCCCCGTTACGACCTTGGTCACGTTCTTTCCTCGCCACCAAGTGTTCAACTGGTCGGACAGCGCTGGAGAGGATATTTTCGCCACATTCGAGTCCGTGCCGAGCTGGCCTCTCTCGTTCGACCCCCACACCCACACGTTGCTCTCACTCCTTGCTGCCACCTCGTCGCCCACTGCAAGGTCCATGCTGTTGCACAGGATACACACGAAGAGCAGTGACGACCAAAGGTGCATCGTTACACTCTGACTTAACAACATCCGGCGGTATCGTAGCAGCGCTCCTGCCTCCATCCGTCAAGTCCGAGGGATCAGCCCTCCTCTCGCCAAGGCTGAACCTTCACTGCCCCTTCCCTGGTCCTCTCCTCTTGACACTCAACAGGCGCCATCGCTACCTCGCCCTTCTGCAGCAACTACAGTCAAAGTAGGTCAAAGATACAACTTTATTGTAAACATCGAGCGGTAGCAGAATTCAGTACCACTGATGCGACTACAGTATGGAATATACAATTAATTTATGATTTGTATTGACTTTGGTACAGATCGAAACTGCCAACCTGGCAGTAATCTTAAAACTCTAAAACTCTCTGACCATCATCGACAGGTGTTGCTATGCCCTCCATCCACAAGGGCACTGAAACGGCGGTTGAGAAGTCGTTATCCTCGTTGTTGCAAACGTAACGGATATTACAACCGTCCTGGAATCACTGCAATGCTTCTTGTACCGGCTCCCCTCTCCCCCCCTCCTCGCGCCTCCCCCCGCCCCTGCTCTTCCTTGCCGCTCCCATCCTCGCAGTGAAGTGCTGCAAGGATCGTCTGGATCTGGTGGACTCGCCTCGTCCCGTCGGCCGGTCGCCATGTCAGTGTGGGGTCTCATCTGCTGCTCATTCAAGCGGCAACGCTTGCGTGAGAACTACACCTTCTGGAGTCAGAAGCAGAGAGACCTCGCAATCGCCGAGATTCACGCCAGACAGTTTCGCATCCAAGTGACTTCACTTAAAGGTTGCGATCTCAGCATGACATGGTCGCAGGTGTACGCGAGTATCGTAGCCGTCATCTCGGTGCTGACAGCAGTCCTCGTCTCCGAGATGTGCGGGGTTGGCTCACCGGACACTGAGGACCTCAAGACGTGGTCGGAGGCCGTCAAGAATCACACGATACTGCTGCAGTACAAGGAAGATGGAGGCTTCGCTTTCACCTCTTCCCAGCCATGCACAGCGAGTGCCAACACCCCCAAGCTGATCTGCTCGCTGTTGGCTGCTGTGAGCATCATGTTGCTGCTCGCCTACTATCAGCTTGAAGGGCGTCTAGACCATCTCATAGGCTCCAACTGGAGAGCCGAGCGAAAAACCATGTCAAGCTACCTCAAATCCATCTTTGGGTGGACTACTGAAAGCAAGCGATTTCAGGTCCTGCTGCTGGAAATAGCCATCAATGTCGTACACCCCTTTCCTTTCATGTCTTTGCAGTTCCTCACCAACTGCTACATCTTCCAAGTTGGCTTTTTCACTCGAGACTTCAGAACAGAGAGCCTCCTTTGCGGTATTTGGTGCGAAGAGTTTTTTGAACATGTTACCCCCTGAGTGAATACCTACAGTTTCATCAAGCTCTATCACATCTTTCGTTTGTACCGCCTGTTTACATTCAGACAACAGTATAACAAGGGGATCATAATCTCGTCTAAGATCCTCGGAGTCGACTTGACAAGAAACGAAATCCCGAACTCGGCAAAGTTTACCATGAAGGTTGAATGAACGTCCCACCTCTCATATTACTTCTCACATCTCAATTTTCAACTCTGAAGGCCACTCTGACACTTTGTCGCAGTTCGCGATCATGAAGCTCCCAGGGATCACGGCGCTGCTTTTCTTCGTCATGTACATCTGCGTGGTCTCCTACCTGCTTCGACTCGCAGAGGCTCCATTTCAAAAAGACCTCTACATCAACATCTGGAACCCAATGGTGTGTTCGTTCTTCTTTTCATGCCCGATGCTTACTTCTCTGTCTTCCAACCTTTAGTGGATGCTAATCGTTACGGTCTGATTTGTACGTCTTGCTCGCCGAGCACGACTGATGGCTTCACAGACGTTCGGTGTTGGGTACGGGGACTCAACACCCATCACTCTGCTGGGGAGGACTATCATATCGTTTGCAATAGCTTATTCTATGTGAGATGGCGCACCCAACAGGAGTCCAACACTTGACTTGAGTCCGCAGACTCTACTTGTCAACTGTAACAGCCATCTTCTGCGACGCTGGTCTGCTGATCTTTCCCGGAGGTGGCTGTCTAGTCTTGACGGTCGTTATGTGGTCAGTTGAGTTCAACAACAAGGAGAAGAGGATCTTTCTTAAGGTGCGAGTTTGTAAGGCTAGATGCCGTGTGTCTGATTGAGAGAGCTCGCAGATGGAAGAGGAGCAGTGGGAGTTTGAGAACGCGAAAGCAGCTGCAATCGTGATCCAGGTGATATCTTGCTTGCCGTCCTTCACATAGAATTCTCATCCAGATCCTCTACAGCGATTATGGCGAGGACAGGACCCAAAAGTAAAAGCCAAGGCCTTCATGCTCCAACGAAGCAAGGTCCTGCTACTGTTTGACATTGTTGTCTTCTGATTTGAATTCCTTACCAGTATCGCAAATGGAGGGAGAGGATGTACGGAGAAAAATGTTACAATTACTTGAGATCTGGTGAACACTCGCACGATGCCCAAGACGAGGAACTCAGGAAGACAAGCAGCAGGCTTGACGAGATAGAGAGCATGGTACCTTGTCCCAAGTGTAGACGGGAACTGATTTGGAGACTCTTGGCAGACAAATTCCTACATCGTAGAGCAGGCAAGGCTCAGAGAAGAATCTGCCCAGAAGCTGCAGAGGGTAGCGCACTACCTCCAGTTCATGCAGACAGCGGTACATGAACATTGCGATCTAATCAGCTTGTTCGCTTATTTCTTCCTCCTTCTCCTCTTCAAGGTCGGCAAGTGCCATCAAGCGCACAGCAAGACCTTTCAGGTTCGTTCAAGAATAATCGTCTGGAGCACCTGACACGTCGCTTGTACCAGCAAGACTTCGAGTCAAGAACAGAATCTCAGCGCTGGTTTGTAGACATTCTGACGGCAGACGAGCAAAAGTTGATCCGCCACATCATGACAGTGCACCAAGAGGTCTGGCTCGCCCTCGCCTCCTCCCTCGCCTTCTTCCTCGCGTCCTCCCCCGCCTCCTCCCCCGCCTCCTCAGATTCTCTTGCTCCATCGCGCGATTGGCGTCCGAGTGACCTGCGGCAGGTTCTTGCAGACGGGTCGAGCAACGAGCTGCAGGAAGAGAAGCTGAAGCTTCTCGTAGACGTGCTCTCCCTGCGGGTTGCCCTTCAAGGACACTGACTGTCGGTTTTCAGGCCTTCCATGCTTCGGTAGAGCTCATTCACGCTGTCCGTCCTAGGCTGGAGCGGCTGGAAGGGAGAGCCGTCGAGGGAAGCAGAAAGAACTTGGCAAGGATTCGATGATGTGAAGGATAGATGGGAGCAACGGCAAGGGAGGAGGGGCAGGATGCATCAGTAGCAGCTTGATCTTTGAGGGGCACTGACAAGATGTTTGCCACATGCGTATGTATAGATGTGTTTCATTAGTAAAGGTTGCTCGGTGGGCCAAGTTCAAAGGGAGCAGAGCCTGAGTCCCGGCCCGCTCGCAAAGATCAGATGCACGATGGCGTCTAAAGGTTCAGGTGCAGGCACAGGGGGTGTGTTACATCAAGAGTCCGATGCGAGGATAATCGTTGACGGTGCGACGGCGAGCAAGAGATGCTGCTACAGGGTGGAGAAGGAGGAAGGGAGGAGGGGGGTAGTAGGGAGGGGGTTGACAAGGGAGTAGGTGAAACAGAGGGAACATAGGAGCAGAAGAAATGGCTGAGAGTCAATGCTGACCTTACCTGCTATCATCGCGTGTCTCTTGCCCGAGCTAGTGAGAGCTCTCCCCTCCCCTCTTTCTCCTGTGTCTCCTCCCCTCTGTCTACTCTGACTCCTCTGTCTCCTTTGTCTCCTCTTCCTCTGTTTCTTCGCTCTCCTCGCTCTCCACTCTCTCGAAGTTCCATTGGAGGGACAGTCAGTGAAGGGACAGGAAGTGATGGGAGCAGAGGAATGTATGGAGGCCACAAGCAAGATTGTGGAGCAGAGGAATCGTTGACCAGCGACGTACAGATGAAGGAAGTGAAAGGGGATCTCGAAAGTCGTTCTCTCTGGCGTGGAGTAGTATGAGAGCAGCGAGGAAGAGAGAATTAATGGAGGGGCGAGAGAGATAGAACTGGACCACTACATCTAGAGGAGGGAGGAAGGGTGGGTGGGGGAGGGGGGGAGAAGGAGAGGGAGAGGACGTGCATGAAGGCAGGGCACAACCAGTGCTCGGTTGTTGCAGGGCCCCGGGAGTGCGGTAGAGCCTGGGGCATGTACGGAGCGAGCGGGGACTGGGAGGAGGAGGACGGAGGAGGAGGAAGGAGGAAGGAGGAAGAAGGAGGATACATGGTGATCCTGTCAGAGGTGATGTCATTGAAATGAGGCTTTTGCAGAGTCTCAGTCGGAGATCTCAACTTTGAACACCTGTGAGGACTTGGCCTTTAGAATATAGGAAATCTATAGTATATGTTCCACAAAGTTCCGATCTGATAGCGGTTTATGTTTTTTTCCCTAGGATAGAATCGGGAACATATGTAGCCTATGTGGAATTTTATAGTGCTTTTATTGGACTTTTTTCCCGCCAAGGTTCCAGTGTGTAATACCAATAACTCAATTTTAAACATTGTTTTTGTTATTTTTAATCCTTTGTCATTAAAAATGTACTTATACAAGTTTTGAAATGAAATTCCATAATGTTTCCTACAAAGATGCTTTCAATATTTCAATTAAAAAAAGATGATCAAATACAACTTTGAAATCACTGTGACATTTTCTATTAAAACAGTATTTACACAGTTACCTCTGGAGTTATATATATATTGCATTATCAGTACAAAAATATTTGACTTGTACCAGAATCAGATTTCAGTAGACGACACAAAAACAAAATCGTAAAATTGAAGATCAGACGAAGACCTGCTCTATAAAGAAAAAGTAGAATGATTCCTACGGGTTTAACAACTATATTTTCTTTCAAAACTATATAAACATTATATATGTTTATTTAAAATATTAAGGTACAAAATGGTCTCCAATGGGCTCTAATAATTCGTATTGAATTTAAGAACTGTTTTAGAGACTTTTTGCTTGCCGGGCCTCGCGCACCGTCCTCTCCCGCCATGGTAGCGGGACGACAGGGAAGCGGCATGCACACCTAGTTCTTCAGAGATTGAGGCCTCTTCTTCGTCCTCGTCCTCTTCCTCGTCGTCCTTCTCCTCCTCCCCTCATTTCTCTCCGTCCTGGTTCTTATTCCCTCTTCGCCTCCCTACCTTCTCTCCTTCACATCTCAAGCTTCGACTGCTGAACCTCTCCCAAGCTAAAAAGCAGCTCCCTACTTTCCGCGCCTTGATTTTCTGGTTGCTCTAGCTTATTGCGTGTCTCGTTTGGTTGTTGTGCCAAGTCCTTGAGCAGCAAAACAAAGTCTCTGTACGATGTCGTCCGAGCGTCTAGCAACCAAGGCTAGCAGGCTGGCTTCCCAGCAAGACGAAGAAAGGAGGATGCTGCAAGGAAACTTTCGTGTAGAGAGGCGACACGATGACACTGTGCACTGTGCTGAGGGTGTTCCTGAAGGTAATCCATGAAGCATTCTTGTCTCTGCTGTATCTTGTTTGCCTGTTTTCCGTGAACTTCGTTTCACTAACTGTTTGTGCCCTCAGGATGGAAGGTTTTTGCGCAAGTCGAAAATCAGACAGCTCAAGTCTATTTTGTGTCACCGTGTGGAAAGATCATGACTCGCATCGAGCAAGTGCAAGAATTTCTGCAGCACACATCAGGGGACATTGAGCACAAAGATCCCAGGAAGGGAGACATCATCGAGGCAGAGATGGAAAACCCTGTCAAGGATGGAGAAATCGAGTGGGTTAAGGGTGTTGTGAAGAAAGCCAACTTTCAAAAGAGAACCTTCAAGGTAGTGTTTAATATCCAAGAAGCCGATGAAGAAGGGTGCTGGGAGGAAGAATACTCTGTGAGATCACGAGTAATACCGTTTCTGCCCTGACATGTCTGTGTAGATGGATGCTATGGATGAATGGAGGTGGCCAAAGCTGACCATTGACATATTGCAAAAGTGCGCAGATAGTGTAGAACAGTCTTGTAGGGAAAGCCTGCATGAATCAGCCATTTACGACAAGAACGATGAGCAAACTGGATTAGAACATGCTGTTAAGGTAGAGGCAGCCGATGGTGAATCAGACAATCTGAAGAAGTCTGTTGAGGTAATTACAGCCCTTGCTTGTTGCATGTTTGATTGCCTCACCGTGAACATGCAGCTCTTCGGAAAGAGGTTTCGGATTAAACTTCTCCTCAACACACTAAAGAAGATGGATGGACTCGGGAATTTTGAGACGTTCAACCGTTGGAGTGATCTGGTGAGGAGAAGATGTACAATGATTGTCTCCTGATTGACACTCTTGAAATAGATGAATGCTTTGAAAATAGAACCCGAAAGCCTTGGACTGACTTATGAAAAAGTGAGATCAGTTCTGAAGAAGTTTTACAAGAAGCATTTGAACAAGTCTAAGGGAAAGGAGGGAACATCAGGCAAGTGGCCTGAAAGGTCTTCAATCAGTCCAATCAATAGTCCAGCTAAATCTCCGAAGTCAAAAGGCCGTCAAGTGGGGGATAGGCTTTCAGTGGGAATGGAGCTCGAAGCCGAGATGAGTAGTGAAAGTGGGGCTAAGGAATGGATGCGGGGCACTGTCACAGATATAAATCATAACAATCATACTTTTGAAATGGAATTCAACGTGCAAACAAGGGATGAAGTTGGAAACTGGAAAGAAGTGTACAAGTTTCAGGAGGTTGACAAGGAATGGAGATTTCCTTCGGTGGTTCGCGAACCGTCACCGACAACAGTGCAAGAATCCAGTGTGACAGACTGGCATGAAGTGTCAGTAGACAGTGAACAAAACCATTCCGCCGAACTTGCTTCACTGGAACCTACAGACATTCAAACGGGATCGATTGATGTAAGCCGCTGCAGCTGCTGTTGTCTTGATTTGTTGTTGACATCCCAAGCAGAGCATCGAAGTAGCTGGGAGACATTGTAAATATGAAGACTTGTACAAGATCGTGAATGAGTTGGGTGGTTTCTCTGTTGTCGATAGCGCAAGGAAGTGGGCGCAAGTGGTACTCATGCTTATGCGCTCATTACTATCTTGTCTAATCTTGTTGCAGGCACGTGCTTTGAATGTGAACACAAGATTGCATCGAACGGCTGGTTCCAAGATTAAAGCCTTTTACAAGAGTTTTCATTTCCCCTCCCCGTCGGTTGCGTGCAAGGAAGATCCCGAGACTGAAGAAATTAGTAACAAGATACAAGTTGGAATGGAAATTGAAGCAGAAATGGAAGATGGCAAAGGTGGAACAGAGTGGATTCGTGGAAAGATTACAAAACATGATAAGAAGAAAAAGTCTTTACATGTATTCTTCACTGTTCAAACTGAGACGGAAATCGGGGAATGGACCGATGAATACAGAATTGAAGACTATGGCACGGAATGGCGTTTCATTACACAAAACGAAGATACAATCGAAATATGTGAAATAACTGAATCACAAATAGATCAAGACGAAGGAACCGATCCTAAGCTTGAGGAAATACCAGATGAAGCTATTCGAGTGAGTGATGTGAGACCGATCATGGTTTGTTGATGACCCTGATTGCGCAGATATGCTCAGTTAATATCAGACTCCGTAAGTTGTTCCACCTTGTCTACAATGAGGGTGGTCCTGACAGTTGCACCAATAATAAGAGATGGACATCAATTGTAAGATGGGGGTGGCGAGAGCTTGCCGATGGTGACTTTGGTGCAGGCTAAGAAGCTGACAATAGACCCAAAGAAGTTCACCAACTGTGCATTTCTGATGAAGAAGACCTACATGCACCACATCTACCCACTCGTCGATGATGTCAACACAAGGTGGCCACAGCCTGATGACGAAGTGTTGGTGAATGTGTCAGAGAATGGAAGGGAACATTGGAGAGTCGGAAAAGTCACATCTGTCGAGTCGTCCCTACGGACTTTCATGGTTAGGATGCATCGGTCAACAGGGCCAGAGACAGAGCATGAAAATCAAGACCTCTCACATCAAGAAGGCTCCCCTATGAAGCTCGATGCAAAAACGGAAAGCATGGAACCCTTCTCAGAGGTTGGGCCATTGAGGATGTCTTACTTGAACCGGGAATGGAAACGGGTCGACTCAGCTGAGGAGAAGGATATCAAGACTGAGGTGAAAGCGTTGACTCGAGCCTATGCTGTAGTCATCGTGAGACAGGACGATCAGAATCAATTACATAGTGACAAGAAGTCAAGCTCAACAAGTCGGAAGAAGCGCGATCGTGAGGTAAGAAAGTTTGCTGTCTCCGACTCCCACTGAAGAAACGAGCTAGAGTGTTTTGGACCTCAATGGTACTGCACTTCACTTTTCGCCTGATCACAACTTGAAAAGCTCGCGAAAGGTTTTCAGTTCTTTGGTTTCCCTGTTCAAAATTCACCTCTTCCTAGGCAAAAGTTTTATCGCCTTTTGGTGAAATTGAGGCCAGTTCTTCATCGCCAAGCACTCGTGACGTCACACGAAGGGTGAGATGACGGCAATACCATTGAAGTTGGCTTACTTGACTGCAGGATACAAATGATGATATTCAGAATAAGATCAAATTTCAAGAATTTTTACAAACGCTGAAAGCCGGGATGCAGGTCGAAGTCAAGATTGACAATGACAACAGGACAAGACACTCTAAATGGAAAGTTGCAACAATCAAATTCATAAGTCATGCAAAACAGTATTTCAAGATTGAACTTGGGCCTGAAGATGGAGAGGCAATTGAGAAATATTATTTCTCCGAAGAAGGGACTCGGTGGAGAACGGTGGCCGTTGCCAAGAAAGAATCCGAGATTCAGACCTCAGTGCAAAGGTCAGGTGCCGCAAGGAAGAGGCAGGTGCCGTCAGTCGGGGCTGTGGTGGAGATTTTATTCAGTGATAACAAGTGGTATCGGGGTAAGGTAGTCTCAGAAGAACCAGGTGGCCTGTGGAGAGTTTGCTTCGAAGATGGGGACGAAGACACCTTTCAGTGGCCCGATCCGGAAGTCAGGATCATTTGCAAGAGCAGGAAAAGTCGAAGTGTGGGAAATGATCAAGAACTCAGCATGCAAGTAACAGAGATAAGAGTTGGTACACTCGTCAAGGTGAATTTTGCAGAACTTGCAAGATGATACCTGTTTGTCTTAGTTTGACCATCTTGTCAGGTACTATTTGATGACGGTGTACGGTACATCGGAACAGTTGTCACCAGGAACTGGCAAACCAATGAGATCACGGTAATCTTTGAAGATGGCGAGAAGCACGAGATCGAGTTGCCTTGTGCTGACATTCAGATCGCCTCGCACGCGAAAGAGCTGGAGGAATTTCAGGCTAGCATGGACCCAGATTCATCGGAAGGAAATGCTCCCTGGTGGTTCAGCTACCCTCGAAGACATGTACTGGAAGTGCAGTCGGAGGACGATATTTGCCCCTGGAAGAGTGTGGTGATTAGACCTCCGAGAAAGCAGAGAAGAGCTCGGGTATCGGCTGCAAGATCCAGAGGTGATACCAACCAGTCACAACAGACGCAGGAGGCAACAAGTGCTGAAAATACTCCTGATGCTTCGGCGCTCCGAAAGATTGGAAGAAAGAAAAGGCTCGAGAGTAGAGATGAATTGGAGAATGCAGAAGGAAAGTCAGGACAGCGGAGGAGCATTTCTTCGTATCAAGGGGATGCTGATGCTGGGCGAGGCAGTGAACGTAAAAAGGAAGATAGGAAGAAAGAGAAGGAAGAGAAGCGAAAAGACAAAGAAGCAGGAACCAAGAAACCCCAAAAGAAAAAGGATCCGAGCATGCAAGTTGAGAAGCAGCTGGAGACTTTCCTCAATCAATCATCTAAAAGATCCGGTGCTCCACGTGAGCTCGAGAAGTTGTTCCTCCAAGAAACACCCTCAAAGCTTCAAGAAGATGAAGACACATCTGACTTTGTGGATGCTCTTTGCCTGTACATGCCGCCGACCGACCTGCTGAACACCAAAGACTTCTGCTTGATTTGCGGCAGCTCGTCAGACCGAGACGACTTTCTATTCTGCAGGGATTGTGGAGACTCATTCCACAAGTACTGTTTCGACCTCACCTTGAAGATTCCCCCAGAGAAGCGGAACATGTGGAGATGTCCGGCTTGTAGGATCTGCGAGGTGTGCAAAGGCGAGGAGAACTGGGACGAGATGCTCTGCTGTGATGAGTGCGACAGAGGGTTCCACATCTACTGCTTGAGGCCTCCTCTGAAGCAGATCCCAGCGGAGGGCTGGAGGTGCAGCGAGTGTGTCCGTTGCCTGAGCTGTGGCTCCAAGACCCCCGGGCCCAAGGGGAGCGATCGGTGGCGAAAGGACTACACCTTGTGCAGTTCGTGCTGGGTGGAGTATGAGAAGAAGAACTACTGCCCGATCTGCAAAGTCGTCACCTCCTCCAAGGACATCAAGATGGTCAACTGTGACTCGTGCCAGATGTGGGTGCACGTAACGTGCGGTGGGATCGACAATGCGACGTACAACAAGATGGCTGAGGCCGAAGAAGATGTGCCATGGGACTGCCCGCGGTGTCGAGGAGAAATCGAAGTGTCTGACGATGACATGGACGAGCGATATCCACTCCCTGGGCCTGCCAAGGTCATTCAAACCCAGCAGAATCTGGAGGAATTTTGCACTGCCAAGGTGAAGGAACTGAGCAAACTGTGCGAGGCCGTTGAGCAATCCTTTCGAGCTGGTGACGCTAAGGAGGGTCAGCAAGAGCAGGAAGGGGATGGCACACCAGATGCCAAGACACAAGGAGCTGAGAAGAATGGGGATGCAAAGATGTCAGAAGCCGACAAGGATGATGATGTTAAGATGTCAGAAACTGAGAAGGAAGACTTCCAGGTTGGTCAAGCTGAGGACAAAGATAACTCGAAGACGTCAGAAGTTGAGGAGAAAGACGATACAGAGATGTCAGAAAATAAGAAGAAAGATGTTTCAGACATGTCAGAAGATAAGAAGAAAGATGTTTCAGAGATGTCAGAAGATCAGAAGAAAGAGGATACACAGATGTCAGAAGATCAGAAGACAGAGGATCCGAAGACGTCAGAAGCTGAGAACAAGGCCGAGGATGTCTCCCCACCGGAGACGACTGCTCGAACTAACGGTGATCAGATGGAAATCACCGAGGTCATAAAGGATGACGAGAAGATTTCACAAGGAGAATCTGTTGAGAGAGTGGAGTCGACCGATGACGTGACGCCGAAATCTCAGAGCAAAGAATCTCAAGATTCTCCCGCACCTGTTGCTGAACCTGCCTCTAAGGCACCGGAAACAAATGGTGTGTCTCAGCAATGTAACGGAAGCGAGGGCCACGTAACGGTCAAAGAGCTGACACAATCGCCGTGCCCAAGTACGGAGCTCCGAGGCGACAGAGAAGTGAAGTTCGATGCTCCGAGACTTGACGCTACGATGCCGCGAGACGAGGATCGACGCCTTGAAGCGACTGCCCCGCCTCAGAATGTCACGGTGTCTCCTCAGCCGCCGCCGGTGGGAGTTCAAGGCAGCAACAGGATCCCAGCACAGGGCGAGGCGTCGAAACAAGAGGATAGCAATGAAGACCAAGTGAATGAGTCGGCGTCATCCCCCAATTTGACCGAGAACCCACAAAAGTTTCAACCGTCGGGTGATCAAATGTTGAAAAGCTCCCAGGAATCAGCCGAAACCAGTCAAATCAAGGATGACCCAGCAGGAATTGAGGAAAAGCAAAATCAAGATCAAGATGCGTTGCCAGTGGCCGATGAGCAGGACGAGACGGAACGTGAAAGCAAGGGCAGCATGATGGAGGTGGATGATAATGACGATCAGCTGCTGCGACGGCAGAAAATTGTAGCTATCGGGCAGATCAAGAGAGAGTTACACCGATTGGAAAGGAACATTGACCGGCATAAGTATCTGAATTTGATGGATTTCTATGGCGACGTCCAGCTAGCTCTGAACAAGTCAAAGATGCCTGCGTCTATCGAGAAGTGGATCGCAGAACTGCGGTCAAAGGCTGACGAGGCCATGCAGGATGCGGCTAGGAGGAGCGCAGCATCGATAAAAGAGCAATTTTCCCCGCAGATCTTGAACAAGAATCGGGTTTGGGCGGTAGAATTGCCTGCGTTTCAGCTCTCCGAGTTTGGTTCAGGAAGCCCGAATGAAATGTACGGACAAGACTCTGCGTCCAAGCGCCTGTACAGGACTAAGAAAGGCATGGATGTTGAATTCAATGCCGGAAACGCTTCGAACAAGAACCTTGAATTCAAATGTAGACTCTTTGCGACGCGGGTGAGGTTGAGTTTGGGGGCAGAGTCAAATGTCTACCAGCAAGTTCTTCAGGTCTGTGACACAGTAGACTGGAATATTATCACTGTCGAGAAATTGTTCGCCGTTCTCAAACAGATTCTTTGCCGGAACATCGACCTGCTCAAGTTGTTTCAAAGCATCATGGTCTCCAGGTGTTTCGAGATGCAACCTTCATCGCAGGGCTACACTCCACTCAAAAGATCACAACAAGAGCAAGCCATGCAGTTTTGTACCGAGGTGCAGAAGCTGTATGGGAAGCATTCCGATGTCTACCGTCAGTTCTTGCAGATCATGCACAACTATGCCGAGCAGGGTCGAAACACAGGCAGGACGGTACAAGAAATCCGCGCGCTGTTCTACGACCAGCCAAGTCTGATCTACGGTTTCAGAGAGTTTTTGCCTGCTCCGTTTCAAGGGCAATGCCTTCCAGTCTGTTTTCTTGACAAGACACAAAAAACTGCGGACAAAGCCAGCGCTGCTGCCAAGACTGCCAAACCTGCAGGTGTCGCAGCAGGGTCTATCCCTTCGCAACACAGTCAACCCGCTCCTCCTCAGCACAGTCAGCATGTTTCATCGATGGCCCAAGATCAGCCTCAACGAACGCCTTTCGCAAGAATTGAGCAGCGAGGTCATGTGCAAGCGGGAAGGCCCGGCAGTGCATCGTTCACTGGAGGCGCGTTCGCCCCTCATACCCATACTCAATATCATCCCAGCTCGCAAGTGTACGGCATGAAGCAAGGAGATCAGTTCTTGGGAACAGCCTCGGCGAGCTCAGGGCCGATGAAAAGCTTTGGTAGTCAACCTTCGACCCAGACCGCGACATTTCCCCAGAATACTGCCTGTTCACCGTATGGCGCCAGACCTACCAGCTTACCCAACATGAACTCCAACATGAACGCCAGCAATGCTTTCAAGACAAACATGGGACCAGCACAGAATGTAGCGCTGAACAGCATGCAGCAAGGGGTAAGGAGATAGCTATGTGTTCTCTCTGGGTTCTTCTGACTTGTTATAGCAGACTGCTTTCTCCAGTGCGAGCCAGCAGCAGGCTGGAGGTTGGGCTCCCAGCAATCCACATCGAGAGCCACCTAGTCACGAGCAAATGTCGAGACAGCAGCAGCAGCAGCAGCAGCTCCAGCAGCAGCAGCAGCAGCAGCAGCAGCAGCAGCTCCAGCAGCAGCAGCAGCAGCAGCTCCAGCAGCAGCAGCAGCAGCTCCAGCAGCAGCAGCAGCAGCAGCAGCAGCAGCAGCTCCAGCAGCAGCAGCTCCAGCAGCAGCAGCAGCAGCAGCAGCAGCATCTCCAGTATCAGCTCCAGCAGCAGCAGCAGCAGCAGCAGCAGCAGCCATCAGGACTTTCGAAAGGGACGAATCCGCTGCTCAGTCAGACAAGCAGCGGCCATCAGGGTCAGGCGGGCTTGCTTGACCAGTCCCAACAGAGGTTTCAACTCCGCGCTGATCAGAGTGCGCTGGATAGGCAGACCAGCGCCTTCGGCCTCGCTAAGAGACCTTCTGCTGCCGCTGACTCTACATGGCTCCTCAAGGGTCAGGACAACCGAATGGTGCCCAGCCCGGTCTCACTGGAGCAGCAGCGAGTGCCGCTATCGTCACAGGGTGAGCTGATTGATCGGAACACTCTCAACCTGACTTGCATGAGCAGGAGCCATGTCAGTGAACAAGTCTCCTGCCCCCGTTGTCTCGCCCGCCTCCATATCGAGTCGCGTTGGGCCCGCTTTCACTAACGTAGGCCACCAGAATGGGGTCGCCAACGTTCAGATGGCGGCGAACTCTCTGCTTGCGAAGCAGCAGCTCTCTTACTCGGACGCGGCGTCAGGGAACTTCGTTGCAGCAGCTCGTCCGGCAGACAACTTGAGCATGATCAACGCAACTAGAGATACGGGGGCTGTGAAGGACCAAAACCAACCCAACCTAGTGTTCGAGTCGATTCCACAAGTCGACGGGTGCGATCTGGACGATCAAGCTTCTCAAAGCTCTATGGACGAAACCGGCACAAGCAGCTTCAAACCGAGCCCCAGCAACTTTTCTACCTTGGTCTCGCATCAGCCCATGGCGCAGCAGCTCAACGGGCCGATGATGATGGCACACCAGACACAAGCTTTGCACACTCTATTGCAGCAGAACTCCGTCTCTCGCCCCCTGCTGTCTCAGACGTCGATCTCTCATCCGTCCTCCTTCCCCATGAACAGCTTGCAGCTGCAGACCTCGTTCTCCTCGGAGCTCCTGGCGTCAAAGCTGTCTCACATGAGTGCTCCGATGGTTTCTCTGCCGCAAGTTTCTCTCCCTGCTTCCCTCTCGCACATTGCGACGCCACATTCGTCCATGCCCCTTCTTGCAAGGCCACAGACGTCAGCATCTTCGGCGCTGGTCCTACAGACGGCACTGCCACAGCTTCAGTCTAGTCTGTCGCATCAGCAGCTGTCGCAGAACCTGCAGCTGGCACAGCATCATGCCGTCGGACAGCAGCGATCCATGGTTGGGGTGTCCCTCACGTCTTCTTACGATTCATCACTCAGACGTGAAGCCCCAGCGCTTGCACCAACAGCATCACCAGCTCCAGCTCCAGCTCCAGCTCCAGCTCCAGCTCCAGCTCCAACAGAGGAGGCATCTTCAGCCCCAACTGCTGGGGTCCCAGCTCAACCTCAGCAGGAACCGACAGCGCAGGAGGCTGCCTACGACTCCCCGAGAATGAGCTCGGAACGAACAAGGACAGAAAATGTACGTAACCGCCCGCTGCAATCGGAGAGAGCGGCTGCTCTGGCTTCGACCCGGGCCAGGAAGGAGAGTCCTCCTCCCCCGCACAACAAGCGCATCATCCGCGACGCTGTGATAGCTGGGGTGTCGGTGAAGAGTGAGGAGGTCAGGGCGATTGTCGATGAGCTGGGAGGGATGGGAATTTGCAACGAGCAGAGGCTGTGGCCTCAGGTGGCCAACAGGCTCAACATCGACAGGCAACGGTGTCACTCCTACTGCGCGAAGCTTCGAGGTCTGTACCTGGGATACAGCATGGAGCCTCCGAGGATCAGGAGCCGCCCCGAGACGAGGAACAGAGATACGGGAACGCCCGTGCATGGCAGGAAGGCGGGGCCGTCGATCAGCAAGCTTGTGAAGCAAGATCTGAACCTGAACGCTGAGGGAGGAGGAGACGTGAAAGCTGCACAGCCGAGCTCCGATGTCATCGGGACCCTCAAGACGGTCAGGGTGGACCGAGAGCCCTACGATTTCTTTATTCCCATCAAGGTTGGGACCAGCAACCGCTCCAAGTCGCTGCTGACGGCGAAGCCTCGGCTGCAACGGGCGGCCACCATGGCTCAGGCGCTCTGGGTTGAGAGCATCTTCGAGGCTGTGTCAAAGACGGAGGCGGCGCGGACGCGATGGCAGGAGAGGAACAAGAAGAAGGCCAAGGTGAGAGGATGGGACCTCAAGACTCTTGGCAGGCAGATCGAGAGCTGCTCCATCGCCCTCGGCATCCTGAAGCTCTCCAATGGAAAGCTGCAGTACCTGGGTGGCCACAGCCGAATCGCCTCCATCGAGTCCGTGCTGCCGAGTGGGCTGACGAGCCTGGAGGAGCACGAGGTGCGACGAGCTCTTATGCAGGTGAGCCCCAGCGCGTGTGGGCGCGACCCTCGAATCTGCTCGCTGTGCAAGATCAACGGAGACTGTGTGGTGCAAGGGCGACTCATCTACGTTGAGGTCGGCGTGTGGGCGCACGTGAACTGCCTGTGCTGGTCCAAGGGGATCTACGAGGTCCCGGTCAGGCGCAACGTGGGCAAGATCAGCATGCTGTGCAAGGTGCACGATGTGATCAAGAAGTCCCGCAAGAATCGCTGCGACTTCTGCGGGTGCATGGGGGCGACCGTTGAGTGCTCGTCAGTCAACTGCTGCTCGACGTCGCACTTCGGCTGCTCCGTGCTCAACGACTGGATGATGTTTGCGGAGCATCACGTGTTCTGTGCCAACTGCAAGGAGACGGAGGAGGTCCAGAAGCTGGGAGGGGCCGCCAACGCCTTCACTCCGCTGCACCTGAGCAAGCTCGGTGCTCGCCTCCTGCGGGTTATGCCTCGGACGAAGCCGAGGATGGAGGGGAGAGAGGCGGACAAGAAGAAGCTGATCCCCAAGAAGCGGAAGAACCCGGGAGAAGCTCCGGAAGGTCAGAAGAGCTCAGCCAAGAGCTTGACGTCGGAGGGAGAGAAGAGAAGTGGCGAACCCGGAGTGTGCGAGTCTCCTACGGCAGCCGCCGAGGACGTGAAGATGAAGGACGGAGAGGCTTTCAACGGCGGGGAAGGAGAGCGGCAGGGGACGGAGTCTTGCGGGCTGCCCTGCGTGAATGATCGGGAGTTTGACGAGGAGCTGGACGCGTACGAGAACAATCTCGTTACCAAGGTGGCGCAGGACCTGCAGCAGGGCAGCGTCATGGCTCGGGTGGGCTCGCTGACCGTCTACCGCCTGGGAAGGATCAAAGTTGACGACGACAACTTCCACTCGGAGCTCGCCATCTACCCCGTTGGCTACATGTCCACCCGACTCTTCTTCGCCCCCGGGGAGCTGCCGACCAAGGGCGGGCCGGCCGTGCGCCGGGTGCTCTACCGCTGTCAGATCCTCATGGACGAGGGGACCGGGAAACCCATGTTCTGCGTGTCGGTGAACGGGCTGACGTACAAGGCTGACAGCGCGTCGGTGGCGTGGGAGATGGCGACGAAGAGGAAGCTGAGGGAGAGGAAGAAGCTGAAGGTGCATGCCAACGAGGGTCAGTGCGACAACGTAACTGAGATGTTCATGGCGTGCTCCTACGCCATCGACGGTGACTACATGTTCGGCGTGACCGTCGGCCCCATCGCCATGGCGCTCGAGGCCCTGACGGAGTCGACGCTGCTCTTCAACTATCACTCTCGCTTCGGGATCTGGGGCAAGAACTACGTGCGGCTGAACCTTTCGGGGTGTGCGCGAGCCGAGCCGTTCAAGAGGAGGAAGAAGATGAGCACGGCAAAGGTCCTCCGGAACGCGGAGAACGAGGACGCGCGACCTGACGTCGCCAACGTGGGCAAGCCAGCCAAGGAGGAGGAGAGGAGTATCAAGGCCAAGTACTTGCAGCTGAGGAGCGAGCCGAGGACGGTGGTGAGAAGGAGCCCCATCCACAACCTCGGGTTGTTCGCTACGAGGAGGATCGACCGCAACGACATGGTGATCGAGTACGTCGGGGAGCTGATCCGACCCATCGTAGGCGACATTCGAGACGACCTGGCGCTGGAGAAGGGAAAGAGCACGTACATGTTTCGGCTCGACGACAACTACATCGTCGACGCCATGTTCGCGGGCAACGCGTCGCGCTTCATCAACCACTGCTGCGACCCCAACTGCTACTGCCAGGTGGTGACTGTGGATGGAGTGAAGCATATCGTGCTGTTTGCCATGCGGGACATAGAGGCGGACGAGGAGATCACCTACGACTACAAGCTCCCGATCGAAGAGGTCAAGGTCATCTGCCATTGCGGTTCCGCCAAGTGCCGCGGATACATGAACTAAGAGCCCTTCTTGCCTCCCCCTCCTCCTCCTCCTTCCCCTCCTCCTTCCCCTCCTCCTTCCCCTTCCCCTTTGAGTTCGCTATGTCGCAAGTTGTTTTCGTCTGCTGTTGTCTTTCTATTCATTCTCTCAACATTAAAGTTGCTCAAGACGGTTGTCGCGCCTGCCGAAAAGTTTCAACCTTACGTTTGACCTCCCCTCCCTCCCCTCCCTCTTGAATCTGCTCCCTCCCTCCAAGTCTCCCGCTCTCACTCACCTCAGGAGGCCTCGAGTCGGGGAACCTCCATACGCCATTTCCGACAAGAGTCTCGTGGTTAGGCCGCCTGTCGACCAGCTCAGCTCTCGATCCCAAAGTAGGAGGGAGAAGAAGATAAAGGAGAAGAGGGAGGAAGGAGGAGGGAGGAAGGAGGAGGGAGGAGGGAGGAGGGAAGGACTCACAGTTGTCGCCATATCCCCGTTGAGACCGGGTCCGAGTACCAGGCACCGTCCGCACCCAGCTGGCAGGGGACCATCTGCCCGCCGCTCCCCTCCCACTCGCACCACTGCGTCCTCCCCCGCTTGCGATATTTCCTGCCGTACACGGGCATTGTCGGCCACTTGACCTCCTCCTCGGACGAGCTGTCCTTCTTCTCCTCTTTCTTCTCCTCTTTCTCCTTCTCCTCCTCCTGCGCCTCCTGTGTGGCGTTCATCGGTGGATGCGAGCTTTCCCATTCCCGCGCGTATTTCTACAAGATCACAGTCAGTGATGTGAGCAAGAGCAGGAGGAGTAGGAAGTAGAAGAGGAGGAGGAGGAGGAGGAAGAGAGACAGGAGCGAAAAGGAAACGAGTAGAGGAGGAGGAGGAGACCGACCTTGACGAGCTCGTCCACTTCCTGCTTGCTGGGCTGCTTGTAGGAGGAAGAGAAATCTTGACCGAAGAACCTCCTCGCGTCCGAGTCAGGGATGGTGACTCCGTAGATCATCGCCAGCTCTTGCTGCCTGCCCTTCATCTCCTTCTTCTCCTGACTCTTCTCCTCCCCGCTGTCCCAGAACGAGCCCTGCAAGAGCGTGAGGTGCCGGAGGAGGAGGAGGAGGAGGAGGAGGAGGAGGAGGAGGAGGAGGAGGAGGAGGAGGAGGAGGAGGAGGAGGAGGAGGAGGAGGAGGAGGAGGAGGAGGCATCGCTACCTTGTTTCCTCGCACGATGACTGGAGCAGTATCCGGATTGAACGCATCTCGCTCTTTCACCAGATCTTCATGGCAGATCAGGGCAGCTGCCAGCCGAGCGAAGGAAGCAGGGAAAGGAGAGGCGACAGGAAAGAGAACAGGACACGGCAGGAGGGAGCAGGGGGCAGGCGACACAAGCAAGACGAGCAAGAGCAAGAGCAAGAGCAAGAGCAAGAGCAAGAGCAAGAGCAAGAGAAAGAGCAAGAGCAAGAGGAAGACAAAGAGGGACCAACCTGTCTCGTCCATGCAGTCGCCTGAGGCTCCTCCGCACGAGCTCTGCTTCTTCGCCTTGAGGTTCAGCACGGAGGTGTGAGCTCCGAGCTTCGCCTTGGTGAACTCTGAACCAGGTTGAGAAGCTGCTCAACACTATCACAAGGCCAACCTGGCGACCAGAAGGGATTTCCTCCCCGCTGCCCGCTCCAGGTTCCCAGCTTGCTGGGCTCAGGTATCCGCTGCTCGCCCTCCTCCTTCTGCAGGAGAAGATGAGGGCACAGTGGCTTGACAGAGGAAGAGGGGGGAGGGGGGGAGAAGCGGGAAGGGAGAGGAGGAGGTTGGGTCTCACATCCTTCTTGAAAGGATCCTGCCAGGTCTTCTGGCCCGTCTCGCGATTCTTCCAGAACTGCTCGCCCGAGGAAAGATCGATCTCCTTCTTCCAGTCGCACCCGGGAACCTGAGCAGCAGCTGAGACAGAGCTGGGCAGGGAGAGGCTCCTGCTACCTTTCCGAGGCCGTTGGTCTCCCGCGTGCACCTGGGAGGCAGCTGGGGTTTGAGCCACCTGATCTCGTTGGTCTCGTGGTTGAAAAAGAAGGTCGCGGGGCTGCCGTTAGCCGTGTTCGATCCGGAGGTCCAGAAGCTGCCGCGAGGGGCTCTGTCGACGAAGGTGCCCACGTCCTACGAGGAGAGAGACATAGAGAAATCAGACGATAAGGAGAAGACAAACGAAGAGCGGGTGTGAGGGGGAGGCGGGGGGGAAGAGCCGCACGGGGGAGGAGGGAGGAGGCTCAGCAACTACGCTGAAGGAGGAAGAAACTTTCTGACTCCAGCTAGGAGCAAGCAGACTCACCTTCCCGTGCAGATCTGCGTTGGCGTTGGGCAGAGGGGTCACGCCTTCCCCTTGCTGCCGTTGCACGCTCGCGTCAACTTTGAGCGGAGGCGTGTAGGCGTGCGGAGCTTCGGATCCCCCCGGATTGAACTGATCGATGGGGAGGGAGGAGCCGCGGGCGATGAGAAGGTCACCGAACGTCTCGATGTTTGCGGCCTTGCAGTCAAACCGCGTCCCCTTGTCGTCGGTCACCATGCAGTCCTCCTCGGAGACGCACTCCAGCCGGTCCGGGTCCTGCAGCTGCTTGATAAAACCGTTGAGCCTCTTGCATTCCGCCACGTAATCCGCCAGCTGGAACTGCTGGAGGGTCTGGTGGAGCGGGAAGCCGGTTGGCTCCTGGGGCTGTCTTGGCTTCTCAACCTTCCTCTTCCTCCATCCATACTGATCGACGATCCCTGAGCTCGCAGCAGACAGCTTCCTATAGCACGCCTTCTCCTCCTCGTTCCAGACTCTCCCCCGACGCTCGCACTCGACCCGCAGGTCGGACTTAACGAAGTCGAAGGGCCCGTGCGCAAGAGCTTTCAGGTGCGTCCTGATCTTGTTGCCCCACCTCACACACTCTCCGTGACGGGACATATGCGCCTTCCACTGATACTCCGGCCCCCTCGACAAGCAATCGGCCTTTAGGTCCACATAGTTCCACTCCAGCGGGTACGCGGGGAGTTTCTTGCTCCTCTTCCTCCTCGCCCTCCAGCCTCTCTGGTCTGCTCGGCCTGAGCTGTGGAGGAGAGAGACGCACCGACGTTTCTCCCCGTCCCACTTGAACTCGGAGATTCCTTTCCTGGCGTCCTGCTGGATTCGCAGGTGGCAAAGGTGCTCCACGTCGCTCCTCACGAAGCTCAGCTGGTCGAGGCTGTTGGACTTCGAGGCTGGAGGGTTTGCCTTGGCCCTCCACCCATACTGATCCACCTCTCCCTCCTCCCCCAGCACGTTCACGCACGCATGCTTGACCGCGTCCCACTGGTAAAACTTTCCTCCATGCTTCACATCCTTCATCTTGTCATAGCACTCTCGCTCGAGATCTTTCGTCTGATAGTCTAGCGTGTTATCCCGCATGTGAGGTGTCGGCGTCCTCCACCCGTACTGGTCAACCTCACCTGCAGGGATCACCATCTTGTAGTTGAACGGTCCTTCCGTCGCCTGACTCTCGGAGTCCCCGTCCCTGCTGCCCCAGGTCAAGGAGGGGATGGGTTTGCCCTCCTTCATGCAGCTGTGGCTATCAGCATCCCACGAGAACTTGTCTCCTCCTGACAGACAGGACTGCTTCATGTCAGCGTACTGGAACTCAAGCTGAGCATGCTCGGGGAGGTTCGACCAGGGTTCCTCAGGAGCGAACTGATCAGGAGTATCCTCAGCAGTCCCCTCGTAGTTCACGTAGAACTGGTTCTTGAAGTCGCTCAAATGATCCCATGGCTCTTGCGGCGAGAAGGCGTCATGCTCCTCGCTCTGGTGTAGCATCTCGACCCTTGACTGCGACTTGCCCGAATACCCCATGGCTTTCCTGTCGAAGTATGGTCGAAGCCAACGCTCCTGTGAGGACAGCATGGCGTCTGCAGAAAGAAGCCGCGTGTTGCCACCACTGGCTGCCTGCAGAGTTCTCATAGCATCATTCTCGTCTGCGCCGCCGATGTCCGCCTCACTCCTTTGCATGCCGTACATGGTGAAACCACCTGCCAATGTGCTGGCTCCCTGAGGGTCCTGCATGCTCAGCAGCAGCAGCAGCAAGCAGCAGGTGCTCATCATAGTCATGAGCACGATCGCCGCACTTCTTGTCGGCGCACGCGCCATCAGCATCCTCGTCAGCCCCGTCATCTGCCCCCCTCCTTCGCTACTGCTGCCATGGCGAACCGAAGAGCCACAGCCCTCATACAGCACAGGGCTCCGATCTGGGGCGGCCCCGAGCCGGCCTCAGGTCCCTTGCAACGGTATCAACGGACATGCAAGAGCGGTACGGTAGGGAACCCGATGATGGATGCGATAGTAACAGCGATGATGCTTCATGAAGCGAGCTGTGCTAACTTGAACTGTTGTTGAACATGTGAGTTAGCTTGCTCTTGGTCTCAGCTAGTTGTTCAGGTACTACAGCAGAGCAACGGCTGAGAACGAAGAACTAGTAGTGTCGGAGTGCAATGCAGATCAGATCAACTTGAGCACTTGTAGCATCGTGTCTTGATGTAAGGAAGTACCGTAGACCAGATAGCAACTAGAGAAAACAGGGAGGAGGCAACATGGATTCAAGACTTGTAGTCACAGTGGGCAGCAGAGCGAGCACTGTAGCGTCAGAAAGATGCAAACTTACTCGTAACTCTGACAGGTGCGGCTGAGATCACAGGAGCCTCATGAAACCTGATGATAGCACATGAAAATCAGATGAGAGAGTGACCAGATCATCACCGAGACAAGTTGACATGCAGGCGATCTTTGAGTCGGGGAGCTCGAACACTCCATCCTGCTGGGAGCTGCTGCAGAACGCGATGAGGAAGAAGGTGGGCAAGACTCGAGACCTCCTCGAATTCGCGATCAAAGTCCGATCGATCTTCGACGGGTTCGACGATGACGGGTCAGGGCAGATCAGCGCGGAGGAGCTGAGAAAGGCGCTGAGGTCGCTCGGGGTCAACGTGAGCGTGAAGGAGATGAACCTGCTGATGAAGCGCTTCGACCATAACGGCGATCAGTGCATCGACTTTCAGGAGTTCGAGGACATGGTCAAGGAGCTGATCCCTCCTCCCGAGTTCGACGTTGGCGGCATCTTCCTCGAGCAGAAGTTGAAGGTCAGGATGCGGGAGAGGGGAAGAGAGATGGTGGGAGGAGATGGGGAGCGGGGAGCGGGGAGAAGTGGAGAAGGGGGAGAAAGATGGGGAGGGAGAGGGAGAGAAGGACTGGGGGAGCGGAGGGGAGAAGAGAGGGGGGAGAGGGAGGGAGTGAGAGTGTGACGATCTCTGTGCCCTTGGCTGACTGGTGGTGGAGGCATCCTTCGAAAAGATGGACCTCAACGGGGACAAGACTCTGGACGCGGAAGAGATCAGGTGCTGCCGCTGCTCGGGGAGCGCGATGAGTGATGGGGGTGGAGCAGACTTGGACTGCAGGAGTTGGGCATTGACATGTCAGAGGAGCACCTGAAGCGAGTGATGGCAGTTGCAGACACGAGCGGGGATGGTACCGTGGACTACGACGAGTTCGTGCAGCTTTACTCCAAGTACCCCGTGAAGATTCAGAGTGAAGAGGAGCTTCTGCAGATCTCTCGCAAGTGGGAGCCACCAGAGATTCCCGTCAGGGACTGCAGGCCTCCCTGGAAGGATGACACGTGCAAACCTGGTGCTAGGGTGAGCCGAAACAGTTGTGTGCTGCAAAGCTGAGAAACTTGAGGAGGTCATGCTCATGGCATCCTGCCGCAGACTGCCTGGCTATCATAGGTACTTGTCTTGTGATCTCTACTCTCTCTCTCCCTAGTTTGCTCTCTGCCCGTCCCTGGCTCGCTCTCTCCCTTCACTCCCTCTCCTACCTCCCTCCCCTTCCTGCTCCATTCCCGGTATCCTCTCGTTCTCGGCCCCTCTGTTGCTCTTCTTCCGTCCATTTCTCCGTATCTCTTTCCGTAGATCTCCATCCTCTTTCCAAGCCTCTTGTTACAGGTATCAAGGAGTAGGCGTACTGACAAGGCCAGTGGAGGGACAGCCAGGGCGATGGTGAGCGAAGAATGCTGTTATTGTTTTAGGTTGACGGAGAAGAAGGTTTGTTCGATTCCCAGGCGTGTCAGAGGTTTTCATGAATGTGGGCAAGAATGGAATCTATGAATTGTCTCATATTCATTCGGACCTGGCCAAGGAAGGGGCGAAGAAGGAGGTAAGCAGCTGCTCTTCTTCCTCGCTTCCTTTCTATGCTGTTGACCCAGCTCTCAGAACGAGCACCTCGAAGAGTTCGACAGTGACTTGGAGGAGGAAAGGGATCTGGACGAGGTGAAAGGCTGGGAGGTCCGAGGACTCTATGTGTCCGAGCTGATTCACGTCAGGAGGACGACATGGAGGGGTTTCGAACAAGGCTGAAGCTCGCAAGACTATCAGCGCTGGTTTTCTTGCTCCTCATGTGAGGGTATGACATCTTCTCACTGTCACCCTTGCAGGAACTTGAGAACCTATGACGAAGAGTTTCTCTCTATAAACTTTCGACATTAGTTGGTTTCTCTCTATATAGTTGGGTGATCACGAGTATACTTTTGTGTTCACAACATTTTTAATGCAATGTTCAACTTCCTTATGACATATGTGCAATCACGCTCGAGAAGTGATTTTAGGCTTGGCGCAGCACGAGGGATACGCATGTCAATGGTCAAAAGCAGGTAGAGGTTAGCGAGGCAAAAGAAACTCGGAGGAAGGCAGGGAGCGAAGGGGGTCAGAGCAAAGATGGGGAGGAAGGAACCGACTTCAGGTGAGCAGGCAGGACAGGGGGAGGAGCGCAGTAGCTTTGTGAGAATCAGTGTCTGAGCCTCGGAGGCTGTGAGTTGGGGAGACCGAGAGGTATGAGGGAGGGAGGGAGGGACCGGGAGGGACCGGGAGGGACCGGGAGGGAGGGAGGGACCGGGAGGGAGGGAGGGAGGGAGGGAGGGAGGGAGGGAGGGAGGGACCGGGAGGGAGGGAGGGAGGGAGGGAGGGAGAGCACCCTCGGAGCTCTCCGACCTACGACTTTTCCACTCCCCGTCTTTACCCCCATCTCCCAGTGACTAGCGCCGGCACATTATTAGGAGGAGACGTAGCGAAGGAGCCGTAATTTACACTCAACCTTGTCCACGGTACTAGTAAGTAAGAATAAAAAAAAGGTCGTCAAAGGTACTGCCGCGAGGTGAAGGAGAGCTCCGAGGCGGCACTGGTCATTGCTAGTGCACCAGGGGTGGCGAAGTTCGTCCACGTATCCTCTCGGCGAGACGTTCTGTGGTCAATTTTTGTCGGGGGCACGGCAGTCCGACTCGGAGGCTCCGTGCCACGATCTCGCCGGATCTTCATGGCCGTCATTCATGATTGGCCGTACCGCCGGCCGCCGGGCGGCGTCACGTCACGAGTCCCGGCCGCCCCCGGTGTACCGGGTGCGCCCCCGGGCCGCGTGAAGTCACTGGCCCTGAAGTTTTTGACTTAATCGAAGTTCAACTGTTTGAGTAACGAGTCCCCGTCGCCGCGGCTCAGTGCCGGACTCCGGCGGCCCGGGGACTCCCGGAGTCGGGGGCCCGGCCAGTACGGTATGCACCGTACCGTGGCACAGTGGGCCGCTCACTGCCCGGCCGTCCTCTCCGACTGAGTCTTGAAAGGTCACCGGGCAGCGCGCTAACCGTGGCCCACCGACGGTCCGACGGCGGCGCGGCGCGTCCGGCGAAATTCACCGGGCTTCCGAAGCCTTGAAGTGCGGCGCAGCGGCGGCGGCGCCCGGGGCGCGCCCCCGCCGCTCACTGGCGGTTCACGCCGTTTGCCGGGCCCGCCGCCGGGCCGCCGCGGCGGGCGCCCCCCCGGCCGGCCTGAGTCACCCCGACGGTTCAGCCTCGGCGGCGGCGGCGCCCGCCGCCGGGCCGTACGGTCGGGAGTCCGATACCGTACGGTACTGTAGTACGGTACGGTCAGGCTCGCCGCCGGCCCGTCGGATCGTTCCGAAGTTCCGAAGTTCGGCGGGCGCCGCCGATGCGAGCGGCGGACTCGGGTTCCGGCCGCCGCAGTGTGAGTCTCACGGTGGACATTGAACGCCCCGGTGGCACTGGAGGCCCCGGCGGTGGCCCCGCGCCGCCGGCGCGGGGCCGGGATCATTTGCGACGCCGGGCCCGCCGCCCGCCGCCCGGAACCGTTCCAGCGGCAGCTAACTTAGAGCACCGTCGGTAACTCGTACTCAGATTTTTTTACTTACCTTCGATTTGAAATGAAGTAACTTGTAAAGTTCACTGATCGGACGTAAAGAGGATATGATCGGACCGTTCAAAATCGCCGGGCTCAGACGGTGAGCCCCCGGGCCCCCGGCCCGGGCAGCCGGCCGATCATCCGGGATCATGATCCGAGTCCGATCGGAGTCCCCACGGCGGCCTCTTGCTCCCGGGGGTCAACGGTAAAGAAGTGGCTGTGAAAAGAGATATGTTCGTTACACCAACAGAAAAAAAAATACGGGACCCTACCCTACTATCTCCTTTCGTCAGCCGACGTAGCCCTGGGGCATCGAAATCACGCTATTTCAGTATGATTTCGGATGTTTTTTTCCTTTCTGTGTCAGCAACCTCCTGCCAGCCCCTTCCGATCTGAAGAGAACCCCACCCCCCATGGACGATGGCTGCTGTAGGATCACCCCTACCCACCCATAAATATAATAGGACCCCGTAGCTACCTCGTTGGGGGCTGCAACTGGCCATCACCCCACCCACTCCCCTCCAGAAACATCAAAACCCGAAAAACCGGCTTGCAACCACCCCGGCCACCCTCACATGACCCACCCCCTCTTCACCCTACCCCCTTGCCCCTATAGCATCCCTTCATGCACCCCCCCATTTTCCTTCTGTCTCATATGGTCCTCCCCATTACCCCTATTTCCCAGCTTGATGTAACTTCACCCCTCGGACCTACGAAAATCTTATCTTTATCGTCAAAGGTTCTTTTAGGAACACAGGATTTGAAAATTCACCCACCCTCACCCCGTATGCTGGGCTATTTTAGGGAAACACCCAAGGGCAGATATCAAGGGTACCATCATACATGGTACTTATCATAATAAATGATCTAATTAATTCACCACTACCCCGATCTCCTCATCCTGTCATCTCGAAGTACAAAGAATTCAATACAAATTATCACTCAATGTTTTTCTCATCAAAATCTCTCGAGTTTACCGTATTGCAAACCCTGGCCCCCGCCATCACCCCCACCCCCTGAAATACCACATTGAACTACCCCTACCCCTCATATCTCGAAGAATTCCCCCCGTTTATCCTAATAAGAACCTCCGCGCCGCCTCCCTGCTCTACCCGCATATTCGCAGCCACGGACAAGATCAGTCTGAGAGCATAAGGAAGCAGCGAGCGAGAGGATCTGGGAAGTAAAGAGAGAAGAAGGAAACACGAGTGAAAACCTGAGCATCAATCCGCGGCATAGAACTACCTGGATCAAAGGTTGAAGTGCTTTGAAGGCAGCCAGTTCAACTTTGAAACCACTTTGAAAAGAATATGTATATCGTCCAAGGAAAGCCAGGGGAGAGTTCATTGTACCCCTATACGCAGTCCCTGCTGCCAGAAGCAGCAAAAATATCAAATGACGCAACTATCCATCACCCCCAGGAGGCTTTCATGAAGGTGACCCAAGGACATTGGGAGGTGAGAGAAGACGAAGTACAATGGGGGCAGAAGATCGGAGAAGGAGCGAATGCAGTTGTCTTCAAGTGCAAGGTTCGAGGAGTCACATGCGTGGCCAAGCGGCTGAAGAAGGGGATGCAAGCGAGGTCTCAATCGTACAAGGATCTGATCATGGAGCTTGACATCTTGACAACAGTCGCCCTCCAGCCTCACTCAAACCTGGTTCGATTCATCGGAGCGAGCATCTGGGACCCGGAGAACCCGATCATCTTCGAGGAGTACGTTAACGGCCCTACGTTGGACCGATACCTCTTGGCGCGCTTCGGCAATCGTATGGGGCGCAAGACTATCTTCTCATGGAGCCTCGACATCCTCAAGGCCCTGGACTACCTGCACAGTCGCGACCCCATCATTCTCCATCGCGACGTCAAGCCTGCGAACCTTATGCTCACTCGAGACTTGACGACGCTGAAGCTGGCAGACTTCGGGATGTGCAAGCCTGTGGACAGGTCAGTCAGAGACGTCGTCAAGCACCACGGGCATACGGGAACGCTGAGGTACATGGCGCCTGAGGTTCTCTCACAGAGACTGGGCAACTACAACGAGAAAGCGGATATCTACTCGGCTTCTCTTGTCTTGTGGTACTTGGCAACCTGCCAGCGTCCGCCCGACAACGACTTGCAGCGGATCTACGAGCGGCCGGAGCTCGAGGCTGTTAAGTGGCCCAGCTTTGAAGGGCTGATTCAACGCATGTGGGCCCAGGATTCCAACCAGCGACCGTCAGCGAGGGAGTGCATGGATGCGATGAATGCTTTCCCGGACAAGCCGGACATCAGCTCAGGAATCGCCCCTGGCAGGCCAACATGCTGCAACTTACAGTAACAAACCACCAAGTCAACACTTCCAATCGTTTCTTCATTGTTTGTAATTTACGCGGGCTGGACAGAGTTTTACTTGTGATTTGATTTTTTTCTTCTTGTCTTGATTTAGTAAGGTGTGATAAAGAGTCTTAAACGCTTTTATTGATGCTCCCTATTTGATCCTTTCTCAACTCGAAAGACACTCTCGCACCTAAACACCCGCGTCGGTCATGTCCTCACATATACACGTCGTCGAACTCTTGACGGACAAGTTTCTGAAGTCGTGGTCAGGGTTCGAGTGCAGAGAGCGTCGAGTTTACCTCCAGGTGGGGAACGTCGAGGAAGAAAAGATGAATATCGGGACTCATCAGATCCTTCGGGTGCCTTCCAGCCGGGTTCCAAGTCTGCACCCTATCAGCCTACTCAATTTCAGATGTTCTCCCGCTCACGTTGGGGTCAAATCGCTCGGGAGTATCCAGCATAGTCCTGATCTCCTTGGCGATGAGGAGATCATTGTACCTGGAAGGCAAGACAGTCAGTCACACGTGCACTTGACAGTCAGTGGGATGCATGCCTGACGAAACGAAGCAACGCATACAGTAGGATGTTCCTTGGGATGGGAATTTTGTGGGAATCCATGAACAGGATGAACTGGCAGCATGTCAGCAGTACTTCAAGGAGGAAGCTTGCCACCTCTCGAGCTTCGTTGATCAGGAGGTTGTCTAGGAGCTGCATTAGAATCCAGGAGATTTCTTGTTTCAGGTCTGCATCACGCCATCAGAGCCCCTGTGCTTCACTCCTCACGAATCATACGTTTTAGCAGGATGGGATTGGCGACGACCAGTTGGAAGCAGAACTGCGAGCATTGATGCACCAGCAACCCACGAATGGCGGCGGTAATGTGATACCTGAAATTACCAAGGGAACACAGTCATCCACAGAGGAAACCAAGTGTATGAATCACAGGATGTCTTTCATCCCAGCGTCCGAGAGATTTAAATCCTTCGCTGCACGCAGCCATCATGAGCCTTCCCAGGATCTCCAACGAACGTGTCCACGTCCGCACCATCCTCACCTGTTCCTTGCTCGTCGAACTTGAGCACAGGCACGAAGATGTTTACTAGGAGCTTCTTCCAGACTTCCACGCTTTCGGCCTGGGCCCTGGTCACGTCTACACCACCAGAAGGACGTCCTACCTGCATGCCAGTGACTCTGACCCCGTCCTGACATGCCCTGTGCAGATTCTTGACCATGGCTATGAGGCTTTCATCCAAGTTGAGGATAGAAGCCATGTCTTGCTGCTCAGAGGACTGTCAGCACTGACCAAGGGATGGAGCAGACGGACCTTGAACGTCCTGATCTCCTTGTCTATGCACACCACACATGTTTTCTGGTCGATGGGGAGATCTATGCTCGTCTGATCGGTCAACGGGCCGTAGTAGAGGAGAATCTGATCCGCGACGGGGACGTCCAGCTGCACTTCCACCTGCTTCTTGATCTCATCTAGCTGGGCGTCAGGGCGCACCTTGAGACTGAGACGGGTGTGCAGGTAGCAGATGTTCAACGTCGACGTCCCCTGCTCCATTCCGCTGCTTGCCTCCCTCATCATCCTCGGCACTTTGATCGGGCCTCTCCTCCCCGGCCGCTGCGTCACCCTCTGCTTCGGATCGGTCGAGCAGTAGAAGTGGATCAGTTTCAGGCACGCCAGCAGGTTTCCGTTCTGCATGTTGGGGCCCAGGCATCCGTTGAGGGTGTGGAAGAGCTGCCAGCGAGACAGGGACAGGCCCTTGAGGTACTTGTCCTCAAGAATCTCCACGCCGTAGCTTCCGAACCCGTTGGCTGAGATCTTCTCGAAGAAGACAAAGTACTTGCGGTCGGGGGAGAAGTTGTGGAGGGACTGGGCAACCGCCAGGTAGCGGTGCTCGATGGCGTACTTGAAGGCGTTGCCTATGAACTCGCGATCTGGCATGCACCCGTGCGAGTTCATCCTGTTCATGATGAGGGCGATCATGAGCCCAAGGTTGTGCTCGATGTTTTCGGGGACAGGATGGAAGGGGCTTTCAAAGAAGCTGTCTCCGAAAGAATGCTTCATCACATCCTCTAGCTCCTTGAAGAACGGGGCCCCGTCCTTGGTTTGGGACGGCCGGAGGAAATCTCTTACAGCACACTGGAGTGCAACCTTATAAGCATCCATGGGGGGAAGAGTTGCTGTCAAGATGTCCATATCTATGGCTCGGATGACGTCTCGGAAACTTGCTTTCTTGTTGTAAAGTTCTTGCCACGGGCCTTCGGCCACATGCGCCTGCTTTTGCACCTGAGGACCAGCACAGAGAAACCTTCTCTGAGCACACACAACGATGTCAGTATACCTCCATCAAGATGGGATCGACATCTTGCACAGAAATACCTGAGTATTCACTCCCTGCAGCCTCGAAGCATGGCAGCGCGCCTCGCACCACCCGGCTAGGTTGGTTGTATCCATCACGCGCCCGCGCGTGCCAGCAAGGATCCTGGCAGTAGGAGGGGGGAAGAGGAGGTGCAACCCGATCATCTGTCTGTTCATGGCTGAGCTCATCGCTCTCGTTATCATGTTCGCTCTCCTCGTCATCCTTCCGATCTCCATCCTCTCCCACACCATCGCCGCCCTCAAGCCCTGCGCCAGGCGCATGACTGTCTCTGACCCTTTCGTCCTCATCCCCGCTCATTCCAGGGAGTTCGCCCGGCGGCCCTGCCGGCGGCCCGGGCCCGGGCCGATATCACACGCCTGAGTGACAATGATCGTCGGCGGGGCCAGAGAAGGGGCGAACTTATAGCCCTGCTTTTGTACGACCCGGCGTGATCGGACGGTGGCCGCGCACGCCCGGCCGCGACTCGGCGGGGGGCGGCGCGGCGGACTAGTAGGCGAGTCCGAGTCCGCGGCAGCCGGCGCGGCCGAGAGTCAGTGGAGTCTCGGATCGGACCGTCCGACCGTACCGCAAGTTGAACTTTCCGAAACTTTGGCACTGTCTGGCAGCAGTGCGAGCGGAAGAGATCTGTACAGTAAGTTGTATTCCACGAATGAATAAATTAGAAACAATACCAGGAGGAAAGAATGAGAGGGAGGTAGTAAGACATGGGCAACTGATTGGGCCCGACATGACATTCTCTATCTCGAGATCTTGATCGCCTTCTCGTACCCTCCACGGGAGTTGACCTGCACCAAACAGTCAAGCCTGAGGCATCGAGGCGTCAACGGTCATCACATGACGATTCTTGTCAGGGTGCTGAACCCCAAGGAAGTAGTTCTCGGTGCCCTCCTTCAGATGAGAGAACTCCGTGGCAAAATCTTCCCCGGCAAGTCAGGCAGGGATAGAGGAACGAAGGAGGGAGAGCACTGAAAGATGTATAATGCCTAGGGAGCGAAGGGAGGCAGGCTCAGCTAGAGATCATTACCTGAGTCGCTCTCTTCGATCACTGAGCCGTTTCCTGTCCGCACCAGCACAACAGGCCACTCTTTCGAGCTCTCGTCATGGCTGATCGCCAGCAGCTGCTTCCTGACTTTGGTTTTGACCGCATCAAAATCCTCGTCCTGCCCACAGACAGTCAGCCATGCTCGCAGAAGGGCGCTAGCTCCCACCACATGCATGCGGATGAGGAAAGGCTCTCCGTACGTGCGGGGGATGAGACCATTCCTCTGACCCTGCTCGGGATCAGCTGTCACAGAAACGAGGATCAGGAGCAGATCTGGGGCTACCTTGTCGAATTCGAAGTGAGAGACTCTGACCAGAAGGGATCCTTGAGCCTTGGCCGGGTTCTTCAGCCCACCGGCAGCTGCTGATACTGAGATTGCGTACAGACTTCTGGCCTCTGCTTGCCCCAGCCTCAAGACATCCTCCTCGCTTTCCTCGCTCTCTGCATCGAAGATCTCGTTGATCTTACCTTTACCAACATGACATATGTATATTTCAGGCGCCAAGTCCAACTTTTGTTTCTTGATGCTCTCCAAGATAGCGTTGATCAAGTTCTTCTCCTTTTCAATGAGAAACTCTTCTCTGACGTCCCCCAGCAAGCACACTCGCAGCAGATGCTTCGTCTCAAGCTCACGAATGTCGAAAGAAAGCTCTTGGAAGTACAAAATGTTCTTGTCCCAGCTCGACAAGAGATTCTCCAACGTGACCCTATCATCTCTCTGTGCTGGTTTCTGTTCCGGACCATCATTATTCGAGCTGTGCCTGTACAATTGTATGTGGAACTCTTCTGCTTGCTTCCCATTCAATCGACTTTCTTCAGCGTTCAACATCTTCACGATAATCCCACAAATCTTGTCATAAGAATCTCTGAGATGAACCTTCACTTGGAACAAGTCCTTCGTTCGGTCACTGATACTGCGAAAACGAACCGACACACTGTTCAACAGCTTGTCATAATATTTGCGAACACAACCATCATCACAGTCCCAGTATGGATCAGTGATCTTTGTCTTGGAGCATATACAAACATCAGCCTTGTTCAGGACAACAATCGATCCCGGACAGAGTGGTGTCGATGAGATGTCTGCCTCTTTGTCTAGTCTAACTGCACCCGACTTCCTGTCCTCTTCAAACGCCTCTACAGCACAGCCTTTCCAATCTGGGACAGCGCGTTCCACGAACTGGTCGATCATACCCGAAACAAGCATGTTTGGAGCCACGAAAAAGTGTCCCAAAGAAAGCAGCTCTTCTTTTTCAGCATTGAAGATCTTCAAGAAAATGATATCCAGCTTTCCATTGTTCATGTCGCGGCTCAGATCTCTAGAATCGAAACTTGCTGTATTCTCGCAGAACAGGCAGGTGTCGGAGACAAACAAGTCATTGTCAGCAATAAGGTCTGCATCAGCACTGGAACGAACCTCGCATTCTACTCTCATGGAATCATTCCTAATCCTGCAGAGCCAAACTCTCAGACTCTCCTCAGGAATCTTGGTGACCTGAGCTATCGTATGCTTCATCTGACCAAGTGTATCTGTCTTGAGAATACTCATGTGCACAACGGAGGTCCATTCTACAAGATCTAGTCCCTGATGCATCGAGATATCCTGAAAGGTGCACAACCGTATCTGAATCTTGAGGTGCGCTTCCAACTTTTCCCTCCGTCGCAACTCCTCCTCCTCCTCCTCCAGTCGGAATCGCTGTCTGAGGTGGTCAGGGATATCGTCATGCGTCAGCGGACGCAAAACTTCATCGACGGCTGATTCCCTCACGTACACAAGCATGTAGGCATTGCTCGTTCGGCGCGACGAGCTTCTTCCTCGGTTTGCTGACGGCGAGAAAGCCGAGTCCCCGTCCGATTCATCTTCCCCTCCGAAGTTGTTTTGAATGGCTTCCTCAGCACTCACAACGCTCACGCGCTCGTCATTGAATTTGAGCCACTTCGACTTACAATCTGGCCGAATGTATGCGAAATAGTGACCACCATGCACATCCCCACTGTGTACCAGCACGCTGTGCAACAGATATGACAAGGAAGACTTGGCTTTTCCTTGCATGTACTGCGATAGATCCAGGACAGATCCGAATTCAAACTTATCGTTGATCTTGACATTGGCGTCTCTGACCGGGTCGTACTCGAACCGCTTCAGGTGCAAGTGGAGTACAGGGGGGAGGGAGAGGAACGCACATCCCTTCTCAGCATCTTGAAGTCCATGGCCATCAGCCATGTACTTGTTCTCCCCGTCTAGCTTCTCAACCTCAACGTACTTCATCAGAGACTCCTCGATGTTCTTGCAGCCTTTCACGTTCAGTGACAGATCGTAGAACTCTTCCTCCCTCAGACTGGAAAAATCCACATTGATACACTTGACAAAGTTTTGAAGCTTCCCCCTGAACAACCTGGGCACCTCTCCATCAACTATCGTCCCCTTCATCTTCTCTTCAAGATTGTCGCACAGCACTCGATCAAGCTCCTGCACATCGTGCTGTGTGAAGGCATCCAACGCATCCCACCCAAAAGATTTGGTCAAAGCCTTCGTCCCTACACTCTTCTTGCTGTGCTGCAAGTTGTAGAAGACTCTCTGCAAAGCCAAGGCAACAGAATCAGTCGAGGAGCTGGAGCTGTCGCTGCGCGAGACAATTGCGGGGTGGGAGGAGTGCCTGGGTCGCTTGTTCGCAGTCTCCTGCTCCGTCGGCATCTTGTAAACCGCCCGCTGCAATGCTGGAATGTGAAACAAGGACTGCAAGAGGGAGTTCATGTAGCATGTAGCTCCCTGATTCTTCAGGCCCACGAAACCAGTCTCTACTTTGGGATCGTGAAGCCATAAGATCGGATCCTTCGAGCTGTTGTACTCCCGCCCCTCGTGATCTCGTAGAACTCGCACGATCAGAATCACAGTCAGCACATTGTCCACCAAGAACCCAGCAGATTGATCCATCACGATGTTGTACTTCACAAACGTGTGAAATCCCCAATCAGCATCGTCATACTGAAACACATGCTGCGCCTGCTTGGTTTCTGACCACACGGGGTCACGATTCTCGATCGTGAATTCGAAACATGCATTCACCCTGTATGGGTCTTTCCTGCCCTTCATGAACTTCGAATCGAGGAACAGGGAGGTGAACTGCTTGTTAATACCCACAGGAAACATCAGGATACTCCAGGGGACACCGGAGATCTCAAACAACGGGCTATGTACCTTCCCGTTCCTCCGAGAAAATTCCGGAACCTTCCATACCACCTTGTAGATGTCCGGATGGCCAGTCGATTCCGGGCCTTGTAGAGAGGTTTCAGGGAGAGACTCCGCCTCTGCGTCGCTCGTTTGCTCTTCCTCACTCGTCTCCGCCATGGTCCGTTCTTCCTGCTGCCTGTCTACCTGCTCCACGTCGGATTGAGGAGAAGTCTGCCTTGGTACTGCCATCTTAAGGACCTCGGATCGAGAGTTCCTCCTACACTTGTCACTAAGTCTGATGTGTGAGGTGCGGGGGGAGAGAACACCCCTACTCCTCCTCCGGTGCGCGGAAGGGCCGGATCACAACGCCCCCTCCTACTGGCCGTTCCAGGACGAGGATCTATAGCCGTTGCTGGGAGGAGGGCATGGAGGAGCAGAGCTGTACAGAGAGATGAGGTAGAGTGTGTGAAGTTTCAATGGCAGGAGGGCAGGGCGACCCTTGTCGTCTCCTCCCCTGCATCCTTGCCCGAGTCGCGCATGCGCAGACGCCTCCCGCCGCGCATACACCTCACCCCCTTTCTCCTCCTCTAGTCAAGGGGGTACTTGAAGGGTTCTTGCTCCTTCTTTCCTGTGCAAGGGTAACATCTTTTTCAATTGTGGTATTAATGTTCGCAGGCTATGTGCAGACCTTCAAGATTTGTGGTGTTCCACCCCAACACTGACCTCTTACAAGGGAACCCCTACCCCTGATTTCGAATGAAAAAACCCTACCTACCCTGGCCCCATAGTCTCCACAGCTCCCGCACTAAAACACCCATGGTAGTAGCACCATGTGGATTTTACATTAATGTCTCAAATAGATATTTCATATCTCTTACCACATGCTTTGATCGTTGCTCTCCTTGTACCCAGGTCTCGTACATCTGAGACAACCCCACCCTCTACTTGCACTCTCAGCTTCACCCACCCCTTCTGACTTGTTACACTCAACCTTTTCAACTAAGGTTCTTATCTTGTTTTCAATTTGGACCTATGATTTTGAAGAGTTCAAACAATTTTGAAAATACCCACCCTGTTTTGGTCAAAGTTATGCCCACCATGGTTTTTCCTAACAAAATGGAGTTGAAAGCACGGGTGATCAGATGTACCCCCACCCTCTCCCTGGCTACAGCATGAAACCAAGCCCGCCCCACCTCTTTATTGCGGGAAACCATGGCTCAAACTTGGGACAACAGGGGAGGAGAAAAGAGGAGAATGAGAGAAGATGGTCGACAGAAAGTAAGAAAGAAGACGAGGAAATAATGTGGAGGAAGAAGTTGAGAGAGTGATCATTGCAGATACACACAGGGGAAGGGGCAGCGACGAGGACAAGGGAAACGGCGAGAGTTTTGGAATAGACGAGAAAGAAATAGAAGCGAAGGTTGGTAGGTGAAGAGTCGTGTGGCGGAACATTGCTCTTATCCTGTCGCACTGGTTGAGAGACAACACTTTCGCAATAGCATGAACCACTCAAACCTTCAAAAGATGCGAAAACGGAGGCTTAGTATGTTTGCAGGATGGTCACGAGGCTGCTCCGGTCAAAGGATGAAGCAAGTACACCTGGCAAAGGCGAAGCGGCCTGTTTCTCTTGTCTGTCATACGCATGCCGCATGCAAACCTGAACGCAACGTTGACGGCTTGTTCAAGCCAAGACTCCATTCCTGTGCGGCGTCTCTTGTTCCTTGGGTCCTTTCTTCGTTGCGAAAGATGAGCTCGAGCACGGAGCAAGCGGCTGACATCAGGACCATGCAGCCTGAAGATTGCTTGGACGACAACCTTGCCTACTTCTGGCGCAAGGTGAAGTCTTGCCGTTCTTGCGGGGTCTGAGCTGAGTTGCGCTGGCAGCCTCCCGAGGGTCAGCCATTCTTCAAGGTTCGCTCCCTAATCCCTCAGGTTCGACCCTCTGACTGCCTGCCAGGGAAGAAACTTTGTGCTATGGAACGGCTGGTTTGTTTTCGGCCCGCTGGATGGGATCAGGACCGTTGGCTTCACATGTGCTACTAGCATGTTTAATAATCACCGTCCTGACTTCCTTGTCTTGATAGTTATCCTGATCGCCGTGCCCAGCGCACTCTTCCTGGCTTATCCTGCAAGGTAGGCAATAGTTTGAGATGAGTACCATTCCCTCTTTGCTTTCCCTAACCCCAATTCCTCTCGTTCCCCCTCCGACGAGATGACCTCCCGTCTTATTCTCCACCGGAGGCTCTCCTCCCTCCTCTCCCTGGCTCCCTGGCCTCGTCTTCTTGTCTTCCACACTCTCTCCTTCTGCCCTGCTCTCGTTTCCCTCCTTTGTCTTGTTTTCTCCTTATCGTTCCGCTCAGAGCTCTGATCTACTTGCTATCTCCGAGCATGATCGTCATAGGAGCTGTTCTTGTTTTCGTCACTCTTGCTCTCCTTGTCCTTACGGCCACCACAGGTCGGTGCTCCTTCTTCTCCTCTGCTGTCTGTCCCTTGACTTGCTCTTGTCAGATCCTGGCATACTTCCCCGCTTTCATCCCCCTCAGCTCGGCCCAGATACCATCTTGCCCCTTGTACAGAAGGTAAGGACTCACTCGCCTGACTTTTGGGATGCTGAGGTCGAAGCAGTTTGAAGTGAATGGGGGCTTGCAAAAGCTCAAGCTCTGCTCGACGTGTCAAATCTACAGGCGAGGAGGACAAGGGTGTTTTGTGGTGCTCTGACGGAAGGCTCTTAGACCTCTCACAGCCTCTCACTGCTCGTTTTGTGATAACTGTGTACTCGACTTCGATCATCACTGCCCTTGGATTGGGACATGCATAGGTAGAGGATATCTTGTTGCTGCTTCCTCCTCCGCTTCCTGCTCAAGCTCTTGGCAGGGCGAAGAAATTACTTCTTTTTCGTCATGTTCATTTTCTCATCCACCGTATTCCTTGCCCGTTCCCATGTCAGGCGTTGATTTGCGGCAGATTCTTTCCTTCTACGTGCTTGCATGCAGCTTGCTGCATGTGATCTTGGCAAAGAATTACAATGGGAACGGAAAGTTTGAGTTCAAACGAGGTGTGAGGAACAAGAACGTCGCTGTGTAATTGATACAGGAGGCAGATGTCAGCGAGTACTCCATCTCCTTCTTCCTGATGCTCTACTCTTTCATCATCGGCCTGACTGTTGGAAGGTAGAGCTGCGTCAGCTGCGTTGTCTTGTTGCGACTTCCTTCAGCTGACGTGCCATGGTGCTTATTCCCTTCCCCTTCCAGCCTGGCGCTGTTCCACACGTGCCTGCTCTTCCAGAAGAAGGTAGCAGCGCGAGCGAAAGGGATTGGGCGGACTTTGATGGAGTGCTGGCAGACAACGAGGGAATATATCCTCAACATCAGCGGGGAGGATGTAAACTATGCAAACAGAAATACTTGTAGCCAGGTGCTGTCCTATGCTGATCCTGCCCTCCTCCTCATAACTGCCATAGTTCCTCTGCGGAAAGGAAAACTTCAGCTTCATGAAGACCATCCTCAGGAGGAACGATGAAGATATCGCGGACTTCGTGAAAGGTTCACTGCATCTCGTCCCTCCGTGTATCTTGCTCTCTCCGATCCTCACCACCATTAGTTTGTGATGTTCCTCCTGTGCTCGCTTGCTCCCTCCCTCATTCTCCTCCCCTCCCTCGCTCTCTCCAGTCTCATCAGTTGCTCAGTTATGTGCCAATCGTTCGATGTCCTTGTAGCCTCCGATCCCAAAACTCTCGAGCAGGTGAAACATTTTTCTTCCAACCTCCGCTTTTCTCTTACATGTCCTCCCCTCCTCCCTCCCATCCTGCTGTTCTCTCCGTCCGCTTTTCGCTCAACCCCACCTCCCCCCCCCCCCCCCCGCCATCCCGCACGTCTGTGCCCTTGTCTTCATCTCTTTGCCTTCAGCTCTCGCCTCCTTTCTCTTCGTCTCCGTGCCTTTCACTTCCAATTCCTGCAGATTCCCAGCAGGAGAGCAGCAGAAGCTCCTCCTCGTCCGCCAGGTGGGCTCTTGCTCAAGTCAGTTGCTTCCTCATCGCCTCTCCAGCAGCTGAGGGTCCGACGGAGGAGGAGTGGAATACGGCATCTACCCCGACCGAAAATTCTCAGCTCATGAGGAGAGCGAGCAGCGCAGCGGTCGACTCTGTCTGCACGCCAAGGTGAGCAGGAAGAAGCCGTGTTGCTCTGAGCTCTTGGCAGGGACGAGGAGGAGGTGGACGAGGAAGAAGACGGGAGAGAGGTAGGACTCGAGGTAGCGTTGCAGGTGGATGAAGGTAGGTGCTTTGGCTCCACTGTCCTGTCCTTCTAACCCTCGTTAGGGTCGGATGTTCGTATCGCCACGACGGAACAGCCCAACAAGAAAGGTCTGATTGATTCTAATTTGACATTTGACTGAGTTACAATCGCAGTATCCGATCTAGAATCCGCGCAACCGAGGTAGAGCTGTTTGCCTTGCAGCATGACAGTGATGGTAATTTGTGACTCTGACACTTTTTCTTTCCGTTTCCTCAGATTCAATACACCAACAATAGTCAAATATAATGTTTAAAGTTGCAATAGTACAATTAGTGCAAACCAACTAAAGTTCTCCCTCCAGGCTATGAAAAGATGTTTCCAACCTCCTCCCCCCTCAACACTGAATCGACGACAAAGTCATGATCCAGTCCGTTGCTTCCTCTCTCTCCGGGAAACAGGATCTCATCTCCTCCTCCCTGGTGTAGACGGGGATGCAGTTCGACCTGTCCACCCAGAGCGCATTCTTTCTCTTGTACGCACACCCATCCACCTTGAACGCCTGGCTGTACCAGCTCGAGTCCGGCAGGTCGAACACGTACAGATCTCCTTGAACTGTCAATCGAGCAAACCCAGCAGCCACGCCCTCGGAGGAGGAGGAGGAGATCTGCATGGGACCGCTGAGAATAGCCTCGTCCCAGGTATTCGCCTCCTCCACGCTCTCTTCTGCCTCAACTGATTGCTCCGTCTCCTGAGCATGTGCAATGGATTCCTCCACCGCAGGCTCTTGAGGGGTAAGCACTGGACCTTCATCATCTGGGGATGGATGGACCTGAACGACATCCTCCGGCGTCTGAGCAGGAGGGCTGTCGCTCGTGAAAGCATGCTGCAAGGCAACAGGAACTGTGCCTTGAGCCTGCATGTGCAAGGTAGCCACGCCAAGGAGGAGGACGAGGGAGGAGATGAGCAGAGCACTCCTGTAGCTGAGCTTGGGGCTCGCTTCTTCCAACACACACCCGTCGAACTTTTCAGACAGAGCCGAGTTGAAAGACTCCTGCTCTATCCTCACCGACTGGACTTTCTTGGCATCGAAAGGAGTGCAGGCAGGGGTTGGGGCAGCAAAACTGCCTCCCAAGGATGAGTCTCTCTTCTTGGCCTTGCCCTCCTTGGCCTTGTCAACATTTGCGTCGATCTGTCCCAGCGCCTTTCTAGAGGAGGATCTCCGACTCAAGGTGGGAGACAGGAAGTTTTCGTCGTTCTCGTCATGGATCGTGAAGTTGTTCACCATTGTCGCAGTCACCGCAGGAAGTCCAGGAAGTTCCGAGGGAGGAGCAGCGAGCGAGTCTTGCAGTTGCTGGAAGGATGCGGAGGCAGCGACGAGGCAGCAGGGGCAGGTGGTGAAAGGCTTCAATTGCCTTCTCCAACGGCGGAAGAAATTCAAAAAGGCGTGTAACGATATCCGAGGTCCGCCCGGCCCGGCGTCCGCGGCCCGGGCCCTCCCGACGACCGTCTCAGTCGGTCACCCGGAGTCATAGACCGGCCCCGGGCTACTTTGATCCTGACTCAGTGATCAGAGTGATACCGGCGCCGTAGGAGGCTCCCGGGAGTCCCGGCTATCAACTCTCCTTAGGCTCCGACTCTCAGGCGCCAACTGCTTGTGCCTTGACCGTACTCAAAGTTAAGCTAACTGAAATCAGTTGCCAGTCTTCAGTACTAGGTGACCACAAGGGGCCTACTACCGGCGCCCGGCGCACGTAAACTTGAAAGCATATTGCCGCGAAGATGCTGCCCGGCGGCCGGTGCGGCGGCGGCCAGCCTGAGGCTCGCCCGGTGTCACCCGGCCCGGCCGGCCCGGCCCCCAGCCGCCCCCTCGGCCCGCGGTTCAAGCCTGGGCCGGGCCGGCCTGGCCGGGCAATGATTCAAGAGTCCGGTCAGCCATGCCGCCACGGATCGGCGACTCACGGTCGGCGACAGTGGGACTTTCAAGTGACAACTTTTGTTAGGCTCAAAAATGACTAAAAATGTTTCCTTTAGAAGTCCGAGGAAGGTCATGGTGAGGTCGGCGGCCATGGCGGCGGCGCTTTTTGCGTCGGTGATGCCCATGGCGTCAGCGTTCCTTCATGGCAGCAGCAGCTCTTTCGTCCGCTCCCTCAGGCAGCACTCGGCCTCGTGCCCTCGTGTGCTCTCATTGTGCGAGAGGAGAGCTCTGTCCCTCAGGAGGCCTCTTGGTCTGCAGATGACGTTTGCGGGAGGAAAGAGCAAGTGGGACGACCCGAACTACGATCCCTCCAAACAGGAGATTGATACTGAAGTCCCTCTCCACATTGCTGCATTCAAGGGCGACGTAGAGGAGGTGAAGAGGCTGCTCAAGGAGGGTGCTGATGTCAATGAAGCGACGGAGACGGGTTGGACTGCGATCATGTGGGCGGCCAGAGGAAAGCGTCCAGAGGCAATGAAGGTGCTGAAAGACGCAGGGGCAGACCTTCTCTTCAAGAACAAGTTTGGTTCCACTGCTCTCCATGCGGCAGCTCACTGGGGGAGCCCTGAAGCAACAACCTTGCTGCTGGGCTGGTTGAAGAAGGACGAGATCGACGTCACAAACGCCTTTGGATGGACTGCCCTCCACTGGGCAGGGAAGGGAGGGCATGCAGAAGCAGCGAAGCTACTGATCGAAGCAGGATCGGACGTGAAGGCCAAGAACATGAAGGGGAACAGCCCCCTGCATGAGGCCTGCCAGCATGGCGGAGCAGACATAGTGAAGGTGAGGAGAGCTTGCCGTGTCCTCATGCGCTCATGTCGTTGTCAACCAGGTGCTCATCGACGGTGGGTGTGAAGTTGACGGTCAGTCTGACGATGGCGAGACGCCGCTGCACAATGCCGCCTACCTTGGCTTCACCGACGCCACGAAAATCCTCCTGAAGGTAAAATACAGCAGAGGTGGTGAGCAAAGGAGGAAGCAGGAATGAGGCGTGGATGGAATTGTGGAGGAGGCAGGAGAAGGAGATAGGATGAAAACAGAGCGATGTGCCGGAGGGTGGAAGGAAAGTGAAAGGGAGAGGAGATTGAGTACAAGGGGACGGGGGGACGGGGGGACGGGGAGGGATGGAGGGGGTTTGAGGCTCTAGAGCAAGTGACTGATATCTGACAGGCCGGAGCGAACCCTGACGCTAGAGACAAGGAAGGAGCGACGCCTCTTTACCGCGCCTCCCGCGGTGGCGATGTGGACGTAAGCTTTCCTTCCTCCGTGTTGTGCTGGACAGGAGGCGAGGGGCGAGCGGAAGGGGAAAGTTGAGAGGGAGGAGGGGAGCTGGGAAGAGCCACATCGAGAGTGAGAGAAAGTAGAGAAGCTGGGAGTTCTGGTCGGGGAGGTCGGGGTGGGGGTGGGGGGTTCATGTAGTGGTGGTGTAGAGGAGCTGATGATGTTTGAGGAGGGGTGCAGAGATCGGAGGATGGAGGGGTTGATAGGGTGGTCCAGGTGGTAGAGATCCTGCTGGATGCAGGAGCCGATCCAAATGTGAAGGCAGAGAATGGATGGACAGCTCTGCATGAGGCGTCGAGATGGGGGAGGAGGTGAGAGGAATGGGTGTCGCGCGCTGGGCGTTAGTGAGCTGGCAGCCCTGTGGTGGAGACGCTGATCGGAGCGGGAGCATCCGTCAACGACAAGAACGAGGATGGGAATACTCCTCTCCACCTCGCGGTGAAGCTTGCGCTGCATGCAGGGTGACTGTGACATGCCCTGAAGGCTCTGTGGGGACGGGCGTGGGATGACGTTGAGGTTACCAACATGTTGCTGGAGGCAGGAGGTGACCCTGGTACGCGCGGCTGCTCGTTAGCGCCTTCATGACAGTGACCGGGATGGCAGAGCTGAGGAACAACTTAGAGGAGCGGCCGCTGGAGATCGCTACAGCAGACGTTGAGGAGGTGGGGAGGGAGGAGGAGGAGGATTGTAAATCTAAGTGACATGTCGCAGGACGAGTATGAAGACTCGGACCTGATCCAAACTCTCATCCGCATCGCCGCCAAGCAATGAGCACTCAGCAGTACTGTGACAGTCTCCTGGGGCCCGGCGATACTTGCGGCAACTGTCGGGACCCGGCGGCATAAGCAATGATACGGTCACCTCACGGCCGCGCCGGCACAAGGCTGATCGAGGACTTCTGCCATCTGCCAAGAGCTCCGTCACATGCCGTTGAACTTTGCTTGAACCCTCCCGACGCCGGACAGCCGCGAGGAGTGACAAGCGGTCCGATGGCGCTTCGAGCTCTTGGTTCGCCCGAGTCGGGCCCGCAGTGCCGGGTGCAGTGCGGCGGGCCGCCAGCCAGTGCCCGGCGCTGGTCCGGGACGGTCCGAGATTTTACGGTTCCGAAGTTCAGTCACGAAGCCTTTCAGCCTCCGCCTGGCAGGCTGAGACCGTCCCCGGGCCCGGGTGTCACACGGTCCCGGCCGTATGGTCTGCCAGGCTGGGCTCGGAGGCACTGTCGTGCCATCAGAGTCTGAGCCGGACCGCCGCGGCGGGAGGCGGCTGAGAAAGTTGTGTTCGTCATTGATTGAATGATCATTCCAGGCTCCGAGGCTGACCGCGGGTGTATTCAATGGCATACTGATCCGATACTCGGACTCCCGGAGAGCCACTATCATATACTGGCCCGCGGCCGTCACTGAGTCACATCATCATCATCCCGGCCGCCCGCCGGCCTCCGAGCCCGGAGTCGGTGGCACCGGGCCGCGCCGCGGTCCCGGATCACTGAGTGTCGGGCCCGGCTGCGCGGCCGCCGGGCCCACGCCGTCCCGGCGCCCGGCCGCACCGGGTTTCAATCATCACGGTGACGCTCGGACTCAGCCGCAGCCTACCGGCGAGGCTTGCAGTGCCGCGCCGTGCGGCGGCCCGCGGCCGCAGTGAGCGGCGGCGGCCCTGTTTTACGCAAGCCTGGCAAGTTCGCGGGCCCGGATATGCCATCGGATGCACCGGGCCAGGGCCGCCGGCCCGGGCACTGATCGGAGTCGACGCCGTCTCGGATCCGATCCCGGCCGGCCCGGCACTCACGGTTTCTCGTACTTCCGAACGTGTCGGAAACTTTCAAAACTTTCAACTTCAAAAAAAATTTACTCAGCGGCGTGGGAGTTGAGTAATCGGCAAGGCTCTACAATTACCCTTTCCCGGCCCGATCACGGTCCTGGCCGGGCGAGTCATGGGTCATCATCGTTGATTAAAAGCGCCATAGCCCCCCATTCACCCCTGTGTTCCTTTCGAGGTACCCCGGTTTCCACGGAAGGGGGGCCGTTAGAACCGATTTAAATTTACAAGTGATTTATTCAAATGGATCTCCTACTATCAAGGAGGCTACCTCGCCAGTGCTGCACCGCTTGATGATTTTTTTTTATTTTAAGATTCGAATCGTTGCGTTGTCACCGCACGTGCCTTTATGACATTCTCAACCACCCCCGCATACAGGTAAGAAATTGTCCAGGGTCACCCCCTCGTGTTTTCGAAGCGAGACTGGCAAATGAAACAAAAAGTTGGCGTGCTGTATCTTCGCGGCAGGCGTCACGGCATGCTAGACTATCCGATAAATGGTATGGCTCTGAGGTAACTGGGGCGCCAACGTTCTTTGGATAGTGCGGAAGGTCTCGAAAAATCAATTTTTGTTGGGGCGAAAATGAAGCAAACTTGAGTGATTATTTTAGGTTACTGTGATCGGTATTAAGTCAACAGGCCAAACGCACCCCCACGCGGTTGTGACGTGAGCCCAGTTAAATCTGCGATAGAATTCTATAAATGTTTCAATATTTGTGGGCCTTCACTACGCTTTGTTTTGTAGATTCCCATACATGAAAACACTTTTTTTATTGCAAAACTAATGTTTTTCGTCAAGATGACTGTAAAATGCTGACCCTCCAGTGCATCGTAGAGTCAGCTCTTGGGGGTAGGGTCACTTGCATTAGAAATTGGGGGTGGGTGGTGGGAGGATCAGGTAAAAGGGGGGCAGATTATTCGGTCACGTGTCGGAGTTTTTTCTTTCTTCTCGGGATGTTTCCAACAAAATCGACGAGGGTTCTCGCAGATTGCAAACAGAAAATAGTTTCAAAACTTATTTCAAATGTTCGTGTAACAACCCAATTTGTTTCTGTCAAGAGCGACGGTGTAAGGACAGTTTTTCCAAATAATTTGAATTTTTCAAATTGATTATTCCAACTTTCTGGTCCAACATCCTAGTGAGGCGAAATCCTCTCTGCCTTACAGGATTAGGGCGGATGTAGGGGTGGGGTACCACAACTGCTTGCCTGCACTACGGGGTACTCAGATTGTATTTTAGTACAGGGTGTGTGGTGGGGGTACCCACCAGGGATCAGTGTTTTTTTCTAGTTGTGTAGAATCAGGACGTACCCCTGTCCACAGTGTAGTCCACCCACCCTTCTCCTGAATTTCCTATAGCCTACCCCTGTACACTAGTCTTGACTACCCCTCGTTGCCCAATACGCCTGCTTCGAGCACTGCTAACCTGTTCCCACCCTAACTCCTTTATAACTCTCGTCCCTCGGACCCACCACCCCCTTGATTGAAGTTTGAGCCAACACCACCCCCATCCCCTATACCCATGGACCAAGAAGCCCCACTATGCAACTATGGCTAGTCTATTCTCCACCCCACCCCCAGATTTCTGGAATGTCTGTTTTACTCATTTTCCCCCCTTTTCTCATTTTAGCCCCCACATCACATGCGCAGCCCATTAACCACCCTACTCTCGTTCATGATCACCCCCCTTCTAAAATCACATTTCGTGTACCCCTACCCCTAATATTTCATCCCCACCCGTGTGTTTCCCATACATAATTGAACAATTGAGAGATTGATTTGTCCCTTTTTGGCCACCACCGGTACCATTGGACAAGTACCCCTCAGAATGGATCATCATGACAATTTACCCCTATCACCCCTACTGTACTCTTAAAGCACCCCACCCGCCCCCTATTTGAACCACCACTGCATGCGCCATACACCTTTGTACCAAAACTTTTTTTTGGCACCGGTCCTTACGTATGAGAACAAAGGAGTGTTTGTAGGGGTGGGTGGTTCAACGTACCCCGACAACAATGGATTTTCGGATGATCTACACGATTGTGTTCACCACCCCACCCTACGTGCTTCACGTACCACCCATCTAAATTCACTACCCCCTGGATCTCCTCCTACCCTACCCCGATGATCCTCATCAATTACCCACCCTAGCTCAAAGAAATCCTGCACCACCCTCCCCTAACATGCTGACTGATCACCCCACCCCACTGTTCCCTGACCCAGTCTTGATTTCGTCTCATGCCCGATCACTGACACAAAACACCGGTACTTATGCCTTCATAATCACCGGTTATAATTAGTTTCGGAGGACCCCACCCCATGTGCATCCCTACAAACCAAAATCCCGACCACCTCAAGATAACACTCTGATCAGGTGATGTGGTGTGGGTGGGGGAGGGTATACACCACCACCCCCCTAGGGTTCCACAGAGTACCCACCCATTGCAGTACAACCCCCGTCCCCCGTTTTCTTGTCCTCGCCCCCATCCTCAACAAGCCGCACGTCCTAACCCTGTTTACCTCCTCTTCCTCTCTTTGACTGACCTTCCATCCTTTCTCCTCCCTGTACCTACCGCTCCTCGCTGTTCCTCCTTGCTCCTTCCCGCTCCTCCTTGCTCGCCTCCGCATCTCGCTTCATTCTTCTTTCGAAGGACACAGAGCTAGGCTCGTGCATTCCTACTCTTCAGTTTGTGCACTGGAGTTCAAACACTCCCGTGCAGCCGGCGCGTTTTCCTGTACTGTATGTCATCAGCGCTCAACAAAAGACAACCTAAAGCGAAAGAGGGAATGTCTTATGCGATGTCGAAGAAGTCAAAGTGCCTTGTAAATGCCTCAAAAGGTGAGGGTTGCTCTGTTCTGTAACGTTTGCTCTTGCTTATTTGTTGGCTGCAGTGTCCAAGCCGAAAGGAAGCATGGACAAGATCAAGGCATCAGCTGCTCCTCTTGCCACACAGAACAGAAGGAAAGGCTGTAACGCACCTGTGGAGTCGCCAACCTGCGAGGACGAGGAGATGGCAGGAGGAGCTAACGTCTCTGCCAACCACAACAAGTGCGATCCCTTGTGTCTTGTGCTGATGCAGCTCCCTCACGCTGTTACTCAGGTACTGCCACTTCTGCCAGCACGTCAAAGTCCGTGCGAGCTCCATGCTGGCCTGCGAGAACCCCGAGTGCTGCCGGAGGTTCTGCGAGCACTGCCTGCTTACCCACCTGAACGAGGACGTGGACCCCATGTCGAGTGACGCCTGGTCGATCTCCAACGGCAAGGTGAGCTCTCTTTCCTCCACCACCACCACCTCCTCCTCCTCCTCCACCACCACCACCACCACCGCCACCCTCCTGACGTGTTGCTCATCAGCCTGTCTGGAGCTGCCCCATCTGTCGCAACAAGTGCTGCTGCAGCGTCACGGACTGCACGGCGGATCATAGGCATTGCAAGGCATACAGATATCGCAGGAGGCGAGCAGAGCTGGCGTCGAAGAGGATGGCGGCAGTGGCGGACAAGAGGGTGAAGAAGACCATCACCAAGCCCAAGACGCCGACCATGGCGAGGCCAACCATCTCCCTCTTCGGACATCGCTCTTCCAGCTCGTCGAGCATCGACACGCCACCTGCCTGGGCCTCGGGCTCGCACCTCAGTGACGCCTGGACATCCCGCAAGGAGGCGATGAAGACGCATGGAGGGGAGGAGGCAGACTCGGACGTGCTCTCACCGGTTGATTCGGTGGTGGCCAGCCCAAGGGACTCGGTGAGAAACCTCAAGGAGGCCAGGAAGGAGACGGACGCGCTGGGGATCTGGCAGCCCATCCATGACGGAGGGGAAGCGAACTTTGATGAGGGCCACCCCTTCTTCGAGGAGAAGGAGGCTGCGGACATGGAAGATGGGGATCAGTTCGGGGAGATGAATGAACAGGACATGTTCGGTAGCATGTACGGCCACATGTGCCCGATGCCTGACGACTACGAGTCTGCAATGTCGGATGTGACGTCTGACCTTTGGTCGGACCCAACGCTGAGCAGCGAGAAAGAGTTTGTGAAACTGGAGGACGGCGAGTTGGACGAGGCTCAATGGCTGAGGAAGACTTACGAGACTGTTTATAACCCCGCTGCTCGACAGCGGGCGCTGCAGAATCTCATGTCGTGTATAGGAGGAAAGGCGAGAGAGGCGGCTGTCAACGACGGACCCAGGAAATGCACGGTCATGTACGATTTTGTGTAGAGGGGACCAGTAGGGGGGGCAGGGGTTGTTATTATTTGTTTGTGTTGAGATCGGACGATCTCCTGTTACTGCTAAGAGAGCATGCAACAAGCTGCATGTTAAGTATGAACCAGTGATATATAACTTTAAGCTGTATAACTTATAAAAAGTGCTAACAATGAAATAGAAAACATGTACTCTTAGTCTGATCCGCACAATCGGGGAAAGCTACGCATCTCTGGACGACTAAAAAGCTTATCGTGACAAAAACGATCTCGCACTTTGCTCCGAGACTGTGTGTCAGGTTATGAGTTGTGAGCTAATCAAAGTGCGTGTGAACAGTTCCTTTCATTTCACCAAGTGAGTCTAGCTGAAATTATCTACACGGTGGAGAGATCCTTCTCTTTGGCCTGCAAAAATCAAGTCAGCGTGCAAAAATCAAGTCAGCGTTTTGTCCTCCTCCTCTCCCTCCCCTCTCCCCCTTTTTTCTCCTCCTCCTCCTCCTCAGAGCGATCTCTAAAGAGTGTCACCGCGCAGAGGTTGTCGATTTCTTTGGATGAGCTGTCCGTAAGCTTCTGGATGTCGTCCTGCATCGAAATCAGAGCAGGGAGCAGCAGGCAGGAGACAGAGAGCAGAGGAGGGAGGAGTAAAGAACGAGAAGAAGAGCATGCAAAGTCGAGAGCGTAGGGGGAGGAGCAGTAAGATTTGCAAGAGTTGGACAGTGTGAGGAGGGAGAGCAGGATCGTGAGTTGGCGATCATGCAGGACCTGAGTAGACTTGGACTGGTCTTCTGAGACAACGCTGTCCTTCTCCAGCTTCTTCACCGCATCAACCCCTGTCCTCCTGATGTTCCTCAAGGCGACCTGACGAGCACAGAAGATGTGAGGAGAGCAGGGAGGAGAGGAAAGCTTTGGGAGGACGAGGAGACAAAGGGAAGGGAGCGTGGGGACTGAAGAAATGAGGTAGGCAAGGAGAGGGGGGAAAGAGACCCTGAACAAGTAGAAGAAGAAAGGGGAGGTAGCAAGGAGGAGACAGAGAAGACGAGGAAGGGGAGGAGAGTGAAGAAGGAGGAATGCAGGATTGCTCCGACCTTTCCTTCCTCTGCGACATTCTTAGCCTGTTTGACGTAGTTCTGCCTTGTCTCAGCAGTGAGCGGGGGGATGGAGATGCGGATGATGGCGCCGTCGTTGTTGGGGTTGAGACCAAGGTCAGACGCCATGATCGCCTTCTCGATATTCTCTGGATGAGTCGTGAGTGACAACGGTATCAGGTAGGATGAAGATTAAACAGCGGATCACGGGCCACGAGGGAGGGGGGGATAGGGGATGAGGGAGGGAGGGGAGGGAGGGGAGGGAGGGGAGGGGAGGGGAGGGTGGAAGAATCTAGATTACTGAGAGCGCTCTTCTCGAACGGATCGATGGAGATCATGGAGGCACTTTGGATCTGAATGGAAGCAATCTGCTAGATGGATCAATTCTTGTTTCCCCTCCTCTACTCCTGCACCTTCTTTGCCCATCCTCACGCATCCTTCCCCCTCCTCTCCTCCTCCTCCTTCCCCCTACTTTCTCTGCTCCTGACTGTCCTCACTCTACCTGTGGCAAGGGAGTAGGAACGTCGTAGTAATCGACAAGAACTTTGTCGAAAATGTTGGGAGACGGTCGGCCAGTGCGGATGGTGGCAAGTGCCTCGCGAGTGTTTTCAACCGTTTTCTTCATCTTCTCCTTCACCCCATTGATGATCTGAAACGCAAGTCAGACCTGCTCGTGCTCCCGCTCCCGCTCCCGCTCCTCGTTCTCGTCCTTGTTCTCGCCCTCCTGCTCCTCCTCCTCCTGCCCCCCCTGCTCTTTTGCTTTTCTCTTTTGCTTACCGTCTTGACATCTCCACCCTTGACGTCAGTGTCAACCTGAGCAGAGACAGCCAAATCAGTGGTGGCAAAAATATAAAAATGTGAGGGGGAGGCCAGAAAGGACTAGGCAAAGAAAGCAAGAGGAAAAGAAAGGAGGAAGAAGAGCAACAACAAGACGTAGAGGAGGGGACAGAGCATTCGAATCAGCTACAGTAGAGAGCAAAAACCTTCTCCATCTTGACTTCAGCCACAGCGTCGCCTCCTCCCTTCCCACCCTTCCCCTTGGTCTCTTTCTTCCCCTTGGCCATCATCACCAGGCTCGATGCTCTTCTGGGCTCGGCAAACTTGGGAGCAAAGCTAGACAGCGGAGCATGAGGCAGGAAAGAAGATGAGGGGGACTGAAAGAGGGAGGCTAGAGACGAAGGGAAGGTGATGAAGAAGGGGGTGGGGGTGCGGGGATGGATGGGGGGAGGGGGGTACCACGCATTTGGTCTCAGCGGCATGCCCGTTAGAGAGGATTTGGCACCAAAAGAAGATCGTAGAGCAGGAGAAACCTGAGAATCATGTCAGACAGCATGATACAATGTCAATGATACAAGAATGTACGTGATAAATCAATTAGTGGTTGAAGATTATGAGCATCAGAGGTCAACCAACATGAACAAGGAAGGGAGGATCATCATACTTCTTTGACTGTCTCGTCATGTGGTACAACATCGTGAGACGAAATGGTGTGGTAAGTGTCAAGCACATGGCAAAACTCCACTAGCGACCTCTCTCTCACGATCGGCACTCTTCAACCTCTCCTCTCTTCCATGAGATCACCCCCTCCGCCTTGCACCCGAACTTCACTCGTTCTTAACATGACGATAAGAAATCCTTCTCCTTCTTGCGTGATGGCGACCTCCGACCTAACTTGCTACATCCTCCCAGTGCCCCTGGCTCCTGGCATATCCCCTTTCCTCAACATGATACATCACGGTAAGTATCTCCGCGATCTCACTCTCCCGACTCCTCCTCTCAGCTGGTGTGATCAAATTATCGTTTCCTCCTCCTCCATTCTCTCACCTCCATGCATGGCGCATATGCGAGCGATAGCGTGACCAGAGCTCCTGCCACCATGGCGGCCGCTTTGATGGATTATCGTCGAACTCCAAGAAAGGGGTTGTCGATAGATCAGGGAAAGAGGGGTAGGGTCCCTCTCTTGGTTCTTCAGGTGGTAGGGGGTACATTGTCTATGGGTAGGGTGGTAAAACAACAAGGAATTTGATGGTAATACGAGGGTACCACGTTATAAACTATTGAGTGGATTGCCGGGTGGGTCCTACAAACTTTGGGTGGTCGGAGAGGACAGGGGGTAGGGGTTATGAGACGGAAGATGTGTGGTGTAAAACAACGAAAAATGAAAGAAAAACAAAAAAAAGTTAGCTGGAGGACTGGGAGTCAGTTGCACCACTACTATTTCATTCATGGCGTTGGCGAGGATGCGCCTCTTCGGCGCCATGCGCAGAATGTCGACCACAGCTGAGGTGAGAGGGTGAGGACGAGGGGGACGAGGAGGACGAGAACGAGGAGGACGAGGAGGACGAGGAGGACGAGGACGAGAAGGAGAAGGAGGAGGACGAGTAGGACGAGGAGGACGAGGAGGACGAGGACGAGGATGAAGACGAGGAGGTCGCCGGAGGACGAGGACAAAGAACATGACGAGCACTAGGGGAGAAGAATGAACACAGAAGGAGAGGTGTAGAAAGATAAAAAAGATCGATGAAATCAGAACAATGCATGCAGCACGGGTTGTGAAGTGTTCAGAGCAGCATGGAATACAGCGGAAGACATGGTAGAGGAATGGGAGAAGGCGCAAAGGAGATAAAGAGAGGAATGGAGAGGATGATCAGGGAGCGGCATGGAGGCACACAGAACAACATCAAGAGGAGAATCTCAATAGGAAGTAGAAGGGAGGCATGCCGATAAGATTTTGTCTTTCAGAAGCTGGTTACAGTGGAGATGAAGTCATCCAAAGTTGCGATCGTCAGAATGAACAGGCCGCCTGTCAATGCACTCAGCAAGGACCTCATGCATGGACTCAGGCGAACTATTTGTGATCTTGAGGATAATGACGTCAAGGGAATCGTCCTCACCTCGTCATCCAAAGTGTTCTGCGCTGGACTCGACCTTGCGGAGCTCCTGAACCCAACACAAGAGTTCGTCTCGTCCTTCTGGAAGGAGCTCCAGGGCCTCTGGATCACGCTGTACAGCTCGAGACTGGTGACGGTTGCCGCTGTCAACGGAGCAGCGCCCGCCGCTGGCTGCATGCTGGCCTTGTCTTGCGACTACCGGATGATGTCGAGCAAGAACGTGATTGGAATGAACGAGACCAAGTTCGGGCTGTTCCCTCCTCCCTGGTTCGTTGAGCTGATGGCCGACACCGTGGGCCGGCGAAAGGCCGAGATGCTCCTGCTGCAGGGCACTCTCCTCTCGGTGAGCCCTGCCCCTCTCCCCTCTCCCCCCTGCTGACCTTCAGCTGGGTGTGCTGAGCAGACCGAGGACGCGCTGGCATGCGGCATGATCGACCAGATTGTGGAGAGTGAGAGGCTAGTGGACGCTGCCTGCGAGTATGCGGAGAAGGTCGTCAAGTCGACTGACCGAAAGGTGAGTCAGCACCTCCTCCTCCCTCGCGTCCCATCCTGTGGTGCTCAATCGCAACGTGGCTGGCAGGCTTACCAGACGACGAAGGAGTCGTTAAGGGCGCGTGCTACGAACGACCTGCTCAAAGTTCGTCTCCCTCCAGATGCCTGTGGCCTGCCTGACGACCTCTCCTCCTGCTAGATCCAAGAAGAGGAGCAGCGGATTTTCTCGCAATTGTTCACGAGTCCCAACATCCAGGACAAGATAGCCAAGTGCTCCTCTTTCTCCTTGTTGGCAACTCCCCACCTGATTGTGCCGGCAGGTATGTTGAGTCCCTCAAGTCAAAGTGATCGGGTTCATCCCGGTCCCATTCAACCGTCGACCGAATAGCAGCAAACCGTTGAAACCGTCGGACTGACCTCAGCGTCTCGGCCCCGGACTCGGACTCGGGCGGCTGGCTCTGCTCAGCTGGCTGACCTCCGGGAGTCCGCCGCGCCGCGGCGGCGGCGGCTCCGGGCGGGGGCCGCCGGTAGTGTGACTCCGGAAACGGCGCGCCGCGACGCCGGGGCCGGGACCGTGACGGCGGCGCTTGATGGCCGGGCAGTGAGTCCCGGCGGGCCGTCGCCCGGCCGGGAACTTGAACTTGGGTCCGACCTCAGCAGCCCGGCCGCACCGTGCCCTGATTGCCCGGCCGCCGATCATCATGGCAGCCCGGCCGGCCCCGGCTGTGATGACCAGTGGTTTGGAAACTGAAAGCCTCGCTGAGTAGCGGCTCCGAATCAGTAACTAATAAAGTGCGCTGACTCTGCTTTGAGCCGTGGCCCGTCCGAGCCTGCCAGGATCCGGGCCGAGAGTCGGACTCAGTTGGCCCGGGCCCGCCGGTTTAGATCGCCGGCCCGGGGTCACAAGTTTAGGTAACGAGATTGCTTCCTCTGATCTTGGCTCTATTGCCTGACAGCGAACGTTGAGTAAAGGTGTAGCGGAAATGGCGGGAGAGCGGAGGAGGAAGAGGAGGAGGAGAGGCAGCGGAGGCGCAATGGACCGCGCGCTGTTCCCTTCTCATCCCATCCAGTGTGCTGTTTGATCCAGAAGCTGCTCGCTTGCTGCTGCGACCTTGTCTTCTTCCTGTTTTCTCTGGCTTCGTGAGATCTTCGTTTCCGTTCTGCAGGTGGTGTTGTATGCCTGCTTCCCCCTTTGCTCCGACACGAGTTGTCACGATCATTGACATCTGATGCTGAGACAAGTTGGTAGAGGAAGAAGCCCTCAGATGTTCGGTAGGGGAACTGAGGAAGAGCGAGTTACTCTGGGGGTTAAGTAGTGGAGCACAGGTTTTTTGTAAAAGTAGCGTCAGGTTGTTGCGTATTGCACATGCGTGTATGAGTGAACACTTCTGCTAATTTCATGGAGGTTATGTGCAAAAGGTGGCTCGGGGAGATGCTGCTTCCTGCTGCTTGCTGCGGAGGAGGAGAGACTGAACGACGTGTTTAGGTCCTGAACAAGAATGCCTGCGCTCAAAAGAGGCGAATATGTCGATGTGTACAACGACGCGCTGTTTATTGTCGGTGGCACCATAGCATTTCTCCTGGCAATTCTCTCCCTTTCCTTGAAGATGGATATAGTGACATACTTGATTTTGTTAGACGAGGTACATCCTGATTAATCTCTTCTTCCGCCCCCTTGCCATTGCGGTGATGGACAAGAACAGCTCCAAGAAGGAGGTGCAGTGCTGAAGTTGTTTCTGACGTACTCGGTCATCTGATTCCTTGCGCAGCTCGCAAAGTTCACCAAGTATGCATGGCACCTGCTGACGTACATCTGCCTGTGGATCTGGGGCTTCGCGGTCGCTTGCATGCCCATCTCTGCATCCTGCCTAACGCCTGGACAGATCATGATGGAATCAGACTGGTCTTTCTTCAGGACGTGGGACATCGACCTGATCTGGAAGGGATACCCCCATCCTGCTCCAGAGAAGCTGATGTGCAAGTACTTTATGATGACCCAGGTCGCTCTCGCTGAGCCTTCGTGCCACACCGGCTGACGGCTTCCTCCTCCTCCTCCTCCTCCTCCTCCTCCTCCTCCTCCTCCTCCTCCTCCTCCTCCTCCTCCTCCTCCTCCTCCTCCTCCTCCTCCTCAGGTCTCGTGGTATATTCATGGGTTCTTCGAGAGCCTCATCGTAGACGCCGGGCGCTCAGACTTCATCCTGATGGTAATCCATCACGTCCTCGCGTCGGTGCTCCTCTGCGGGGCCTTTTGGGGGAATGCGCACCGAGTCGCCGTCACGGTCTGCGTCGAGCAGGTGAAGAGGCTGCTGCTGCTGCTGCTGCTGCTGCTGCTGCTGCTGCTGCTGCTGCTGCTGCTGCTGCTGCTGCTGCTGCTGCTGCTGCTGCTGCTGCTGCTGCTGCTGCTGCTGCTGCTGCTGCTGCTGCTGCTGCTGCTGCTGCTGCTGCTGCTGCTGCTGCTGCTGCTGCTGCTGCTGCTGCTGCTGCTGCTGCTGCTGCTGCTGCTGCTGCTGCTGACTGCGTCGTTGGTGACCCTGAGGTCTCTAGGACATCTCGGACATCTTCCTCTACTTCAGCAAGATGATCCAGAAGGTGACAGCGAGTTTGTCAATGGCTCTTTGCGCTGCACTGGATGCTGACCCCGCCCGTGCGACAGTCTGCCAGAATACCTGCGCTCCAGAACACATACCTCCACGGCTTCCTCATATGGCAACTCCTCGTAGTGTGGTGGTGGTGCGCTGATGCTCCTCCTCGCACCCTCTACCTCCTGACCCTCCTGCAGCACCCGCGTCGGATTCTTGGGCCTTATGGTCCTCCGCTGCCTACAGATCATCGGGCCGCTCGGCCTCATCACACCGTTCGGCAAGGACATGGATCTGCTCTCCATGTACCTCATCGTGTCCCTCGGCTTCTTCTGGGTCATGCAGGTGCGTTGGCCCGGCAGCGGGACCGTGGCTGGATCGGCCGGTGACAGTGATATGTCTCCAGTTGTTCTGGGGTCTTGGGCTCGTCAAGATGTGCTACACCCAGTTCAGCGCCGGGGTCATCCATGACATCTTCCACGACCAGAAGCACCCGCACAAGGGCGGCGATAAGCGCAAGGGGAACTGAGTTGCTGACTCCCCTCGCCGTCGTCATTAGACAGCAAATCCCAGGTTTGTCTTGTAGTTTTTTAGCAATAACAGGTAGACGCGTCATGTCGAAATAGAATACACAAGTCCTGCAGGCTCTACACAAAGAGTTCCTGAGTACCATCCTCGCTTGTCTGCCTACTGTCAGCCAGTAACTTTGAGGGTACGAACCATCATCACCTGCAAATGAGAAACGATCCTGTCTTCGCTCCGTGTGTCCTGACGGTAGTTGTTCACCCTGCTGAACGCTCCAGAAAAGGCTGCAAACAAGCGCTCAGGAATGGCCCGGGGGTCTTGTAGACCACAAGACCTGTCCTGAAGTCGGGCATGCGCTGCCGGGTCTCGTACGACGAGATCTGATCGCGCAGCTTGCACCAGCAGTAGGTGACAACACAGACGGCAAACACGGCGAGGAACACGGTGGTTGAGACAACAACAGGCATCATGATGCCCCAGTTGACTCCTACACCCCAAGTGAGACTCATCCTTCTACCGTCAACCAAACTAGACGTCACTTACCATCGCTGTTGGTCGTCGGCGATGGCGTACTGGACATTGTTAGGCTTGTTGGTTGAAAACCCGCAAATCTGCCAGCAGGAATATGAGGAGAGGAGCAGCCCCGACCCGCAGTGCACAGCTTACCAGTGCAATTATCAATGGGAATCGAAGTAGAGATGGTGGATGCTCTCCATTCAAGGCTGTCGCTGTCGGGGCAGAGAGCAGCGTCAAGGCAAGCGGGGCTGTTCTGAGATGTTACAACGATCCTGACAAGCTGGTCGCTTCCACTTGAACCAAGTCACGTCTGACTTGAGCGATGACTGAAGCTGCGTGCCGTGTGCCCCGATGACAGATGCGAGAAGGCTCGGGCTCTAAATACCAAGAGACTGAGGCTGAGCCTGAGCAGCCCGACAGCTGTCGAAGGAAACAATGTCGTTTCTGGATCCTGTCAGTCCAACAGCTGAGCCAGGTGATGGGAGTCACAGCTCGCAACCTGACCTCCGTCCGGATCCGTCGAGCCTTGTATAATTCAACAAGAGTAAGCCTAGGGGATCAGTGGAGCAGAGGAGGGAGAGGAAGTGGAGGAGTCTATTCGATCCTGTCGAGTTTTGAGTCCTGCCAGGTATAAACGGGGGAAGTGCCGCACCGAGGTTCCTTCAGTGCGCACTGCCGAGCCTGAGCTCAGCAAGCGGAGCCCAGAAACTAGCTAGTCAGTGAACGCTTGCGGCGGCAATGGCCGTACAATCAGGGAGGCTGAGGGAGGATCCTCTGACACTTGGCTCGACGAGCTTCACTTCAAGTGAGTCTCAGGGGCAGCGACTGAGCTTGTTCTCAGGCCAGCATGTTCTTAGTAGCAGGGCCGCAGCAGCTGCCATTACGCATCGAGTCAAAAGGTACCCTCATCCCAACTTACTCAATACGGGGTCCTTCAGCTACAGCTTAGGGCCGTTTCACGCCGAGCCCAAAGCTCGAGTTTTTCCAATAGTTTTAAATGCATTTGAATTTTACATGTTTTTAAAGGTGAAATTATCATGTGTAGCCCATGCTCAGGGTTCGATATTTCATAACAAACATCCCGGTATTTAAAGGCTATCATACAACCTAGGCTGCCTTTCAATTTGATTTCAAACGATCAGTTTGACCAACTGTAGCCTCCACCCACCCCTTCTTTTGTTGAATTAAATCAGGGGTACTCATTTTGCTGACAAACTCGACCGCAACGGTTCACCATCTCGACCTTTGGAATTAAATTGTACTTTTATGTCAATGGGCCAGATGATTTCAATTTGTTTGAGTAAAAAATAGTACCACACTTGCTGACAAACTCGACCATTGGGCTTCGCGTGAAACGGCCCTTAGGCCGGACGTTAGCGCAAGGGGTGCAGAATAAAATGTATTTGTTTTCCCTCACAATTTCTCAAAAACGTGGCATTAGCGGTTAGGAAAATTTGAATAATATTCCGTAACGGCTATTTCTGGGGGAAAACAATACCTTGTTTTCCCCCAGATGAAGATTTTTTCCCGAGCCCACCTCGCCGTTTCACCACATGTGATTGCGGCGGCAGGGTTGAGCGTTACCGCCTGTTCAAATTGGACTTGAATGGAGACCGTGAAAAAAAAAACTTGGGGCCTCGATACGCCGCTAATGCCACGTTCAATTGTACACAGCGATTTTAAATGCCCGTGCAAAACAACCTAAATTTACCCCTTGCGCTAACGTCCGGCCTTAAGTCGAACCGAGGGGGTAGGGGTGGCCCCTGCTGACTCAGAAGACCCTCACTTTGGCAGGCCATGGCACTGCAGTGATCCGATCATCCGATCCGGGGAGTCCGGGCCGCCGGGGGGCCCGGTAGGGCCCGGCGACCGTCATTGAACCCCGGAAGTTCCGAGGCGGCGAGCCGGGCCCGGTTGACTCGGGCCCGCTCCGACCGAGGCCCGGCGGCGCCGGAGCCTCGGACGGCGGCCGCGGCGGCACGGCGGGGGCACCGGAACTAGCCGCTGAGCGGCTGAGGGCCCCCCCGGGCCGGGCGGCCGCCGGGCTGTCACGGTCACTCAGCACGCAGTCAGTGACGCCGGCCCCATAGCGTTGTCGCTCTCAACTGACCCCTCTGGTTTCCAATAGTTTTCTGTGGGGGTATCTTTCCACACATGTGAATAGCAAATGGCAGTTGGGGTCTGGGGTGGGTCAGACGGCTGGGAGCTGATTCAAATTGGTTGGGACCTGTTTAAGGGGGTAGGGTACTTCCTGGTAGCAAATAATTGTACCAACAGTACCAATTTTATCGTACATATTCGAGTACTGTTAGGAAAACTTGTACCAAAATAGTTTATGCGGTACCTCCCCTGTTCAAACTATGATGCTTTGGACCCACCTGTTTCCCAGTGAAAGTCCCTTCTCCGATGGGGTCAAGTTTTGGACCCTACCCTGCCTCCGACCAACATAGACCACCCTTGTAGATCAGAGGGAGCTCTCAAGCCTTGCCCCTTCCCTTCCCTGGTTGCATATCCAAGGTTAGCAAGTGAGTGTTACGCAGACGTGACTCATCTGCAGCAGGAGAGCTCAGACCAGGACAAGCAGAGGCAATCCCTGCAGAATCTGGTGTGAGTGCAGCAGTCTGAAAACATCTCTGTGATTGCAAACACATGTAAAGAGGGTTGATCATCATAGATTTTAGCAGCTTGAATAAGGAGTACTCCGCACGGACCGTCCGCTAGTGGCGCTGTACGATGGATGACATTGACTCTCATGAGCAATAAGTAGGAAGTCATGAAGCATGTCACGGAGACAGCATGATCTATACTTATTTCATAGGAATCTGCTGCAAAGAGTCGGGCTTGAGGGCGGTCTGAGCAATATGCAAGAGTATTGCCAAGGCATGTAAAGAGTTTCAAGGAATACCAGTGCATTCATCAAATGGCAGTGATGAGGTACCACATGAAGGCATGACTTGCAAATTGATTGCATGTCGTGTTCTATTTCATGACTTACAATCAAGACGCTTTGAGCGACAAAACGATACCCCTTATAGCATTGTAAATCATATTTCATTTCCTTCATCTCGAGTCGAAGCAAGAAATTTTCAAGGTGCTGATATCTTTGTTGTGACTAGACTGACATGGTATCAGGAGCAGTTAATCGATGTTGGATCCGATTGAATCATGCAGGCGAAAATGGACATACCCTTTTGAATAAATCTTTCTTCTCGAGTCTCATACCAGAGCTTTCTTGCCTCTTTCTTTGTAACCTAACATGTACAAAGCATTGGCATTTTCTTACACAAAGTAAACTGAGCCTGACCAGCTTCTCTTATTCGCTGCATTCTCGCCCTTCCATCATCCTGATCTTTTCCTCGCTTGACACCCTTGGGCCAATGCGAGTTGCATGCTGCGATATCATCAATTGTTTGGAAGGAACCAAGCGATAAGTGGAACAAAGCGCTCAGGTGCTATGCAGGCTGCAATGCATCGCCGGCATTCCAACCATATGGATAAGTTTGCCAACTTTGCGCTGCTCATATTACTTGCAGCGAAAGTCAACCATTCCAGATGATAAGGACAATGTATGAGACTTGCGCAGAAGAATGTGCAAACACTTCCACACGACGGTGAGTGTGCACGATTCCACATACACAAGAATGCTGCGCAGAAGCATCTACCAATTTCTTGTCTAACCACTCTTTTGATGAATGAGCATCGACTTCTCTAACATGTACATCAGGTCATGCAGGCTCATGGAGAAATGATGATGTTGTTAGCAACAACTTGGCTTTGTTTTATTGAAGTACGTTGAAAACATCACCTAGGCCGCTACATATTCCCATGTCCGCTTTGCAACAGTTCTAAACCACGTATCACCATAAAGTTGTACATCATTCGACTAGTCCGATAACATCTTCATGTAGAGTCTCAGTTTCAAGCACAACGCGGTTTGGAGCGATACTGTGACTTGTTTGCCTGGTATGATTACATGTGACATGCTCTCTTACACAATTGAAGAGTATTGTAGAAAATTCAGTCAAGCGGTGCACAGTTCAGCCTTTCTTTCTTGCTATTCATCAAACATAGTGTATCAAACAGATGTCATCGTGTGGATCGACGCATAATAAAGATGAACTCGAAGTTCTGTCTGAAAAATGACCCTTTGCAAGTACTGATGGATCGAGAGCAAGTTCTTGATGCTGTATCATTGAGAAGTAAAATGACAGTCATTTGCCAGTGCTATACGACTCGTATCCATTAGCTTGAAATATGCACACCTGAGTTTCATTCCATGAATCATCTTTCCTCCCGCATTCAAACTGAGAAACTCAGTTCTTGTCAACTCATGGGCATGGTTTCAGAGTTTGAATTTCCAGCAAGCTGAGGAAGGACAAGGCAGACAGAAGCGTCAAAGAAAGTTGAGGGTCATCAGGGAAGGTCTGACGAGAGTCTGAGCCTCATGGACAGGGAAGGATAGGGATGCGCAAGTGCGGAGGGCAGGGAGATGGGGAGGGAGACCCCCTCTGCTAAATGTATTTTAAAAGGTACCCATTACAGTACCAGACCAAGACCTCTACCCCCCACCCCCCTGTCGCGTCCGTTGGGTTCGAATCATTTGAAATACTACCACGCCTATCCATCAGGTTCTGGTACAAATCATTACTCCACTATACAAGGGCCTAAGTGATCCTATGCAAAGGCAATAGGAACGATTGTTTACTTATCTAAGCTCTCAATTACCCCCGGTTGCCGTTGAACGTGCAGCGCTGGAAATGGATTTTCAAACCTTCCAATCCTTCGATTTTTTACTCACACACAATTTTGTACTGGAAAATGCCTGGATCTGGTACAAATCCCAATTGTCAGCAAGTTCCTTGACCCGACAACGCTATGCGCATCTGCCGCCAGCCGTCCCTGTGACAGAGCAACTTGAAAGTCAGTGACTCGGTTCAACTTCCGAGTGATTTCAACAGTGTGAACTCCGGAACGCCCGGGCCGGGGTGCCCGGTGACGCCCCGGCCCGGGCCCGGTGACCGTCTCATCAGCTGAATCAAATTGATTCAAACCGATTTAAATTGATTCAAACTGATTCAAATGCGGTTTGAACTGAATCGTACCGATTGTGCGGAATGAGGCGTTGGCCCGCCCCTTCGGCATGCCGGGGAGAGGGAGGACGAGGAGCGAGAGAGGCGAGGAGGGAGCATGGGAGGAGGAAGAGGAGCAGGAACGACCCAAGATAGAGACAGAAAGCTAGCTGAGGAGGCTAGAAGGCAGGGAGACGGATGACAAAGAGCAGGGAGTGGGAGATGGGGCACAAGGGAGGTAGAAGGGAGGGAACGGGGAGAGGATAGGGCTCTTGTGCTGTTTGTGCTCTGTTCTGAATATCATACGCGCAGGTACATGAAGGATTGACGGAAATCTCAAGGGACAACGGGCTGGTTGTCAGGAGACTCAGGCATGGCCAAATTGGAGGACCAACAACTTGTGGAAGTTAACGAAAGCCGTCGTCATCAGGAATGAGTTTGTTCCTCTGACACGTGTTCTCGATCCTCCTTCCTCCCTATCCTTGTCAGGCTCTGCAAACATGCTGGATCCTGTGGACGAGACCTTCTTCGAGTTCGTGGAAGCTTGCTTGAACCACGTCCAGACTCCAGTCCTGCAGAGGAAATTCGCTGCGCTGGGAGGAATCGATCTGCTCGTCCGGCTCTGCGCCATGTCCATGAACGATGACGTGATCGTCAAGGCGTGCAGAGCTATCGCCATGCTGCTGCGGGTGGAGGGGAGCATCCCCGACACTGTTCCTCACAGCCCCTCCACCATCGCGACCGCGAGCTCGAAGCCTCTTGCGGTGGTGAACGCTCTCAAGATCAGGGCGGCAGGAGGAGTCGCGGCGCTTCTTGCGCAGATGAGAAGATCTCGCAACGAGCTCGTGCTGCAGGTGAGTGTCGGCTGCTCCCCTGCGCTCCTCGTCCATGTTGCTGTGCCTCAAGTGTGTACTGTGGATGCTTCTATGCCGCCACCTCCTCCTTGCCCTCTTGTTTGATACGATGTCTCTTGCAGGAGTGCTCTTCGGCTATGAAGCATCTCATCAAGGTGTACGAGGCCAGCAAAGAGCTGCCGGACTGGTCAGACGCGAGGTGAGAAGGTTGGAATGTGCTCACTTGTCAGCTGAGACCATTGTCAAGGTTGTTTCGAGAAGGAGACGACGCTTTCTCAGTGCTTGTCAGTCTCTTCAGAAGGTGGGAGGAGCTTGTTGGTACTCGTGTGGGGGTGAGATGAGTATGAGATGCGAGTTCTTGATTGGAGGCAAGGAAGGAGATAGAGAGAGAGAGAAGTCGAGGAAAGCAGACGAAGTGGAAGGGTAAGGGGTTGTTGGCAGGGAGGAAAAGACAGGAAAGGCAAGAAGAGGTGTACAGTGAGGCTGAGAGAGGATATTGGGAAAGTAGAGGAGAGGAGGAGAGGAGAAAGGGAGAGGAGAGGAGAGGAGAGGAGCAGAGAGGAGAGGAGAGGAGAGGAGGGGATTCTTGAAACGCTGAATTCTCTGTCGCAGGTCAAGGAGCATTTTTGTTCATGCAGAGATGGCGGAGGCAATTCATTACATCGCCCTCAACGATGAATGCAAGCCTGCGCTTGGATCGGTAAAATACAGACTTGACGATATTGCAATGCTGCTGCTGCTGCTGCTGCTGCTGCTGCTGCTGCTGCTGCTGCTGCTGCTGCTGCTGCTGCTGCTGCTGCTGCTGCTGATGCTGATGATGATGATGATGATGATGATGATGATGATGATGATGATGATGATGATGATGGTGATGGTGATGATGATGATGATTCCTGCTAGTACAATCTGCATTTCACTCCTCCCTACAGGCGGGAGCCATCTGTGTTCTCACGCAGCAGGTCCAAGAGAGCTCAGAAGCAGCAGTGCAGATCTGGTCCTGCAACGCCCTGTGCGTGCTGGTGATGTCGGAGGAGAACAGGAGGAGGTTCACGCAGGAGGAAGGCGCGACGGCAATTGTCTCCATCCTCAGTCAAGCTCTCGCCTCCTCCTCCTTCGGCGTCATGTCGAGCGCAGCCCACGTGCTGTCCAACTACATGGCGGGGGAGGGGAAGGAGATACACGACTACCAGGTGCGGGTCGGGCAAGCAGGAGGGTGCGAAGTGCTGCTGCGATGCTGCGAGCGGGCGGCGGTGGTGGGAAAGATCGAGGAGGAGGCGCTGGAGCAGTGCTGTGGTGCCCTCTGCAGCCTCTCCTTCGAGAACGATGGGCACAGGGTGAAGCTCGGGGACCTCGGGGCGTGCGAGACTTTCGCGCGCATCTGTCAGATCTGCGACGTCTCCGTCGTCTCCCACCACAGGATCCTGGAGCAGGCGTGTGCGGGGATAGGGAACTTCTGCAAGAGGAACAGGATGAATAGGATGAGGATGGGAGGGTGTATGGGGCCCGAGACTCTCGTCTCCGTGCTCACCCGCACGCTCGTGCTAGGGCAGGAAGCAGACGCAGTGGCGCTGCAGGCGCTGCGGGCTGTGAGCAACGTGGTGATGAGAAATGAGGAGAATCAGGTGAGGAGAGGAGGGAGAAAAGGAAGAGGGCAGGACGAGGAGGAGGAGGAAAGAGGAGGACGAGGAGGGCAGGAGAAGAGGAGGAGCAGGAGCAGGATGAAGACGGATGGGAGGATGAGAGGAAGAGAAGAACAAACGAGGGAACCAGAGAGTTGGTGATGGGTGAGGGACGGGGGTGGGGGATGGTACTAGAGGAGGAGGGAGGTTGGAGGGGAGGAACGGAAGAAGGTTGTTTGACTTGCGTCCTTGCAGGAAAGGTTTGCAGATGCTGGTGGGTGTAGACAACTTGTGCAGTATTGCTTTGCAACGAGACATGATGGGATCCTGAGGTTGGACCAGCAATGCCTTCAATTTCTGCTCCCCTCCTCTTGCTCCCCCTCTCCTCTCCTCTCCTCTCCTCTCCTCTCCTCTCCTCTCCTCTCCTCTCCTCGCCTTGCAGACCTCTCCACTCCACTCCACTCCTCTCCTCTCCTCCACCTCTGTCCTTTTTCCTCTCTCGCCTCTCCTCCGCCTTCCTCATTGTGCTGCTCATCCTTCCCTTGCCCCCATCCTCTTTCTCCTCTACTCCTCTCCCCCCATCACCCACCCTCCTCCCTCCTCCCTCCTCCCTCCTCCCTCCTCCCTTCTCGCTCCTTCTCATAGCTTGTATGACGTGCAACTTCAGGTGGGTCCTGGTGGCCCTGGGAGCGCTGGCACAGCACGAGCTCATTCGCTACAAACTCGTCAATGAAGGAGCCATGGTAGCAAGCTGCTTGCTGCTCCTGCTCCTGCTCCTGCTCCTGCTCCTGCTCCTGCTCCTGCTCCTGCTCCTGCTCCTGCTCCTGCTCCTGCTCCTGCTCCTGCTCTAGCTTTCCTTTGTCTGCCTGCTGTGTCCTTCACTCGCACTACCTTCATCCCCTCTCCTTCACGGTCTGACACGCGAACAGGCTGCAGTCTCAGGAGCAGAGCGATCGTGCTCTACAGCAGAGACGAAGGAGGCGGCGAAGAGGGTTGTGGCGTTGCTTCCGCCTCCTGCTCCTGTTGGGCTTCAGGTCGACAAGGGGGGAGGAGGGTGACGAGAACGGCAGGTGAGAGGATCGATTATCTTGAAGGACGAGGACGAAGAAGTCTTTGTACAGGTGAAAGCAGGAGGGGGAAGAGGAGCAGGGAGGGAGGGAGGGGAGAAGAAGGAAAGGAGGAAGAGGAAGGAGAGGACGGAGTGAAGGTGAGGAGGATGACGAGGGGAAGAGGGATGGTGGGAGAGGCGCTCTTGTGAAAGTGAGACAAGGGGGGGGCGGGGAGGTGGAACGAAAGAGCAAAGGGGGCACTGGGGTCAACAGAGGAGGCTTTAGATGTATTGATACTTGCTGTCTTCATGCAGTGCCGCGATGGATGTTGGGTCAAAGGCAACAAAGGTAGATGCACCTGCTCCTGCTCCTGCTCCTGCTCCTGCTCCTGCTCCTTCTCTTCCTCCCCCTCCTCCTTCTCCTTCCCTTACACCTCTCCTGGCCCTCCCCCCTTTCCTTCACCCTCCTGCCTTCTCCCTCCATCCACTCATCCGCCCAATCCCGGTTCCTCCCCCTCTCTCTTCCCTTCATCCCTCCTCCCTTCATTCTTCTCCTTCTCTTCCTTCCTCTGCTTCTCCCGATCTCTTCCTGCTCTCTCACCTAACTTGCGTTTAGTTGTCATCAAGAATGCTGCGGATTGTTTCACATCACTCTCTTCGAGATTCGTGCAGGTTCCCTCTATCCCTCTCCCTCTCCTTCTCCTACATCGCTGACGTCACCCTTGGATCTAATCTCCTTCCTCCCTCGCCTCCTACTGTCTCCCCACCTTATCCTCCTCTCTCCCCCCGCTCGCTTCCTCCCCACTTCCTCCCATTCCCGCCCTGTGCCACCTTCACTGACCTTCCCTGCTCTAGAGCCTTCACTTTGAGATCAACGACCTCAACCACTCAGGTTCCATCACGCACTCCCTCCCTCCTCTCCCTATTCTCAATCCTTTCTTCTCTCTCCTCCTTCCCTCTCCCTTGTCTCGTCCCTCCGATCACCAACTTTCTCTCCTCCCTTCCTCTCCTCCCTCCTTCTTTTCCATACTGTCTCTCCCTCCTCCTCCTCCTCCTCCTCCTTCTCCTCCTCCTCCTCCTCCTCCTCCTATTTCCTCTCTCTCCGTCCTCCTTCCATCCGCTCTTTCCTCACCTGCCTACTCCTCCAATGCTGCCTGGCTACCCAATGCACCTCCTACCCTTATTCTCCTCTCCTCATCATCTGGAGCAGAAGGAGACGGCACGGACCGCAGGCGATCTCCTGCTGGCCTCCACAGGATACGGCTCAAGGTAGAGGACATGCCTGCTTGCCTGGCTGCTGCTGCTGCTGCTGCTGCTGCTGCTGCTTCCTGAAGTTTCTCAGGTGCGGGATCGGGAGATAAGCATCGATGCCGCCCTAGATGGCAAGCATGCGGAGGACATCGTGATAGGTGACTGCGAGCTGCTTCTGATGGTGTTTTGATCCTCCTCCACCTCAGGCCCTGCGCTGCTTGCAAAGCTCAAGATTTTTGGCTTCGAGCACATGGTCAACGAGCTGGTGGTTCTGTAAGAAGGGGAAAATTAAGGGAGAGAAGGGAGAAAAAGAGGAAGGTTGTACAGTATGCGCGCAATAAAGTCACTTGCTCTTATGATATTCACATAACATCTCTGTGTTGAGTGTAGATGTTGAAAACACCTCGCTCGCTCCCTTTCTCCTCTCCTCTCCTCTCCTCTCCGCTCCTCTCCTCTGCTTGCTATCATCTCATCAAGTCATTGGGGACTTGCACGTACGCAGGCTGTTCCCACTTCTTGCTCCACCACTCCCACCACTCCGCTTCCTTCTGGGTATCGACTTCCATGCCTGTTCCTGCAGCAGTCTGAGCAAAGATCCAGGAGGATTCGAGGGTTTACAACCTGCTTGCTCCTTCTGCGCCGGCTGCGGCTCCACATCAGGGACCATGATATCCTGCGAAGCTTGCGAGAACGTTCCCTGCTGTGACGCTACCAGACATGTCAGGAGACGAGCGACAGCCATGGATGGTTTGAAGGTGTCAAACATCATACACCATTCAGTCCATGAAGACACACGAAGTTCTTTTGCAGGAGCAGCATTGGAGGGGGCACGAGGTTGTGGGGAGATGAGTTGAAGGGCGCGAAGGGGCAAGAAGTTGCGGGGAGGAACGGAGCGATGGATTGAAAGCTGGAGGGGTAGGAGGAGGGCCACATAAGGAGGAACGAGGGCAGAGAGACGATAATTACCTGCAGCAAATTCCTCGTTTGCCCATTGCACCCCGAATCTCATGAACCCCTCCTTGAAATACTGCTTTATCCTCTTCGACGGGCTATCTATCACATCGTCTGCAATCCGCTTTCCTGTCAAGGTCGACATCTCCCTCAAACCTGTGCGGGAAACTTAACTCGTGCAAGGACTCTGCGTCAATCAACCCTTGCCTCGCACCCATCCATCATATTCGCAGCTCTAACATGGGTCAAGCTCAAGTCTGAATATGTAACTGCCTGCCTCCCTACCTTCCGTAATGTACTCTTTCAAAATGTGATACTCGCCTCTTGAACCTCGCATTCTTCTGTCATGCTGGCTCTGCTTCACTGCCGCTCGAGTCTCAGATGTGTTCAGCAATCATTCCTTTTTCACAATCTGGGTCATCTTCACTATCTGCCAACAACCTTCCATCCCTTCCAGGTTTTCTGTAAAGACCTCACCAACACGCTTCCTTTCTTCACTCACTCAATCGTCTGTCCTGATCCCATCACGTCTCTGGATCAACACCTCATTTACAACACTGCGCCATGATTGATTATGCTGTCTCCTGGCTGTCCCACACTAACTCACGCAAAGATTACCCTCAACTCAACCAACCTGACCCAACTCCCCGCCCCCCGCCCCACCTTCATATTTGCTCTCCTCCCATCGCCTCCCCTCATCTCACATATTCCCTTCCTCTTCAACATTTTCATATATTTCTGCTCCCTTTCCCTTCTGCTCCTCCTCTCGCCTTCCCGGTCCCCTTTCGCTCTTGCCGCCATTTTCAAACATGCAGACCTATCTTCTACCCCCACCCCCCACGCATGACTTGGAGTCCGCATTCGTTCGTTCGACCTACCGGTGCAGCCCACTACCCCTTGTACTCTCTCTTTGTACCCACCCCCACCCTGACCACCCCCATCACCGGTACCAGTTTCATAATTGCTACCCCACTCATGTCCTGCTCTTTTACTACTACCCCACCTCTGTGACAATCGTCCAACTCCCTACCCCATTCCCAAATAAACCACCCTACCCTCTTTGCTTCACACAATGGGACCCCCCACAGTTAGCCAGCCATCTCTCAGTACCCCTCATATACCGTCTCAGGCCGGACGTTAGCGCAAGGGGTGCAGAATAAAATGTATTTGTTTTCCCTCACAATTTCTCAAAAACGTGGCATTAGCGGTTAGGAAAATTTGAATAATATTCCGTAACGGCTATTTCTGGGGGAAAACAATACCTTGTTTTCCCCCAGATGAAGATTTTTTCCCGAGCCCACCTCGCCGTTTCACCACATGTGATTGCGGCGGCAGGGTTGAGCGTTACCGCCTGTTCAAATTGGACTTGAATGGAGACCGTGAAAAAAAAACTTGGGGCCTCGATACGCCGCTAATGCCACGTTCTATTGTACACAGCGATTTTAAATGCCCGTGCAAAACAACCTAAATTTACCCCTTGCGCTAACGTCCGGCCTCAACTACCCCGACGATATCCTGCCAAGCTCCTCCCCACCCCCTGTTTTGACCATTTTGATGACCCGTGGAGTTCTTTGACTGGGTTGTTCGGTTCGGAGAAGGGTAGTAGGCTAAAAGAGGGGTACATAAAGAGGGTATGTAGGGGGTGAGGGTAAGCAAGGGTCCAAGTGTGGCCAGGAAGGGTACTCTACCATACGAACAGCGGGTAGTATACCGCGGGTAATCTTGGGGTAGGGGTCATCTTTCGATTAGCACGGGTGTTTGCCCTGGGGATTTGAGGGCTTATCGGGGTAGGGTTCACGTAAGGTTGAGATTGGAGTGTCAGTGAGGGGACGAGGGCCATTTTCTAAAACTTGATTTATATTATTAAAACACTTATTGACATAAAATAAGATTTGAATGCTGGCGGTGTAATGCCCTGTGGAGATTTTTTTTTTTCCCGGTGGGGTCTTCATTTGGTGGGTGCTGACCAAAATAGTACCCCTCCAAAATACGTAAATTTGTTATGATAATGTCAGGTGGGGTGTGTATACCCTACCCAACTGAGAGACAATATCCCTTTACTGGGGTCCTCTACACCTGGTTCTTTGAGTCGTAGGGTGGGATGTAATAGAGAAGTACGGGTACTGTAACAGTCAAATCAGATGGTAGTCAGCGACTTTGTTTGAACGAATGAAGGGAGTATCAGGGGTGGGGGTCCAGCGAGGAGAGATGCTTTGAAACATTGTGAAGAAGTGTTATAAATGTAAAACATGCGTTTTAGATTGCATGAATATACCGGTCATGTAATCAGAAAATACATGGGTGGGGTAGTTATAAATGTAAAACTGATTTTGAGTCCTAAAGTTTTTTGTACAACAGAAATTCATCTCGGGACAATCTGCATCTAAAAATAAAATCACGGCCTCAGCCTATGAGCTGCAGGGCTTCAAAAAGGCTCCGAAAAAGAAGACTTTCACGATAACAAAGGCAATGTTTCGAGCTTCGTCAGTGACCTAGGTACATCTCCCTTGCGAGATACTCCTGAGGCGGACTCAGCACATCAGTTGTGTTCTTGTTAAAACGACCAAAAAAAAGAGTTATATTCAAACAGTGTGATACAAGAGGGATTCGTTTTTAAATATTTGTACATGATCAAAACGACGTTTTTATACAAAAGTTTTGAAATGCAGTAAACATCGAAGCGGCAGACACCAGAACAAACTCCGCCGCCGTCCATGGCGCGCAGGGGATGCGCGAGTATGGGAGAGGATGAATGCAGAAGCTAGGACACATGGATGGTTATAGGGGGGTTCTAGAGGGTACATTGATCGATCATGCATGCGGTAAACTCCTTCTGAGACCTGTTTCTCCATTTGTATCACGTTTCGCGGCGGCCCTTTTCGTGTTGGTTTGAAATTGCACTCAGCGATAGCTTTTCGCACATAGCATATGATTATTTCCCTCCATCTTTCGACTTTTGATATGTCGCTGTTGTTGATGCTCTTGATTGTGTTGGAATAGTTCCTCTTCGCTGTATGCTCGAAGAGATTCTTCCCGAGCCATTCTTTCGATTTGTAGATACACGGAGTTTGCTTTGAATCATTGAATTGCAAAAATCTTGATTTGCTTCTGACATTTGTTCTTTCCTCAACAGAGATGCTGATGTTCTAATTGGCATGCGTCTTTTTCTTGACGAGGAACGAAAGTTTTGTGTCCGTGACCTACATTCTTGCTCAATGATTTAAACTTTGGGCAATGCCTTGACAAATCCTTATGGGTTGACTTCAACGTTCGAAGTAACTGCACAAGTTTGCATAATCTGTTTCCCTGTTTTTGGACCAAAATCGCAATCAACCGCAGCTGAATTGGTTGGGTTTCGCAAGTTCGACTGTATTTTTTTCGTCCTGTAAATATCTAATTAATTAACGCTTGTCTCGAGGCTATATAGATCAGAGAGTTATAAGATTTGTCTCAATAGTCTATTCTAAAATGTCCATGGATTTTGATTTTGCTTCGCTAAAATCGGCGGATAACAACCACAAGAGTTCTTTCAAAACTGGAGCATACCGCCAATCAGAGGTCAACTCTCAACCGCTCACTGCGGCTCAAGTTCTCGCTATCGGTGTTTGCAAAAAGGAAAACCATGCAGCCGAGGGAAAGGTGGCTGCAGCCGAGCCGCAACCTCTCAAGCCTCCTCTACCTTTTGATCCGCTGACTGCTGCCTTACATGGAATGCCAAAGCTGGAGAGCATCGTGAAAACTGAAGCAATTGATGAATCTTCTGCTGCTGGAGCCTTGCTTGGCCTTCATGGCAACAAGCTTTCACACAATCAAGTTGAGCATAATCGACGACTCAAAGCAAAGCAGCTTTTTGATGAATTGAAGCTTTTGCTTCCAGGCGGGGAGGACCCTCTCAAGGTGAGGGATCGAAATGCGCTTTTGAAGATGGCAGTGGACGTTATGAAGGCACTGCAGTCCTATATTTCCAAGATTGAATCGAATATGCCAGATTGCTCACCCTTGCACAATGACACAAAGGCCGAGTCAAAGGAGAATTCTGGGACAGACGATGAAGCACACTTCCGTGGTCCTGGTAATTATTCAGAAGTTTTGGCAGGGTTAAATCAATCCACTGCAGAGCAAACAGCCTTTGCAGGAATGGAAATGGAGCTTGAGAGTGGAGATCAGGATCGCAAGCTTAGCCACAGCGAAGCCGAACAGCGACGTCGACAAATCGCCAGAAACTACTACAACGAGCTCAGGGCTTTCTTACCAGGGAATGACAAGGACAAATTGGACAAAAACGCTGTGTTGCAACGTACCATCTTCTGCATTAAGCAAGCAGCTGCAGCTGCAGCGCTTTCAGGAAATCCACCTGTGGAAGAGCATTCTCACTCGGAAGATGATGCAATGCAGCCCGAGCAAGGACTCTCGGAATCCCCTCCCGATGTAGTTCGTGGTTTTTTGGCAATGGTGGCGTCAGGGGTATACCAATCTAGGGGTCTCAGCGCTCATAATTTCCATGCTATGAATGTTCTGCAATCTTCTGATGAATCTTCCAGCCAGCGAACGCGAACTTTCTCAAAGCTGGAGAGTGCAGCGCAAACGGACGAATCGACGCATGCGCGACTGAACAAACTGATGCGGTGTGATGGAAACGGCAAACAACCTTCTCTTGGTTGCTGAATGGCATTTTATTTGAGACTCTCCAGCATACATACCATATACATGGAATATCAAGTATTTACAAGTGATGTAACAGTTGTACACATCCCTCGGTGTTTTCATTCTACGATAGTTTCTCAATGGAGTCCAGCATTAGCGGAGGCACAATTGAAGGTCTTTGGGCATCGGGTCGCAAATTTCCGCGATGATTTGCGACCATGTCAAAGATCCTCCTATCAGGGCTCTTGGTGGCATCTTCGATATCCCGGGTTGCACGTCTTACATGAGGAGAAATATGAAAGCTGCTCACATACGATTCGTTAGGAGATAAGTCATAATCGCCATAAATTTTGAAATTGTGATTGGGCGATGTAGAATTTGCTCTTTTGCTCATGATTACTCCATCAGGAGCCGTGACCGTCAGTATGTCCTTCCGCTTGGGTATTGGCGATGGGTAGTAATGGTTCCTCGTAGCTCCAACCTGCGCGGTAGAGCCATTTGAGTTGTCGTGGAGTGACGCCTCCATTGCGTGTTCACTTACAATCTTGTGCTCCCATCCTGCTTTCTTGTCCGCGAACATGTCTTCGCTGTAAATCACCTCATGGGGATGGTCTACTTGAGGCAAGCGGCGAAACTGATGCGAGATGGTTGAGGGGTGGTTAAGCTGCTCGATCGGTGCTTGATGGAGGTGCTCCTCGATAGCAAGGCGATCTGGCTCAATGTACACGACGTCTGCTGTAATGGTGAAATCATCCGTCGAGTAGCTTTCTTGCCTCATGAATTCTGGTCTTGATTCACCATCGCGCTCTCCCCTCTCTCCCCTCTGGTCCTCTGTCTCCGCCTCTGAGCTGATCATTTCCGCCTCCAGCCATTCTGAGCAGGTTTGTTCCCTAACATTTACCTTGCTGTGATGGTGATCCTGCAGAAAAATGTTGTCAGGAATCTTCTTTCATCATCGTCAGCTCACGTCAATGTTAAACCATGTGCGCAGATTGCTTTCAATTGATGATGCCCATTGAAAAACTGATCAAACGAGTGTCAGGGGCTATCTAATCACGAGCCTTGCATCCTTACAAGGGTTATCATGGGAGAAGTTTTGATGTCCGGAGAGACGGTCACCGTCACCAGCTTTGGCTGGTGCCCGATGCTCCCTCCCCTGCATTGATTTGACCTTGAAAGATTTCAGATTGAATTCTTCCACGTTGATGCTATCATACCGTCTGGTGGTTGATGTTTCCTTTGCGTTCGAGAATTTGGTTGAGAGCTCTGCAGTCGGCAGCGATGTGTTTGTTTTTGCTAGAGCAAGATTGCAGCAGCTTATTGGGTTCCAGTAGTCATTCACAGATCAGGTACACCACGGGACCAGCAATCGTGTAATTTCGAACTGAGCAAATTCAAGAAGTTGGTCGATACCGAATATGCCCTATACCACCGCTGTGAATGTTCACAGTCTGATCACACTTCAAACAGCACTAGAAGAGTTTCTTGTCAGTCTGCATGTCTCAACTCCATACTGCTGGATCAGGTTAATGTTCTACACATGGATACGTCCTCTCTGTGATCCCTCCTGCTTCTCCTGCTCCACCCTCATTGCAGGCAGCATAGTCGCTTCAGCATGTCCATTAAAATCTAGCCGGAAGTGAAGGAGATATCGTGAGGGTCATCATTCTCGGGGGGTAGGGGTGCGGGTGTATCTCTGTAGTACCCGCTCAACGACCGTCAAAGAGGTCTGGTAGTACCGGTGGTACTCAATACCGGCGTTCATGGATCACTAGGGGTAGGTGTCTGGCTAAAAGGTGGCTCTAATGTGGGTGGGGTGGGGCGTCGGACTCGGAGACTGAGTACCATCCCCTGGATCATCAACAATACGAGGACTACTACCCCTTCCATTGGTATGCTTGATGGAGTAGCATAAGGGGTACTAGAGGACCTTATCCACCCACCACCCCAGTTCTAAAGCCAGGCACTTGAGGGTAGTACTGTCAGTCGTGCCCGCCTCGGGTCCCACCACGGAAGACGGCGGGCTCAGTCTCAGGCCGGGCCGCTCCGGCGAGCGCCTGTCGGGCCCGGCGGCCGGCTGAGCGCCGGGCAGGCCCTCAGCGGCCCGGCCCCCGAAACGGTAGTACCGTACGGTAGTAGTACGGGCCGGGCCCGCCCGGGCACACACAGCAATTAGAGAGAGGGGGGGTGGGGTCCTTTCAGTGGTGGGGGTGGGCCGGGGGTCCTCGGGGTCATTCTTGGCACTGGTGGTGGGGGCGCGGCTTGCCAAGTCACCCGATCATCAGGCTGAGAGCAAACGGGTGACTAGGCCCAGGTACTTTTTGATAGCTCAATTGAGAGGGGGTGGGGGTGGGGTCTGGGACCTCTCATGTTCAAGTTTCAGGTGGTGGGGTGGGTACTACGGCATAATAGGACCTTGGGTTCATACTTCAAAGTTGCAAACGACAGAACGAGGGGGAGGGGGTGGGTACCACTACTTGGCTTTGTAAGCTAGGGGTAGTGATCATGGCTTCTGAAGGAGAACTGGCGTGAACGCCGTCATGCCGGAGAAAGCAAACATGTTGCGCTAGATATGGTGTGTGCGAGTCTGATAGCTCCTCACTGTGACATTCCGATATTGTATCTCTTTCCTCGCCTCCTCTTTCTGCCAAAGTCTGACGTTCAAGTGACCGTGTTATCGCACTGAGTACTTTGTTTGTTGGTTCAGTGTGGTGTTTTCGACTCCAGTTCCCGAATCCAAGTTGTCTCTGATGTTTCTTTGAGATGGAGGGCAAAAGGAACTCATTAGAGAAGAGTAGTCGATAGGTGTGCCGCCTATCAAAGATTGAACGTTGTTGATGACTTCAAAAACATTTGGTTCCTGCGTGACAGTGAAGCAAGGAGTCGTTCTATTGACTTGATTCTTAAGCAGATTGTTCGTCCTGAAGGTGCGTTATGGCGTGAATTTCGTTCCAGCTGCAAGGGTAAAGGTGGGCTTATTCCGATCCAGCCACATTGCACCACAATGCGGTCGTTGCTCATCGTTACCCTGTGGTTTGGTTTCCTCGGTGCAGCTCGAAGTCAGAGTTTGCTTGTGGAGGCAGGCAAAGAGACGGACGTTCGAATCATCAAGCCTTCGGCTAAGCTCAAGAGCTGGTTCTCGGAGGACACCCAATGTACTAGCAATCAAGCCTGCCCATCGGGAGCTTACTGCAATGCTCAGTACAGGAAATGTATGCCTTGCTCAACCTGCCAACAGAACTCAGATTCTATTGATGGAAGATGCCCTCAAGACAAGTGCTCTGCAGTCAGCACGAGTCAGAACGACAACCTGCCTCCAGAGCTCGTATGGCTCTTCATCTATCCCAACAGCATCACCATTACCTCGGGGAAAGTATTCGTAAGTGCTTATATGTACACCCGAGATAGCGGTGCCGGACTCCGAGGAGCTGCTATGTACGTTGAGAGCTCGACGATGACTGGTAGCAGTCACGGTACATGACCCGCCTGTGATGTCGTGGATCTGACCGCTGCTCTCCTTAGCTTTCTACACTCAGGCTTTCGCATCGCAGAGCTTGATAAGTGGGACGCCGAACGGAGGCGTGCTCAACATGTCCTTCTGGTTTCAGCAAGGGGACGAGGGAGGGGAATGGGGTATCACTCAACTATACCTTGTGGACTTGCAGGGCAACCATCGAGTGTACTCGAGCTCCGATTTGCTCTCGTTCGGGGCCAAAGTGAACTCGACCATTCTGGTGTCTTCCTCGGTGTACTACGACTGCTCGAATGCCACCAACATCAACTGCTTTTGGCAGAACGCCCACTGCAAGAACAAACTCAATGCTCAGCAAACGAATCAGTTTGCTGTGTGCGAGTGCAACCAGGGCTATGTGGGCAACGCCTTTGCATGCGTCAAGGCCTCGGGTTCGTCACCGTCGACTCCCTCTCCAGGTATTACCAGCACTCCTCCTCCTCCCTCCTCCCAAGGTCAGATCAGCCAGAGCCCAGGAGCATCCGTCAGCTCCCCAGCAGCAGACACTCGCCTGCCTCCCGTCGCTCAGCCGCAGTACTCTCAGCCTGCCGGGAATGGACCAGCTCAGTCCGAGATGAGCTCGAGAACTTCAGGGGGAGCATTTGACTTCTTGAACAGCAGCAACATCGGGTTCATGATAGCCTTGATCATCGTTGCCGTCTTGTTGATCTTCCTCTACCAGAAGCTCCCCATCCTCCGTATCCTCCTCACGAGGGAGAGGCGCGTCCTTCCGCAGGACCAAACTCACCTTCGCAGGTCTTCATCCTCCAGCCGTTTGCGGCAGAGAAACTTGGAGCTGGTCAGTCGGGAGGCTCCGAGGCCATCGAGGAGAGCAATCTCAGAGCAGTTCATCCGCAACCAATTTGACTTTGAGAGCATGAGGAGGGAATGGAGCGATTTCCTTGGTCCTCCTCGAAGAGCGATCAGCCTGCCTGTTAGTCGACCGCCCCTACAACCTCCAACAGAGCCCCAGCCGATCTCGCTGCCCCAACACCTTAAATTGCCAGGGACGGTCCCAAGGACAGAGGTGGAGGAAGGAGAGGAGTGCGCGGTGTGCATGGAGATGGCCAAAAACGCGATCCTGTTCCCTTGCGGTCATCAAGACTTGTGTATTGGTTGCGCTGAACACATCAAGAATAATGGCGGGACTTGCCCTGTCTGTCGGCACAAGATACAAGCTGTGCAACAAGTGAAGCGCCGATAGTGTTCAGGGTGCCGTGTGTTTGTGTGTCAAGACGATTTCTTTCAATCTCGTGTGCTGTACCATGTTCGATTATATATTCATGTCGTTGTACGTTTAGTTATTTCTGATCTGATCTGTAAGTGTTTGCGTCGTTGTTATAGATTCTTTCCAATGTTTTGTACTACAATTAAACATGTATTCTTTGTCAAAGCTCAATCACGGCTTGATTGTTCATTCTTCTCCTATGAAAGCTGTATCGTTACAGGGCGATTTTGATTACAAACATATCTGAGTTACAGCTGATGATGGCACGTTTGATGTTCAAGTTCTATTGCTTCATTCTTACCCTTGCCATCCTGCGTCAAGGTCGCCAGCACCAAGGTTGAGGCCTCCCTCACCCTGGCTGAGAAGAAGCTCCAGGAGTTCCTCTCCTACCAGGCTAAGGGAATCGATGGCGACTACACCGGCGTCGTCAAGAGGGTCGGAAAGTAAATATTCTCCTGAGCTCGTCTCTGTGCTGTATTTTTTCTTTCCTCAGTAATAAACATACAAAGAGAACTCGAAGCTTCTGTCTGTCAAACCAAAAACAAACAACAAATCTGGATCGAATCTGCCTGGGTGCTCACGTCCAGATTGGAGTTATTCTCAGGAAATGTACAGCGTATCATTCACTTGCAAAGTAAAACAAAATATACATATCTACACCTCACTCTCCTCTGCATGCTGTAACAGCCAGTCCGCCTGTAGCGCCCGATCGACGTCACCAACTCGCTTCAGGACGTACTTGTACACGAAGGGCTCCTGCACAGACTTCAGCTCTCCATCGACCCGACCTCTGCTCCTCCTCCCTACCTCCATGATGCTCCTGTACACCTGCCGCACAGACTCGTGTCAGCGACCCCAGGGACCAAAGAGCGCGAGGAAGAGACGGATCGAGGTCGGTGGGAGATGCGACAAGCAGAGGACGAGGATGAGGACGAGGATAAAGGGATGGAGGGGTTTACAAGGAAAGGAGGAGGAGGAGGAGGAGGAGGAGGAGGAGGAGGAGGAGGAAGGGGGGGGGAGGGTCCTCGTGTGAATGATCTTCCTGCATGCATTCGTCACCGCTAATGTTCCACCAGGAAGGGTAAGAGGAAGAAGAGGTAGATGGGGAGAGAAAAGTGAAGGCAGAAGAAGCACAAGACACGCAGAGAGGCAGGCAGCTGCCAGCAAGCTCTCAACGTCATTTGATCCTCTCACCCCGCAGTGTTCATCATGAACAATGTAGCTGTAAATTCTGCCCTGTTCTGATTCCAGTGAGCATGAAAGGCCCCTCGCTGATTGTGTCCTGCTTCCCCGTCAGTCGCCGCATGCCCCCCGGCAAGTCGCTCACCTGCGAAGGAGCCGCACAAGGAGCCGTTGAGACTCGCCTCCACCACCTTCACCCACGGCGACCGGTATCCTCCCAGTGACTGCCACCAGCTCCCATCACCAGAGAGCGAGGGCGAGACGAGGTGACGTTAAGAGAGCGAGAGCGACCGACTACACACAGGCAGCACAGCAAGCGAGCACGAGAGCAAGCAATGCGACCATCCAAGCACCAAGCAGCTCTCACCAGCGGAAGCTTCAGCCGCAGAAAGACTGCAAACGGTATCTCGTGGGCTGTCTTGTTGTCAAACATGATTTGCAGCTCATGATGAGACAGGATGAAAGAGTAAAGCGTCTTCTGCAGAGCGTCTGTACATCGTCAACCTTGCCATCTCACTGGTTCTTCGTGCTCACTAATCGCCGAGGTGGAAGCAACTCGATCGATGACGGCGCTGGATGAAGCTTCCGACTGCAGCTTGGGGAGAATCATCGACATCATGGTCACCGATCTGACGACTGACGGTCAGACCAGCAAGCATGTCCCCCGGCCCGGCTGGTGGTTGACAGCAGCGAGAGGGCTCGAGGAAACGAGGAGCTGCTAAGAGCAGGCGGAAGGGAGAGGAGAAGAGGCAGCCAGCGGCAGACTGAGAACCGAAGAGGAGAGCCCATAGCCGCACGAGGAAGGAAAAAGGAAACTGTCTGGAAAGGAGTCTGCAGCCAGCAGGCGGACAGGAAGGGAGGGAAGGGAAGGCACGCGGCAGGCGGCAGAAGCAAGAAAGGGAAGATCAGGAGCAGGAGCAGGGGCAAGTGAAGGAGCAAGATTGGGGCAAGGGCAGGAGCAGAAGCAGGAGCAGAAGCAGGAGCAGAAGTAGCTCTTACCGCGGTTCTCTCTGCACCTCATAGATGGCCCGATCAAAGTCATAAGGCGTCGACGTCGACCGCCCAAAGTCATACCCAAAGCACCCGCTATACCCCATCATGTCCCTCCTGTTCCAGTCCGGCTCCTCCTCCTCCTCCCTCCCGCCTCCTCCCCGGCTCTCCTCGCCCGCAGCCTCCAGCATGAAGATCGACCTCCCCGCCGCCCTCGCATGCAGCGTCGTCATCCTCATCCGCCGCTCCACCACCGACTTGCTCCGGAACGTCCGCACGGTGATCACCAGCGACAGGGAGCTGACGTCTCCTTGCCGAAGACTCATAACCTTGCTGAAGGACCGCAGGGCGTTCAAGCTGTCAAAGTCCACCAGGTGCCCGAAGCTCTGACCGATCTGACACCACCAGACTCACCCGCCGACATGCACAACCGAGCGAGCACAGCCAGCATGCAGCACAGCGAGATCGAGGTCAGAGCAAGAAGACGCAAAAGAGGGCGAGGACAACGAGGCAGATAAGGAAAGACTGGGGAGGGGAGGGGAGGGGATGGCAGAGCACGGGTGAGTTGAGGGAGGAAACCGAGATACGAGAGATGAGAACGAGGAGAGACAAGATCAAGATCAAGCTAGCAACCAAGTATGCAGGCTCACGACCCATCGATGTCCATAGCCATCAGTCATCCCACCTCCCCGACCTACATCCCCATCTCGCAACCTTCCCTTCCCCACCCCATGCATCGCTCTTTCACACAACGCACAAGCGCTCAGGCGTATCAACGAATTACCAGGTCGCCCTCAAACGCAGCGCTCGCAAAGTCCTGCCGCAGCCTCGCGCTCATCTCTACCACCGTCCACTCAGGCAGCTCCACAACCAGCAGCCTCTCCCTGCTGCTGCTCAGACAGGCTTCCATCAGCTCCTGCCCTGACACCCACGGCAACCTCCCACTCGGGTCAAGCCCTTGTGCTTCTGCACCTTCCCCCCGTCCCCTGGACCCATGTTTCCCTTCTTGTGCCCCTTCTGGATCAGCGCGATGTGGGTCCTGGAGCTGCCTGCAGTGGTTGACACAGTCCTCGTAGAGCTGCACTGTCGTTCTTTTGGATCGGAGGCCGCCGTTGAGAAACCTGCCTGGCACAGCAGCAACAGGAACAAGCGTGTCAAGGCGGTCAATGAGCTTCTTCTGCGCTGCTCGCTCAGTTGCTTTGCCCTCTCTTTGTCGCTTTTTGTGCTCGTCCTTTTCTTCTCCCTCCCTTGGTCTGCGGGAGGGAGGCCTCTTGGTATTATTTTCTGCAAACATGTCAGGAGAGTCAGCAAAAGTAGGACGCGGGGGAGGTTTTTGTTTGAGTGGAGCAAACGTTCTTCGTCACAAGCACGCTCTATCCTTCAAGCCTAAGATCGAAGCAAGAAACACAAGATGCAGTGGCTAGGGGGTAGATAAAGATAGGGAAGGAAGGCCGAAGAGATCCAGGGATGGTGAATGGGAGAAGTCTGGAACCGTTACAGCAGAATAAAACGCCGATCAAGAATCAGGAGGACAAAGAGGAAGAAGGCATGAAAACAGAGAGAAGGAGAGTGTTACAAGAAGGGGCGATGGATAGGATCATGCTCATCAAGACAATGCTAGGAATGCTATAGCTTTCTTGGAGTAGACAGCGGGTCTGATATCAATCCGTTCTCTGGCTAACTTGCTTTCTCCTGAGCACATGAATCTGTTGCGACTCATGCAACTTCTTTTCAAAATGGCTTCAACCCACAAGCGCATCTTCACTGCTGACCCCACAACGCTCTCTGGATCAAGAATGTTGCTGCAACGCTCCTCCTTCTCTCCCTGCTGATTCAGCATCTCCTCTCCTACATCATCCTTCCAAACCTTCCCCGCCCTCTCTCTCCCATCGTTCATCTCCCCTCCCCTCCTCTCCCCTCTCTCCTCACTCACCTAGCATCCTGCGCTGCTCATATCGCGACGTTCCCCGACAAAGATGACTAAAACTTTCAGTAAAGAGTCGGCGGCCGCGGCCGCCGGGCCGCGGTGACTCCGTGACCGTGGACTCCGGGATCCGATGATCGGACAGTGTACCCCGGGCCCGGTCCGGGACGCCGGGGGCCGTGAGCCGCCGCCGCGGCGGCAGGCTCCACCGGACTCCCGCGGCCGGGCCTCACCTTTCACACCTCGGAAGGGCCTGGACGGACGGTCCGCTCCGGCACAGTGCGCCGGGGCCGCGGCCCGGGCCGCCGCGCGTACGGCGGTCACCATAGCGTTGTCGGGTCAAGGAACTTGCTGACAATTGGGATTTGTACCAGATCCAGGCGTTTCCCAGTACAAAATTGTGTGTGAGTAAAAAATCCAAGGATTGGAAGGTTTGAAAATCCATTTCCAGCGCTGCAAGTTCAACGGCAACCGGGGGTAATTGAGAGCTTAGATAAGTAAACAATCGTTCCTATTTGTCTTTGGATAGGGTCACATAGCGCTTGTATAGTGGAGTAATGATTTGTACCAGAAACTGATGGGTAGGCGTGGTAGTATTTCAAATATTCGAACCCAACGGACGCGACAGGGGGGTGGGGGGTACAGGTCTTGGTCTGGTACTGTAATGGGTGCCTTTTAAAATACATTTAGCAGAGGGTGTCTCCCTCCCCATCTCCCTGCCCTCCACACTTGCGCATCCCTATCCTTCCCTGTCCATGAGGCTCAGACTCTCGTCAGACCTTCCCTGATGACCCTCAACTTTCTTTGACGCTTCTGTCTGCCTTGTCCTTCCTCAACTTGCTGGAAATTCAAACTCTGAAACCATGCCCATGAGTTGACAAGCACTGAGTTTCTCAGTTTGAATGCGGGAGGAAAGATGATTCATGGAATGAAACTCAGGTGTGCATATTTCAAGCTGATGGATACGAGTCGTGTAGCACTGGCAAATGACTGTCATTTTACTTCTCAATGATACAGCATCAAGAACTTGCTCTCGATCCATCAGTACTTGCAAAGGGTCATTTTTCAGACAGAACTTCGAGTTCATCTTTATTTGCGTCGATCCACACGATGACATCTGTCTGATACACTATGTTTGATGAATAGTAAGAAAGAAAGGCTGAACTGTGCACCGCTTGACTGAATTTTCTACAATACTCTTCAATTGTGTAAGAGAGCATGTCACATGTAATCATACCAGGCAAACAAGTCACAGTATCGCTCCAAACCGCGTTGTGCTTGAAACTGAGGCTCTACATGAAGATGTTATCGGACTAGTCGATTGATGTACAACTTTATGGTGATACGTGGTTTAGAACTGTTGCAAAGCGGACATGGGAATATGTAGCGGCCTAGGTGATGTTTTCAACGTATTTCAATAAAACAAAGCCAAGTTGTTGCTAACAACATCATCATTTCTCCATGAGCCTGCATGACCTGATGTACATGTTAGAGAAGTCGATGCTCATTCATCAAAAGAGTGGTTAGACAAGAAATTGGTAGATACTTCTGCGCAGCATTCTTGTGTATGTGGAATCGTGCACACTCACCGTCGTGTGGAAGTGTTTGCACATTCTTCTGCGCAAGTCTCATACATTGTCCTTATCATCTGGAATGGTTGACTTTCGCTGCAAGTAATATGAGCAGCGCAAAGTTGGCAAACTTATCCATATGGTTGGAATGCCGGCGATGCATTGCAGCCTGCATAGCACCTGAGCGCTTTGTTCCACTTATCGCTTGGTTCCAAGCAATTGATGATATCGCAGCATGCAACTCGCATTGGCCCAAGGGTGTCAAGCGAGGAAAAGATCAGGATGATGGAAGGGCGAGAATGCAGCGAATAAGAGAAGCTGGTCAGGCTCAGTTTACTTTGTGTAAGAAAATGCCAATGCTTTGTACATGTTAGGTTACAAAGAAAGAGGCAAGAAAGCTCAGGTATGAGACTCGAGAAGAAAGATTTATTCAAAAGGGTATGTCCATTTTCGTCTGCATGATTCAATCGGATCTATCATGAATTAACTGCTCCTGATACCATGTCAGTCTAGTCAAAACAAAGATATCAGCACCTTGAAAATTTCTTGCTTCGACTCGAGGTGAAGGAAATGAAATATGATTTACAATGCTATAAGGGGTATCGTTTTGTCGCTCAAAAGCGTCTTGATTGTAAGTCATCAAATGGAACACGACATGCAATCAATTTGCAAGTCATGCCTTCATGTGGTACCTCATCACTGCTATTTGATGAATGCACTGGTATTCCTTGAAACTCTTTACATGCCTTGGCAATACTCTTGCATATTGCTCAGAACGCCCTCAAGCCCGACTCTTTGCAGCAGATTCCTATGAAATAAGTATAGATCATGCTGTCTCCGTGACATGCTTCATGACTTCCTACTTATTGCTCATGAGAGTCAATGTCATCCATCGTACAGCGCCACTAGCGGACGGTCCGTGCAGAGTACTCCTTATTCAAGCTGCTAAAATCTATGATGATCAACCCTCTTTACATGTGTTTGCAATCACAGAGATGTTTTCAGACTGCTGCGCTCACACCAGATTCTGCAAGGATTGCCTCTGCTTGTCCTCGTCTGGGCTCTCCTGCTGCAGACGAGTCACGTCTGCGTAACATTCACTTGCTAACCTTGGATATGCAACCAGGGAAGGGAAGGGGCAAGGGTTGAGAGCTCCCTCTGATCTACAAGGGTGGTCTATGTTGGTCGGAGGCAGGGTAGGGTCCAAAACTTGACCCCATCGGAGAAGGCACTTTCACTGGGAAACAGGTGGGTCCAAAGCATCATAGTCTGAACAGGGGAGGTACCGCATAAACTATTTTGGTACAAGTTTTCCTAACAGTACTCTATATGTACCATAAAAATGGTACTGTTGGTACAATTATTTGCTACCAGGAAGTACCCTACCCCCTTGAACAGGTCCCAACCAATTTGAATCAGCTCCCAGCCGTCTGACCCACCCCAGACCCCAACTGCCATTTGCTATTCACATATGTGGAAGGATACCCCCACAGAAAACTATTGGAAACCAGAGGGGTCAGTTGAGAGCGACAACGCTATGCCGGACGGCAGTGCGGCGGCAGTGACTCGGCCGCGAGGAGGCTCGGGCCGGCGGTCAGTGACTCGGCACTAATCGGACCGTACGGCCCGGCCCGACCCACCTCGGACTGCGGCAGTCCGGATTCACTGTCACGGTGTGCCGCCGCCGCCGGCCCGGGCGGCCGCCGGGCGGCCGCGGTGAATGTACCACCCGAGGCGGGCTCTGGCCATCATTTCTCTTTTTTGTTCTTTTTTGTTCTTTTTTTACTGGTACTGCCGCTCAAACTTTGCTCAACTTGAGACGGTACTACCTCAACTGCGCTGCCGCTAGGCAGGAAGGATGAGAGGGACGGGGACCAAGAGGAGCGGGAGGGAGCACAGCAATGGCGACAGGAAGCCGGAGGATGAGCAGAGAAAGAAAATACGTCAAGGAAAGGCAACTGAGCGAGCAGCGCAGAAGAAGCTCATTGACCGCCTTGACACGCTTGTTCCTGTTGCTGCTGTGCCAGGCAGGTTTCTCAACGGCGGCCTCCGATCCAAACGAACGACAGTGCAGCTCTACGAGGACTGTGTCAACCACTGCAGGCAGCTCCAGGACCCACATCGCGCTGATCCAGGAGGGGCACAAGAAGGGAAACATGGGTCCAGGGGACGGGGGGAAGGTGCAGAAGCACAAGGGCTTGACCCGAGTGGGAGGTTGCCGTGGGTGTCAGGGCAGGAGCTGATGGAAGCCTGTCTGAGCAGCAGCAGGGAGAGGCTGCTGGTTGTGGAGCTGCCTGAGTGGACGGTGGTAGAGATGAGCGCGAGGCTGCGGCAGGACTTTGCGAGCGCTGCGTTTGAGGGCGACCTGGTAATTCGTTGATACGCCTGAGCGCTTGTGCGTTGTGTGAGTGAGCGATGCATGGGGTGGGGAAGGGAAGGTGGCGAGATGGGGATGTAGGTCGGGGAGGTGGGATGACTGATGGGTATGGACATCGATGGGTCGCGCAGCCTGCATACTTGGTTGCTAGCTTGACCTTGATCTTGTCTTTCCTCGTTCTCATCTCTCGTATCTCGGATTCTTCCCTCAACTCACCCGTGCTCTGCCATCCCCTCCCCTCCCCTCCCCAGTCTTTCCTTATCTGCCTCGTTGTCCTCGCCCTCTTTTGCGTCTTCTTGCTCTGACCTCGATCTCGCTGTGCTGCATGCTGGCTGTGCTCGCTCGGTTGTGCATGTCGGCGGGTGAGTCTGGTGGTGTCAGATCGGTCAGAGCTTCGGGCACCTGGTGGACTTTGACAGCTTGAACGCCCTGCGGTCCTTCAGCAAGGTTATGAGTCTTCGGCAAGGAGACGTCAGCTCCCTGTCGCTGGTGATCACCGTGCGGACGTTCCGGAGCAAGTCGGTGGTGGAGCGGCGGATGAGGATGACGACGCTGCATGCGAGGGCGGCGGGGAGGTCGATCTTCATGCTGGAGGCTGGCGAGGAGAGCCGGGGAGGAGGCGGGAGGGAGGAGGAGGAGGAGCCGGACTGGAACAGGAGGGACATGATGGGGTATAGCGGGTGCTTTGGGTATGACTTTGGGCGGTCGACGTCGACGCCTTATGACTTTGATCGGGCCATCTATGAGGTGCAGAGAGAACCGCGGTAAGAGCTGCTGTTGTTGCTGCTGCTGCTCCTTCCCATGCTCCCGTCCCTGCTTCTGCCCCCGCACCTGCTCCTGCTCCTGCTCCTGCTCCTGCCCCTTCACTTGCCCTTGCTTCAATCCTACTCCTGCTCCTGCTCCTGCTCCTGCTCCTGCTTTTGCCCCTTCATCTGCCCCTTCACTTGCCCCTGCCCCAATCCTGCTCCTTCTTCTGCTCCTGCTCCTGCTCCTGCTCCTGCTCCTGCTCCTGCTCCTGCTCCTGCTTCTGCTCCCTGATCTTCCCTTTCTTCCTTCTGCCGCCTGCCGCGTGCCTTCCCTTCCCTCCCTTCCTGTCCGCCTGCTGGCTGCAGACTCCTTTCCAGACAGTTTCCTTCTTCCTTCCTCGTGCGGCTATGGGCTCTCCTCTTCGGTCCTCAGCCTGCCGCTGGCTGCCTCCTCTCCTCTCCCTTCCGCCTGCTCTTAGCAGCTTCTCGTTTCCTCGAGCCCTCTCGCTGCTGTCAACCACCAGCCGGGCCAGGGGACATGCTTGCTGGTCTGACCGTCAGTCGTCAGATCGGTGACCATGATGTCGATGATTCTCCCTAAGCTGCAGTCGGAAGCTTCATCCAGCGCCGTCATCGATCGAGTTGCTTCCACCTCGGCGATTAGTGAGCACGAAGAACCAGTGAGATGGCAAGGCTGACGATGTACAGACGCTCTGCAGAAGACGCTTTACTCTTTCATCCTGTCTCATCATGAGCTGCAAATCATGTTTGACAACAAGACAGCCCACGAGATACCGTTTGCAGTCTTTCTGCGGCTGAAGCTTCCGCTGGTGAGAGCTGCTTGGTGCTTGGATGGTCGCATTGCTTGCTCTCGTGCTCGCTTGCTGTGCTGCCTGTGTGTAGTCGGTCGCTCTCGCTCTCTTAACGTCACCTCGTCTCGCCCTCGCTCTCTGGTGATGGGAGCTGGTGGCAGTCACTGGGAGGATACCGGTCGCCGTGGGTGAAGGTGGTGGAGGCGAGTCTCAACGGCACCTTGTGCGGCTCCTTCTCAGGTGAGCGACTTGCCGGGGGCATGCGGCGACTGACGGGGAAGCAGGACACAATCAGCGAGGGGCTCTTCATGCTCACTGGAATCAGAGCAGGGCTGAAATCAAGTTGACTCTCTTCATGATGAACACTGCGGGGTGAGAGGATCAAATGACGTTGAGAGCTTGCTGGCAGCTGCCTGCCTGGTAATCTGATATCGATGACAACAACATGCAGGAAGATCATTCACACGAGGACGTGGCGAATATTTGCAGGAGGAGACATCTGGCAAGAGGGGCAGGTCGAGCATTTCTCCTCCTGCTCCTCCTCTCCTCCTCCTTTGCCTCCCTCCACCTCCTGCTCCTCCCCCTTTTCCTCGTCCTCTCCCTCCTCTCCTCCTCTTCCTTTCCTTGAAACTCTTTTATCCTCGTCCTCATCCTCGTCCTCTGCTTGCCACATCTCCCACCGACCTCGATCCGTCTCTTCCTCGCGCTCTTGGGTCCCTGGGGTCGCTGACACGAGTCTGTGCGGCAGGTGTACAGGAGCATCATGGAGGTAGGGAGGAGGAGCAGAGGTCTGGTCGATGGAGAGCTGAAGTCTGTGCAGGAGCCCTTCGTGTACAAGTACGTCCTGAAGCGAGTTGGTGACGTCGATCGGGCGCTACAGGCGGACTGGCTGTTACAGCATGCGGAGGAGAGTGAGGTGTAGATATGTAAATTTTGTTTTACTTTGCAAGTGAATGATACGCTGAATATTTCCTGAGAACGACTCCAATCTGGACGTGAGCACCCAGGCAGATTCGATCCAGATTTGTTGTTTGTTTTTGGTTTGACAGACAGAAGCTTCGAGTTCTCTTTGTATGTTTATTACTGAGGAAAGAAAAAATACAGCACAGAGACGAGCTCAGGAGAATATTTACTTTCCGACCCTCTTGACGACGCCGGTGTAGTCGCCATCGATTCCCTTAGCCTGGTAGGAGAGGAACTCCTGGAGCTTCTTCTCAGCCAGGGTGAGGGAGGCCTCAACCTTGGTGCTGGCGACCTTGACGCACATCTCGTCGTCAGAAGTTCCGGCCTTGGCGCCGGCATACTCCTTGGGAGCGCGGCTGCATCCCCTGTGATCGAAGATGGTGATCTCAGGAGCGCGCGCAGACTTATCCATCTTTGCTCCAGCAGGGAGGGAACCGAGGAAGGGAGTGACCGCAGCAGCAGCAGCTCCAGCCTGGACAACTTCCCTGCGTCCGGCGAGGGACATGGAGGGAGAGAAGGCGGCAGCAGAGGCCACAAGACCGGCAAAGGCGACGGAGCGCGCGAGCATGGCGAGGATAGAGTAAGGGGCAACCCTGTAGCTTTTTATAGCCGGAAAGTCGGGGCTGCCTACACGGGTATATTTGATGGGATATTCAGGGGTAGTCTCATCAGGGGTACTGAATTCAGTGGGGTGGGGTGATGACATGTTTCATGTTGGGGTCATAATTCTGCGAGGGTACAAGTATCTGATGTTGGACCCCTAGTAAATAAAGAAAATGTTTATCAAAAGGACGGGTACTTGAAGAAAGAAATCTCTGTTCTAGAAGGGTGGGTGGAGACGTGTAGGTAGGGTACAAGGGACTCATGTAATAAAGTTTTAACTGGGTGGGGTCCTTCGAATTCGATTCTGCAATATCGAGTAGGAGGGTGGGGTACCATGATGATTGAAACAGGCTCATTGGAAGGGGTACTTCATAGGATCGACAACGGGTGGTCAAGTGATATTTCAAAAAGATTTGATAGGGTGCAAAAATTAGGCGACTGGGGTGGTTTTAAATTGTACGGGGACCGGTCCTATTCCATTCCATGCAAACCTCGGTAAAGGTGGTAGGGTCAGCTGTATGCGACTATTAATAAGGCTAAAATGTTGTAGCATCCGGAACAGACCCTGCATTTTACAGTAATAAAGTTTTAATAAATCATATTTTCAGTACCCTCAACAACTACAATATTGTATTCAATTTTTCTTGTACAATAAGATAGGGGTCAATCGTCTACAACTGATATTAAAAATACAAAATATTATAAGCATGTGACTACCTGTACACCTTGAAAAAGTTATTATTTATAATACTTTTAGTTGCGCACAAAACCCATCACAAATCCGGAGTTACGGCCGTTGACTACCCAGCGTGGCGGGCCAGCCCCTACATGGTCGCAGCTCTAGTTGACTGCCAAGTTGAGTAAATTAGCCAGTCGGAGTGAGCGTGGGGCCGGGCCACCGGGCCGTGTCGGGCCAGCCCTGTTCCCTTATTAACTTTGAGTAAAGATTTCTGTAAAGATTTGTTCCCACCATGTGCACTGGCCATGTGCCATCACGCCATGCGCTTTTGATGCCGGCGGGGCGATAAAGGCCTGAGACAAGGTCTCCTCCTCCTCCTCCTCCTCCTCCTCCTCGTTGACCTCGACCTCGACCTCGACCTCGTTCTCCTCCTCCTCCTCCTCCTCCTCCTCCTCCTCCTCCTCCTCCTCCTCCTCCTCCTCCTCCTCCTCCTCCTCCTTCATTGTTTCATTCCTACATCTTTCTCTATCCATCTCCTGCAATTCCCCTCGCCCTCATCTCCTCCCCACCTCTCGCACTCTTCTCCCCCCCCCTTCCCGTCACCTCCTGTCCTGCATACTTTCATGATGCTGAACAGCGCTGTTTCTTTCATCCTTCTGAGGGATTCCTGGTCCTATGAGACTGAGTCCCTCCACCAGGCCTCCTTTCTTCATCCTGCAGCAGGCTCGATCGGGTTTGTCGGATGTCACGGACATTGAACGCATGTCTGCTCTTCCTCAACGTGGTTGTGATCTCCATGGAAGACAGCAAGGAGGTCTGTCACAGAAATACGTTTGTTCTTGTCGCCCCTTCACAAGGGCCTTCGGCAAGAACACCCGGCAGCGTCTTGGTGTCATCCCGATGCAGAGCACCTAGTATTCCTCGGGGGATCGACTTCGCCCTGCGTTTGAGGGGAGGGAGTGCGGCAGGCGACGTGGAGGTGGTTGAGCAGCGTGTGCAGCTGCTTCTCACACCTCATGTGAAGGCCCGAACATCTCGACTGGACGGACTGGTCAAGGTCCAAGGAGAGGATCAGATTGTGAAGCGGAGGGGGAGGATGCGGAAGGAGGACTCGACTGAGCAGGTGCTGCCTGCCATGATGGGGCTCCCTGAATCGCTGAGAGGATCTCAGGTCAAGAAGAGGCTGAACAAGCTCAACACTCTCCTCCAGAGGTTTTGACCTCTTTCCACTCACTCGCAGCATCTGTCCACTTGCTCCTTTACACCCCTTGGCTGCTTCCATACTTCCAGTACCTGCTCTTGCCCTCTACACTACAGGGGCCGCGCCTTGTCTCATCCATCTCCCTTGTCTTACAGGGCGGCCGCGTACTCGACGTTCCTTCGCGAAAGATTGCAAGAGTCTCGCTCGGAAGCCGATGCCAAGTTGTCTTCACACTACCTCGTCTCTGCTCCTTCTACCTCTGCCCCTTCAGCCTCCACAACCCCTCCATGTGCTCCAGCACCTGCTCTTGCTCTTGCTCCCACTGGTTTCCTTCCGTTATCTCCTTCTAAGGCAGCTGATTAGGAAGCTAAACCTGCCGGCAAGCAACCAAAACGCGACGAAGGATGAAAGGCAGCCGAAGCTGTTAACGGGAGCAGTGATGAGACAGTGAGTGTGCAGAGACTGGGGGATGTGGTTTAGGAGGAAAGGGAGGAGGAGGAGGAGGAGGAGGATAGGAGATGTGAATGAGTGAGTGAGAATGGAATTGACGTCCTCTGCAGCTATCAGATCGATGGAGTGCAGTGGCTGATTTCGCTATATGAGGTGAGGACGAGCACGAGGAAGAGGAAGAGGAAGAGGAAGAGGAAGAGGAAGAGGAAGAGGAAGAGGAAGGAGACAAGAAAGGGTAGATCGCTGAGGAGGGAACAGAGGGGCCAAACGAGGAACGAGGACAAGGAAGGAGGAAGGAGGAGGACAAGGAAGGAGGAAGGAGGAGGAGGCATCTTTGATAGATGAATCAGAATGGTTTGAACGGCATCCTCGCTGACGAGATGGGGTTGGGAAAGACGATCCAGGTGAGAAGAGCGCATTCGTGATGACTGCTGTGATGACTGATGACTCCCGACAGGTCATCGCATTTCTTGCTCACTTGTGGGAAATGAAGGTAAGTCTCGTCCTCGTCCTCGTCCTCGTCCTCGTCCTCGTCCTCGTCCTCGTCCTCGTCCTCGTCCTCGTCCTCGTCCTCGTCCTCCTTGTTCTTTTTCACCACCCCATCACACCCGCCTCTCCTCCTCTTCGCTCTTCTTCTCCTTGTCCTCTTCCGTGTCCTTTATTTCTATTTTCATTTTTCCTTACTCTTCCTGCTTTTGTCAGCTTCTTTCTCACCCTTCATGTCCTTGCACCTCTTTTCTCTCCAATCTTCGTTTCTCACCGTGTCTGTCAGGTCCATGGACCTTTTCTTGTCGTTGCCCCACTGTCTACGATAGGTGAAACAGGAGGAGGCAAGGAGGAAGAGGAAGAGGGAGAGGGAGAGGAAGAGGAAGAGGAAGAGGGAGAGGAAGAGGGAGAGGGAGAGGATGTGGACTGGGATGAAGACGGGGACAGAATGCACACTTACATGGTTCTTCAGGCAACTGGCAGAATGAGTTCAAACGCTTTGCTCCTGATCTTCCTGTTCTCCTGTACCATGGCAGCAAGGATGAGCGCAAAGTAATCATCCTGACAGTGTTACTTTCTCCCCTTGTTTCGTTTTCATACCTTGCTCTGCATCCTCGTCCTCGCTCTTGTCCCCCTTCGATACCACTTCGTCATCCTCCCAGTCGTCCTCTTCTCTCGCTCCGCTTCTCTTCCACACAGCACAGATACTAACTCTTGCACCAATCCTCCTCTTTCTTCTTCACCACCTCCTCCTCTTCCTCGTCCCCATTGTCGTCGTCGCTTACTATCGTCTTCAGGAGCTCCGGAAGCAGCATCTCAAGCATCGGGCCAAGGAGTTTCCGATCGTCATCACGTCCTTTGAAGTGAGCCAAAGGACATCAGTCCTCGGCGCAGCCACTGAAATGTCCGGCAGATCGTCATGAACGACGCAAAGAGTCTCTCGCAGTACCGATGGAAATACCTCACGGTTGACGAAGGTCATCGCATCAAGAACAAGGTGACGTGTTTTCCTCTCCTGCGAACCTCTTCCTCCTTTCCTCACCTGCCCTTGTCTCCTCCTCCTCCAACTCACCTTGGCATCCCCTTGTCCTCTCCTCTTTTCATCTTCCCTCAACCTCCTCCTTACCCCTCTCACTCTCCATGTCAGCATCTGACCTTGATCCTCTTCTAGGATTGCAAACTCCTCAGGGAGTTGAAAGCTCTCAACGCAGGCAACAGGCTGCTGCTCACCGGGACTCCGTTACAGGTTTCCTTGTCCCTTCAACTTGCTCTCTTCCTCACATGATCCACACTGCGTGTCCTCCCTTCCTTCCGCTCTCCTCCCTTCCTTCCGCTCTCCTCCCTTCCTTCCGCTCTCCTCCCTTGCCACCCTTCTGCTCACTTCCCTCTACCTTGTCAACAGAACAATCTCAGCGAGCTCTGGTCGCTCCTCAACTTTATCTTACCGGAGATCTTCGACGATCTCTCGACCTTCCAAGCTTGGTTCAACTTCGAGGAAGAGCTGACGGACAGCCAGGGGGCGGCCAAGATCATGCTGCAGGTACGTGCGAGGAGGCGAGAGCTGCGCTGGTCACGACGTGCTTGCAGGAGGAGCAGAACAAGATCATCTCGAAGCTCCACGCTATCCTCGACCCCTTCCTCCTCCGCCGCCTCAAGAGTGACGTTGCACTGGAGCTGCCGGACAAGCACGTCTACGTCCTCTTCGCCTCCTTCTCTCCCTCCCAGGCTCGCTACAACCAGGCGATCGCCAACAACTCACTCTGGGAGCTCCTTGAAAACGTCACAGACAGCGTGAGCTCCTCGAGTTTCCTCTCCTCTTCCTTCCCGTCAGCTCCCCCGTCAAGCTTGCCATCCTCCTCCCTCCCCTCCCGCTCCTCCCTCGCTTCTCAGGCCATGTTGCAGGACGAGGCGACGACGGCCATGACGAATCCACAGTCTTCGCTGGAGAACATGATGATGCAGATGCGAAAGTGCTGCAACCATCCATACCTCTTTGCCTCTCCCATCGATGAGCATGGCGAGTTCGTGGTGGACGAGCGCGTCCTCGAGGCGAGCGGGAAGATGCAGCTGCTGGATCGCATGCTGCGCATCCTCAAGGAGAATGGAAACAAAGTCCTCATCTTCTTTCAGGTGCGGCAGAGGGGGAGGGGACTAACGAGGAGTAGGAAGTTGCAAGGAGGGGACCAGGGGCTGAGACAGCGAAAGAGCAAGAAAGAGCACGAGGAAGGGGCAGGGAGAGGGGCAGGGAGAGGGGCAGGGAGAGGGCAGGGGCAGGGGCAGGGGCAGGGGCAAAGAAAGGAGGAGAGAATGGTGGAGCAAGGGAATTCTTATGCACTGATGCTCCTTGCAGATGACGCGCATGATGGACATCGTCGAGGACTACGTGAGAGACGTTCGCAATTGGGACTGTTGTAGGATCGACGGAAAGGTTTCCTTGCAGGAGAGGCAGGTTGACTAGACGCTCTGCTCCCCCCGCCTCCCCCCCACCACACACACTTCCGCTCCCCCACCACACACACACTTCCGCTCCCCCCCTTCTCCTTGCCCCCTCCCTTCTCCTCCTGTTTTCCCTCTGCTTCCTCCTTCCGCGTCCTCCCTCGGTCTGCTAAACTTTCTCCCCTGCAGGAGCAGATTCATCGCTTCAACCACAACAGCAGCTCCTTCATTTTCCTCCTCAGCACGCGGGCTGGGGGCCTCGGCATTTCCTTGCCTGCTGCCGACACCGTCATCATCTACGATTCCGACTTCAACCCCCAGCAGGACCTGCAGGCTCAAGATCGATGCCATCGCATCGGACAGCAGAAGCCCGTCGGCGTCTACAGGTAGGACGAGGAGGACGAGGACGAGGACGAGGACGAGGACGAGGACGAGGACGAGGACGAGGACGAGGAAGAGTATGGGGGGACGGGAAGAGGATATAGACAATAGGTAGAAGGGGAGCAAGACAATGGGGAGAGTGAGAGGGAAAGGAGGGAAACTAGTGGCGACGAGACGGAGAGACAGAGAGGGAGGGAGCGAGAGGACCATGGGGCTTGACCCGCTTGCACTGCCCCTTCTCGTCCTCTATGTTGTCTGCCCCTCGTCTGTTTCCCCCTCCCATCTCAATCCCTTCTTTTCTCTCCTGCACCGCCGCTGCTCATCTTCCTCCCTGCAGGCTCATCACGCGGGACTCTGTGGAGGTGAAAATTTTCGAGCGAGCAGTGAGGAAGAGGAAGCTCGAACTTATGACCATCAACCGGAAGCTCTTCAAGGATCACCAGAAACTGCAGGGATCAACGGACCTTTCCTCTCTCCTCAAGGTCTCCCTTCTCCTCTCCAAACTCTTCCGCTCTTCTCATTTCCTCTTCTCCATTTCCTCTCGACTCTACTCTGCTCCTCTCCCCTCTCCCCTCTCCCCTCTCCCTCCTCTCCTCTTCTCCTCCTCTCCCTCCTTTCCCTCTGTCTTCTTCTAGCATACTTCTCGTCTCATCTGCGAGCAGGGAGAGCTTGAGATCACGCAGTCGTTCACCAAGGATGAGCTGCAAGAGCTGCTGCTCGTCAACGTGCAGCCGACGAGGGAAGGAACCGTCTCAGACGAGAACTTGCGCATGCTCCTCCTCGACCGCGGCGACAAGGCGCCCAAGACCAGCGGGCCAGGCTGGGAGCTGGTAGACGCAGAGACCTCGTCGTTTGTGGTGAAGGAATGAAGGAAGGAGGAGGCAAAAAACTGTCCTGAGGTTAACAATCTTTTCCTCATGTATCTTACACTTTCATTAACATCTCACAACCTCTTCCTTGTCTTATCGTACATCTTCCCTTATCATACACCTCACCACACAGGCTGCAGGTCACCATGGCTGATCCTGTCCTGCCCGTCCAGCCCCTGCCCCAAGTCCCCTCCCCTCATCTCGACATATGAGCCCCCAGCTATGCATTGCATCAGCATCGCCATGAAATCGTCGCTCTGAACCGGAAGAGACTTTCCGCTCTCCTGCCGCCACAGCGCTATGAAGTGCTTCAGCTTCTCCTGCCTGTCCAGCTCAGAGTCTGAAGCGAGCCCGAGGAAGCGGAGGATGGCGCCGTTGATCTCCATGAAGAGGACCTCTCGCCGAGAGAGGTCCAGCAAGTCCCCTGCAGGGTTTGTTTGCGCGTTCGATTGCTTGACTGTGAGTACGCTCATCGTGTCTTCGATCTGCTGGAGGTAGCCGGGGTTGCACTCGGCGAAGACTGAGATCTGCTGCTGGGCATAGCTGAGGGCCTGCTGGACATCGCCCTCCCTCACAAGCTCGATGAACTGCTGTAGCACCAGGCGGAGGAGGAGCTCAGGATGTGACGACCAGAACTCCTCGCCAAGATGCTCGTCGACGAGGAGGCGGCAGTCAGTCAGGTTGCCGTCAAGGACGGCCTCTCTGACTAGCGTCCTCACATCGATCCTCGAGTTCTCCATGTAAGCCGTGATGTTCGGGTCAACCGAGGGATGGGATAGATGGGCTTTCCACATCTTCAGCCTCTTCGCCTTGTGCCAGACCCGCTCGGCTTCTTCTCGGTTGCAGTAGATGACAAAGTGTCGCATCAGCTCCAGAATCCTCAGCTCCCTGCTCGACAGCACCTTTAACCATCCGTTGAGGTACTCCTCGTTCTCCCCGTAGCTGACCACGTGGAAGATAGAGTTCCCTCGCTCATCGCCGAACGGGTGCGCCATCAGGTACTCCTTGAAGTACGGATCGTCGGAGCTTTCCGACTGATCGTTCATCGTCGCGTCCTCTGCTCCTCCTCGCAAGTTCAGGACAGGGCGATCGACTTGGAAGAGCTGGAAGGGCGCAGGTCTCCTTGCAGGCTCGACACCTGAGAACAAGGTGGTCGAGCACACCGCCAAGGTCCCGAGAAAAATGAGGCGCAGACAATCTGAGAGAACACAGTCAGTTTGCACATCGAGTTCAATTGTAACGAGCATGCAACCATCGCACAGATGTTATAGTCAGACCCTTAGATGTTCATTGTTTTTAGAAAGTTTCAGACACAACGCTGATTGATAAGGATCATCATGCTAACATCGTCCGCACAGCATTAAACCACAAACAACATGCTCTTCACCTTTCGGGTCCATGACCATCTCCTCGTGCCTCCTGATGGATCCCTGTGTGAGTAGTCAGACCAAAGCTTAGCTCCCCACAACCATGATGAAGATGAGGGGAGAGAGCCTCGGATGGTAGTGCATGTGTTTGAATCATCACAAAAATCAGCGTGGAGTGATTCTAAGTGTATGGTATCCTCATTGGCAGCGGACGTTGATGCGAACGTTGATGGGTAAAAGGTTGAGAATTCATACCTAAGTCACGAGGAGCAGCCAAAGCAGAAGACTCGCAATGCTGTGCAAGGCGTCACAAAGGGCTCAAAGGAATCTTTGCAGACAAATAAGCCAAGACACTAGAAACGAGTGGCATGGTGAATAGGTACTGCAGGCATCTAGCGCCCTTCGTTCATCACATTGCCAGAGACGAGGGCAGTGCAATGCTTTGTGGACGCGTGATCACTACAAGGGGTTTCATTGCAGTGAATGCTCACCTTGTAACATCTCAGGATTGCAAGTAAGGTCAGCCACGGAGTCGCGCAGCGCAAGAGACGAGCTCCTGATGTTGGGACAACATCAGATCCTTTCTCATCTCGCGAGCAAAAGGATCAACATTCGCTACGTTCTCCATATCCTCAATGTCTCTCGGTTGTCTGAAATGATTCGGCAAGGCGATATCCGATCACACGTGTATCCGAGATGATCTCTTTCGTCCTCAGCCCCGTCCCTTCCTCTCTCCTCTCTCCTCTCTCCTCTCTCCTCTCTCCTCTCTCCTCTCTCCTCTCTCCTCTCTCCTCTCTCCTCTCTCCTCTCTCCTCTCTCCTCTCTCCTCTCTCCTCTCTCCTCTCTCCTCTCTCCTCTCTCCTCTCTCCTCTCTCCTCTCTCCTCTCTCCTCTCTCCTCTCTCCTCTCTCCTCTCTCCTCTCTCCTCTCTCCTCCTCTTCCTCCTATCGGCGTCGTCTCTCTTACCTGCATTGCAGGGGTCGGCTCGTGCGCAACAGGACCCCTACCTGATTCTTGAGTTCTTCCATGGGTAGGGGTAGTCGGGGGGTCGTATCCCCCTTGCCCGAGGCGGGCCGGAGAATCGGCCCGAGGCCGGCCCGCAAGTTTCAAACAGCCTCACCGGACTCCGGACCGTACTCGGAGCTTCACTGACTGTCAAGTTCAGCCCAGCTCACCGTCAGCACACTGGACTGACGTAAACTGATTTTTAACTGAACTTTGGCCGGCGGACTCCCCGCGGCACGGCGGAGTCCGGCCCCGGTGACACTGGAACCGCTGAGCGGCGACTCGAGTCCGACACCCGGCCGTGCCACCGTGGGGACCGGCGCACCGTCAAAGAACTCCGAAGTCCCAAGTTTCATTATTAACAAGTTAACTTATCTTGCGGCAGCAAAAAGTTCCACGAAGCTCTCCCAGCTGAGGCAGCGACGATCAGCAAACGGATTGACAGTGTTGAAGAGATTGCAAGGAGGAGGAGGAGGAGGAGGAGGAGGAGGAGGAGGAGGAGGAGGAGGACCTGTAATTCTGGATGAGGGTCTGGACAGAGGAAAGCCTGTGTTTGACGTTGACCCCTTTGAACTTGAAGCGATCCAGGAAGAGCTGCAGCAAGTCGGTTAGGTGGGCCCGACAGGAGACGGAGGTGAAAGTTGACCTGCTCGAGTACTTTCTCCATGAAGGCGATCCGCTTCTCGTTGTTCTGCCACCATAGCATGACTGACTGACTGACTGACTGACTGACTGACTGACTGACTGACTGACTGACTGACTGACTGACTGACTGACTGACTGACTGACTGACTGGCTGGCTGGCTGGCTGGCTGGCTGGCTGGCTGGCTGACTGACTGACTGACTGACTGACTGACTGACTGACTGACTGACTGACTGACTGACTGACTGACTGACCCCCTCTACCCCCATCCTCGCAAGTTCATACCTTATGCTCAGCCTTCAGCTCAGCAGAGTTCTCAAGGATCTACAGCAGGTGTGAGGAGAGCAGAGAGGAGGAGGTTTGAGAGGACCTCGCGCATGCTTGGAGAAAGGTTAGCACGATCCTCGTCACTTGACGCCAACTGCTCCAGGGCCTCTAGGCAGAGATAATTCTCCTGCAGCAAGGAGGAGATCAATGGGTCCCTCCTTCTGCTCACTGTCCCCCACTCCTGTCTCTCCTCTTCCTCTCCTCCTGGATGAGACGGATTGCAGTGTCTCTCCTCGTCCTCCCCTCCTTCCTCGTGCCCCTTCCTCACCTTGAGCTTGAGCAGTTTGCTGACCTTGGGATGCAACAGCTTGAGAAGCTGCATGACGCAAGATTCGTCGAAGATAGGAGCTGTAGAAGCAAGGCCATGCCTCAGTTGTTCCTCTCCCACCACCACCACAAGATCATCTGCTACAGCATCTACCTCATCACTGCCCTTATATCAGCAGCAGCAGCAGCAGCACAAGCAGAGGCAGCAGCAGAAGCAGCGTCAACAACAATTGTAACAACAAGAAGGTAATCAACTACATTTTCGCGTCATGTCACCTTTCACTTCCAGCTTCACTTTAGCGCTGTTTGCTTCCCTGGATATGACATCCTGCATCCCCCATTGTTACAGACCATGATTCTCCCTCAGCTCGACTCCACCTTGATCGTAGCCAACGTCGTGAAGTTTGTGCTACGGAATAAGGCTTCACCCTAGAGAACCGATCAGCAGTCAACAGGAGAAGTCAGCGGAATTTTAGATTGTGAATGAACAAGATCATCTCAACTCTTTCACAACCGCCATCGAATGGTTCTTATCCTCGTCTCCGTCTCTGCTTCCCCCTCCCCCTCTTCCGCTACAACTTCACGCTCATCACAGTAGCATTCGTGCCCTGTCTCTGCCTCTGTCTCTGCCTCTGCCTCTCGCGTCCTGCCCCCTCGTCCACTCACCTTCGAATATTCAGCAGTCACTCTTGTCGATGCGAAGGTCGACTCAAACGCGAACTTGACAACGTCAGACTCGGGCACCTCAAGTACAAGTCAGCACGGATCTCCCTTCCCCCTGCTCCCTTCCCCCTGCTCCCTGCTCCCTGCTCCCTGCTCCCTGCTCCCTGCTCCCTGCTCCCTGCTCCCTGCTCCCTGCTCTCTCCTCTTCCATCTTCTTCCTCCCTCCTACTCTGCTCCTCTCTCACTCTCTGCTCCTCTCTTCTTTCACCCTCCTCTCTGTCCTGATCTTCCCTGTGTTCCTTCCTGCAGCCAACAGCCCGCACCTTAGCAGGGATGGACGGGAAGCAGTGAGTAAGCCACGAGTGCATCTGCCCCTGACTGAACGTCCCCTGTGGACCAGCTCGTCAACAGCTGCCACAAATCATCAAACCCTTTCCTGGATCTTCACTTCGCAGTATGGCGACGATTGCCAAAGTTTGTCGTCCCATGGCAGCTGCCAGAGCATCAGCAAGTCCACTGCTCCACATGTCCCACCCACCGACTGGTGCAGAGAGAGAGGAAGCAGGATGTGCTCCACCCGATGAACCACCTGGTTCGAGCGTAAGTGAAGGAGGAAGTGAATGGGGCTGTTAGAAGAAATGAGGAATGGAGACAGACAGACAGACAGACAAAGACAGCGACAGAGACAGAGACAGAGACAGAGACAGAGAAAGGGACAGAGAGAGGGACAGAGAGAGAGAGGCAGAGAGAGTGTGTGTCAGAGAGGGAGGGAGGGAGGGAGGGAGGAAGAGGGAGAGAGAGAGGAGGGAGGGAGGGAGGGAGAAAGAGAGCACGGCAGGACGGGAAGAAAGAAAATCAAACAAAGCGAGTTGAGGGGTAGTAGGAGAATAAAACAAAGCGAATGACTGAGACTAGGGATGATGGCAACTTGTACTGCACGGAATATCTGAAGCAAGAGAAGAGGAAGGGGAGGGAGGGAAGGATTATAAACCTTAGGAGAGACGCGCATGACAACGTATGCAACAAGAGTTCCCACTTGCCCTTCGTCGCACATCAACTGAATCTGAACAAGATCGTCAGCGTCGTGAAGCTGTTCAGAGCTCCTTACCTGGAGTCGATTGCTAGATCCATGCACGCGCAGCGTTGCAACGAAAGCATTGTCTTCACCTGGAGGGAGAGCCAACTCATGTGTAAGGGGAGGCGAGCAAGGAGGAAGGAGATGATGATGAGCTCCTGGCAGACCTGGATCAGGTGGGGAGATGGAGGGGAAGGCGACGCCAGTGTCGAGGAGGACGATAGGGATGTTGCTCTGTTGCAGGTATCAGTCAGAGAGTTTCAACGGTTTGAGCAGTAAGGGAGCGAGTGAGGGCCTGACGTAAAGGGGATCCGCTCTGCCAGCCTTCACCGTCTCCCCTCCCTCAGTCCCCTCCCTCTCCGTCCCTCCCGCGTCTCCTCACATGCAGCGCCACCATGTCGATCGGCATTTCGCTCTCTAGCGTAAATTTCTGGCATGCGAGGTTCGAGTCCAGGAAGAGCCCAGACTTGACCTTGGACCTTGTAGAGACAGGAACGCTGGAGAACGGAGTTGTGAGGTCATAGATGGAAGAGGCAGCAGGAGTAAGAGCAAGGAGGAGCAGGAGCAGCGGAGGCAGAGGCAGAGGAGGAGGCAGGGGGAGAGGAGAGGACCAGACCTCTCTGTGGAGAGCTTCTGATACTTGAGCTTCTCGTCCTGCACCTTCTCCTGCAGAGCCGTGATCTCCTTCTGCAGCGCCTACAGGGAGGGTCAGGGAAGGGAAGGGAAGGGAAGGCCTCCCCCGCACGCCTCTACCTCGATCTTTTTGTTCCTCTCCGTCGGATCCGTGCGGGTCGCTTCCTCCCCTTGTGACGCTGGCGATTCTGGCGCTGAGTCGTCGAGAACCTGGAGGCATCCATCAGCATGATTGCGTCGACGATGACGCAGACGGCGACGATCAAGTTGATGATCGTGATCATGAAGGGTAACAAAGTTTGTTGTTTGCTTCCCGTTGGTTGTGATTGTTGTGCTGCTGCTAGTCTGCAGCTGTCTGGTGATGAGGATGAGGATGGAGGACATGACGAGGGTGATGTTGGAAGGCCCAGGAGACTGCTGGTCGACTTACCAACCCCGAGATGTATTTCGGCTTGTCCGACTTCTGCGAATGAGAAACTGTTTAGAAGGGCAAACAAGATCATCGATAGGAAACAAGGACCTTGTCCTTGTCCTTGTCCTTGTCCTTGTCCTTCTTCTTTCCTAGGCCAGTCAACGCTCCGATGGAGGCAGCGACAAGCTTCAGGCCGGACTGCAGGTGATAGTGAGCAGAGGCAAGAGGAGAGGAGGTGAGCAGGGCTCCAGGGATAGTACAAGGGGAGGAAGCATAGAAGGGGAGGGTTGACGTCAACCTTCTTCTTCTTGAGCTCCTTGTCATGACGAGGCTCTCCGTCCTTGTCCGGCGAAACTTCTCCTTCCACAAGGTTCTTCTCGATGAGGCGCGGAGCCCCCGACAGGGCCTGTAACCAGCATGCTCGTCATGCGCGTTCAACAAGAAATCGTCCCGACTCGACCTGAGCAGCGATGGGATCGGAGAGCGGCTCTGAGGTGAACGAGATAACTTTTCCAGAGTAGCTGGCAAGCACCACCTCGTCGAAGCTGGTCGTGCAGACACGCCCGACTTCGACATCCTGGATGCTCTCGTTGATACACTTGGAGAATATCTGGTGCATATCGCCCTGAGAATCCAGGGTGAACACTTGGAGCTCCCCGTCATCACGCCCGACGATGATATCCTCCATCCCATTCTTGGTCAGGTCGTGCGAGGCAATCACGTTGATCGCCCCCAAACTGCGCACGTTCTGAATCGTCCATCCAGGTCGCACGACGGTAGCGTCGGCCTGTAGCTCTCCCACCAGGCCGTTCTCAGTGCCGTAGACAATGTTCTTTGCCTTGGTTTGCTTCATGACGTCCTCATAGGTGGTACTCTGCAGTTTTGACAGGCAGGAGACCGGGCCATCGACGAAACTCTCAAAGAGAACCGAGGTCTTGTCAAGGATCCTGACCTGCCGATCCTGACAGCCAAGGACGGGGTTGTACTCCGACGGAGACTGTATGTGCAGGAGCAAGCCATCGTTGATTTTGTCCGGTGACATGTAGTATCCGGACTCGACATTGTCGACGTAATAGTTGAACAGGTATTCTCCGCTTGTCCAAAGTTTCGTGTCCTCTACATGCAAACCCCGCAGCGACTCTGCTCCGTCCGTGCTGAACTTGAAGAACTCCTTGCCCTTCTTGTTTACTCCCCTCACAGTCTGTCCTGACGTGAAGAAGATCTTATCGCTCTTATCCTTGGACCCTCCGATGATCAGGCGGAGCACGGGATAGTCCAGGTTCCCCGTCTGGAACTCAATCTCCGGCTCGCCCTTCTTCACTTTGAAACATGTCACTATCCCGTTGTCAGCTCCCACCACCACCCTATGACACTTCTTCTTGTCCGAGGGCGGCATCAGCCCCAGACTTCTTCCTGTGATGCATGTCGACTGGTAGAGGTCTTTCCTGGTCAACTGAATGTCCAGCTCCATCTCAAAAGATGAACTGAGGCAGGGTAGACACAGGTCACGATCAGCAAAGCCTCAACACGGCGACAGCGACGTCATGGTCGATACATCACCACGTCATCAGAGCTCCTACGAACACACAAGATGTCAACATCGCTCATCGCACATGCAAGCTCGCTCTTGTAGTCATAATAAGGTGCCCCGAAGACCAAGCTCTACAACTATTCTCCCCTCAATTTCACCCAAATCAGCCAGTCGCTGCTCGTTATCGTAGTAGCTAATCATGCTTTCTGCATGCATCACTCGTGTAGAGCTCGGCCCACCAACTTTATCTGTTGCCACAAGCTTGAAATGGCTGGCTGGACCAGACATTGTTCAACTTGCATGTTTCAAGTCCTGCTCGCATACTCTGATGTTGCATACCTTACCGACAACATCTTCGAATCTATTCAACTACTTCATCGTCCTCTCTCGTTCTTGCAAACAGACTCAATCTTCTTACGACTGTCCCTTTTCCATCCTTCTGCTCCTCTACCTCCTCGTCTTATGCCTCCCATCCTCTCCATGACCGGCATTCCTTCCCCTTCCCTTCCCTTCCTCAAAATGGCGCGATCCGCATTTTGTCCCCACCCCCACGACTGACAGTGATAACCCATATTTGAAGTACCCCTACCACCGAACGATATTCAGAAAGTACCCCTACCCCCAGCATTTCCACTCATCTCGTACGAGCCTGCCTCGCCTCATTTAACTCAACTTTGAGCAAACAACCACCACCTTTGCTTTTTGACGGCGTGGGAAACTTGAAAACCGGGCTCTGATCAGCGGCCATGATCGTGTGCGGCCGCGTGCGCCAGTACTTGGTTCGTTGGAAAGGATATGACAGTGACAAGTCGTCGGATGATTCATGGTTGTCTACACGTGAATTTCGCACTTCAGAGTTGAGGAAAATGCCACCGGACAAGTTCGTGATTTCAATCTTGTGAATCATGCTCGGTGACTCTTGGGGCGGCCGTACTACCCGTATGCAGCGAAGTTGGAGCTGAGAACTTTCGGAACTACGAAGTGTCACACGGTTCTCATCTAGCAGCGCTAGGGAGCGAAATGATAGGAGTGTCCTAGGCAGTATCGATTCTTAGCCTAATTAGATTAGTTACTGCCAGTTTCTTTATTTCTTACTGTTACGCCGAGTTCGAGTAAAGTACCCGGTACCCGTTGGAATTGTGCTGTGTTGACGCACTCGGCGGCCGGCGTGAAGTCGGATCCATCCGATGATCCGATCATGAAAGTAGGGATAACTCGAGTATGACACAGGGACTCTCATCGGATGCGGCTAGCCTGGGCTCGGCTCAGAGCAGATAGATGACCGCTGCGACGGTTCTCTAAACGCCGCCGAGTACTATCATCGGATGATTCAACGGTTGGGTCACTGTGACTGACGCCACGCTGACAGGCTGGCACGGGTGACGGGTGACGGTGCCACACCGTGAGTCACCCGAACCGTCGTGGGCCCAGCCGGGCCGGCGCTCGAGCAAAAGAGATCGTCCCCTTGCGAATCGCAGGCTCCAAGGCTCGCTCATAGCGTTGTCCGATCGCTCTCAACTGACCCCTCTGGTTTCCAATAGTTTTCTGTGGGGGTATCCTTCCACACATGTGAATAGCAAATGGCAGTTGGGGTCTGGGGTGGGTCAGACGGCTGGGAGCTGATTCAAATTGGTAGAGACCTGTTTAAGGGGGTAGGGTACTTCCTGGTAGCAAATAATTGTACCAACAGTACCAATTTTATGGTACATATTCGAGTACTGTTAGGAAAACTTGTACCAAAATAGTTTATGCGGTACCTCCCCTGTTCAAACTATGATGCTTTGGACCCACCTGTTTCCCAGTGAAAGTCCCTTCTCCGATGGGGTCAAGTTTTGGACCCTACCCTGCCTCCGACCAACATAGACCACCCTTGTAGATCAGAGGGAGCTCTCAAGCCTTGCCCCTTCCCTTCCCTGGTTGCATATCCAAGGTTAGCAAGTGAATGTTACGCAGACGTGACTCATCTGCAGCAGGAGAGCTCAGACGAGGACAAGAAGAGGCAATCCCTGCAGAATCTGGTGTGAGCGCAGCAGTCTGAAAACATCTCTGTGATTGCAAACACATGTAAAGAGGGTTGATCATCATAGATTTTAGCAGCTTGAATAAGGAGTACTCCGCACGGACCGTCCGCTAGTGGCGCTGTACGATGGATGACATTGACTCTCATGAGCAATAAGTAGGAAGTCATGAAGCATGTCACGGAGACAGCATGATCTATACTTATTTCATAGGAATCTGCTGCAAAGAGTCGGGCTTGAGGGCGGTCTGAGCAATATGCAAGAGTATTGCCAAGGCATGTAAAGAGTTTCAAGGAATACCAGTGCATTCATCAAATGGCAGTGATGAGGTACCACATGAAGGCATGACTTGCAAATTGATTGCATGTCGTGTTCTATTTCATGACTTACAATCAAGACGCTTTGAGCGACAAAACGATACCCCTTATAGCATTGTAAATCATAGTTCATTTCCTTCACCTCGAGTCGAAGCAAGAAATTTTCAAGGTGCTGATATCTTTGTTGTGACTAGACTGACATGGTATCAGGAGCAGTTAATTGATGTTGGATGCGATTGAATCATGCAGACGAAAATGGACATACCCTTTTGAATAAATTTTTCTTCTCGAGTCTCATACCAGAGCTTTCTTGCCTCTTTCTTTGTAACCTAACATGTACAAAGCATTGGCATTTTCTTACACAAAGTAAACTGAGCCTGACCAGCTTCTCTTATTCGCTGCATTCTCGCCCTTCCATCATCCTGATCTTTTCCTCGCTTGACACCCTTGGGCCAATGCGAGTTGCATGCTGCGATATCATCAATTGTTTGGAAGGAACCAAGCGATAAGTGGAACAAAGCGCTCAGGTGCTATGCAGGCTGCAATGCATCGCCGGCATTCCAACCATATGGATAAGTTTGCCAACTTTGCGCTGCTCATATTACTTGCAGCAAAAGTCAACCATTCCAGATGATAAGGACAATGTATGAGACTTGCGCAGAAGAATGTGCAAACACTTCCACACGACGGTGAGTGTGCACGATTCCACATACACAAGAGAAGCATCTACCAATTTCTTGTCTAAACACTCTTTTGATGAATGAGCATCGACTTCTCTAACATGTACATCAGGTCATGCAGGCTCATGGAGAAATGATGATGTTGTTAGCAACAACTTGGCTTTGTTTTATTGAAGTACGTTGAAAACATCACCTAGGCCGCTACATATTCCCATGTCCGCTTTGCAACAGTTCTAAACCACGTATCACCATAAAGTTGTACATCATTCGACTAGTCCGATAACATCTTCATGTAGAGTCTCAGGTTTAAGCACAACGCGGTTTGGAGCGATACTGTGACTTGTTTGCCTGGTATGATTACATGTGACATGCTCTCTTACACAATTGAAGAGTATTGTAGAAAATTCAGTCAAGCGGTGCACAGTTCAGCCTTGCTTTCTTGCTATTCATCAAACATAGTGTATCAAACAGATGTCATCGTGTGGATCGACGCAAAATAAAGATGAACTCGAAGTTCTGTCTGAAAAATGACCCTTTGCAAGTACTGATGGATCGAGAGCAAGTTCTTGATGCTGTATCATTGAGAAGTAAAATGACAGTCATAAGCCAGTGCTATACGACTCGTATCCATCAGCTTGAAATATGAACCACTGAGTTTCATTCCATGAATCATCTTTCCTCCCGCATTCAAACTGAGAAACTCAGTGCTTGTCAACTCATGGGCATGGTTTCAGAGTTTGAATTTCCAGCAAGTTGAGGAAGGACAAGGCAGACAGAAGCGTCAAAGAAAGTTGAGGGTCATCAGGGAAGGTCTGACGAGAGTCTGAGACTCATGGACAGGGAAGGATAGGGATGCGCAAGTGCGGAGGGCAGGGAGATGGGGAGGGAGACCCCCTCTGCTAAATGTATTTTAAAAGGTACCCATTACAGTACCAGACCAAGACCTGTACCCCCCACCCCCCTGTCGCGTCCGTTGGGTTCGAATATTTGAAATACTACCACGCCTACCCATCAGGTTCTGGTACAAATCATTACTCCACTATACAAGGGCCTAAGTGATCCTATGCAAAGGCAATAGGAACAACTGTTTACTTATCTAAGCTCTCAATTACCCCCGGTTGCCGTTGAACGTGCAGCGCTGGAAATGGATTTTCAAACCTTCCAATCCTTCGATTTTTTACTCACACACAATTTTGTACTGGAAAATGCCTGGATCTGGTACAAATCCCAATTGTCAGCAAGTTCCTTGACCCGACAACGCTATGGGCAGTGCTACCTGCCGGGCAGACTCAGAGTGTTTGTGATAACTTGATCGCTGCCGGTTGCCAGGAAAGTTGCCACAGTGTACTACGGTACCCGACCGGAAAACTTTCACGATTGTCAGAACAATCCGACGCGTCCTGAGGCGGGCCCGTATACAGCGGTATAAGTTTTTCAATTATTTTTGTTAACTTATATCTCGTCAAATTTTGCCTAGCTAAGAAACCTAGGGAGGCCACCACCCCACCCCCACCTTCTCACCAAATCCATATAAAATATACCTGACAACCACCCTCTTCTTAACTCACACACCGCAGCCCGCAACTCGCAGCACACCCTCCCTCCCCCCCCCCCCCCCAGCTGAAAACCACCAACCACCCTCCCTCCTCTTCTCCATTCCATTTCATCATGCAGAGCAGTGATCCTCCCTCCTCCCCACAAGATCAACACAGTGACTTGTCCCTCCAAAAAACATTGATCATCACCAAGGAAGAGCTCCAAAGAAAGCACGATCGAATTTGTGAATCGGACGACGACGATGACAGACCTGTACGCCCGAAGAAAAAGCAGAAAGCATCAAGCTCGGAGTCAGATGACTATGAAGAACAAACAACAAGCAATGCTGCCAATGCCTCCAATCCTGTGTGTTCGATTGATACCTCAAC